CCGGGGGTTTACCACTCTGCTGCTTACGACAGCAAATAGTAGAAATAGGGACAACGACAAAAAAAAAAAAAAAAAAAAAAAAAAAGAAAAAGTAAAAAAAGAAAAGAAAAGTAAAAAAAGAAAAGAAAAAGAAAAGAAAAGAAAGAAACACAAACCGAGCTCCAGGTCACAGCAAAAATGTTTTAATCTATTTATTAAGCATTTCAAGTTAGCCTCAAACCACGTAGGACATCAATCATTTATACTCTTTTCCCAAGGGAAAAGCAAGTAATACTAAATTATCAGTTATACAAAATCATGCTAGCACCCTCATTTTCCTAACCAAAGCTCATCCGAGTCTTTCAAGAGAGCTGAGTCGGCTTGCTAATGTTCTCAACATTCTCGCCCTGTGCCTTCTCCTCACCTTGAGCTGCAATGCTGGCACGTTGCTGCCAGGTCTCCGTCGGGCGCCATGATGTCGACTTGGGCGCAAACTTGACATCTTGGTAAAGTTGGTCGACTTCTTCGAGAGTCAGGTTCTTTGTTTCGTAGATGAAAAAGTAGACAAAGGCAATGCAGATGAAGCAAGCGCCAAACCAGACAAAGAAGATCTTGGATTGCAAATTGGCAGATCCCGGACCCCAATTGACAAGATACGGTGTAGAATAGGCAATGGCCCAATTGAGCAGCCAGTTGCTTGCTGTCGTGATACTAATTGACTTGGCGCGTGTCTTGAGAGGAAAAATCTCACCAGTCATAACCCAAGCCAGGGGACCCCAAGTCGATGCAAAAAAGAAAATGTAGATGCACACAAAGGCGACAGCTGCCTTTTGGCCGCCATCATTTGTCGAGTAGATAGATCCATCCTGAGGGTTCTGGCCCGTCGAAAACGTACCGCACATGCCAACAATAAACTGCGAGATGCACATGCCAATAGCGCCAAAGAGCAGCAGAGGCCGGCGGCCCCACTTATCCGTTGCGTAGAGTCCCGGAACCGTCGAGACAACATTGATGGCCGACGTGATCATTTGGATAACGAATGGGTTTCGAATTCCAGATTTTTCAAAGTATTTTGTGCCATAATAAAATATAAAATTAATGTTGATTAACTCAGGCTCTTCTTTCTTCTTCTTTCACTCACCACGGCCCGATACAGACAATCACTGCACAGGCCATGTGACAAAGACCTCTTCAGAACACACGGTCAAGCAGCCACCTATATAGAGGAGCCCTTCTCTCCCTCATAGCTTAGATTCCTCATCTAATCATCATCATTCTTTCCTCCACTTATTCTTCAAGTGGTTATGAGCCTACGCGCGACCCTTCGCGAGCTAAACTTTTAATCTTTATCTAACCTAGGCAAGCAAGATCTCTTTCTTTTTCTGTTGATCGCAATCCATCAAGACCCTTCCTAAATCGAATCAGACGGTCGGACGATCAAACCCGTCAGGCAAAAATGACACAAAACCTCAACAATGTCGATACCAGCGAGCTAGAGAAAAATCGACTTGAAGGAAGGCATAACTTCCTCAAATAGAGGCGTGTGCTTAGCCGCGAGATCACTGCCAATAATCTCCAGCCCCTCTTCACTAGTGAAGAGGTGAAAATTGCAAAGCCAAATAAACATGACTTCATTGACTTTAGGGATCCTGAAAGTCCCACCCCACGCAAGTCAATCGCACCTGATTTTCAGCGATCGATGTTCCTTTTTCAGGCTACCTAGAAGCAGTATAAAAAACAGGAAGCCAGATTCCGCCTTAGAATGCATCTGGTGTTCAAATCCGTCTCACCCGTCATTACTATTGAGATCAAGTCATGCAAAACTCCTTTTAAGGCTATTGGAATCATCTCTTCCATCTACAGAGTATCTAATGAAGTCACAAGAAGCAGACTTATGACTAAAGCAACTACTCTCAAACTTAGACAATGCGACTCTATGATGGCATTTATCAGCAAACAGCGACAGCTAAGCCAGGAAATAAACAAGAGCGGTCAACCTTACACCAACTCGCAAACCATCAGCAACATTCTAAGTGGTCTCCCGAGCTCCTACGGAGATTTTGCCAGAATATGGGAATTCTATCGCCTAACCGTTGGCACGGAATCCGATCCTAATCTTCATTTTTTCATCTCCAGACTCCTGACTAAGTCTAAAGCTAAGACCAAAGACAGAGGAAACTCTAAAAAGAAGACCTCTAGAGGAAAGAGAAAGAGGACAGACGCAGTCTATCAGCATCCGGCTTATGGCAAACCTGGCCACGAAGAAAAAGATTGCTAGGTGAAATTTCCTGAGAAAATCCCTAATCACATCAAAGAGAAGATCAAAGCCGGAAAAGAAAAATCTAAGAAAAAATATTCTAGCTCCAGATCAAAAAACAAGGGATCCTCTAAAGATAAGAGACCTGCCGGTCTTATGGCAATGCTCCAGTCTCGTTTTAACCTCCGAAGTACGAACCCTCTCTCCCCTGTCCAAAGCTTACCTGCTAACCATCAGACCGATAAGGAAAAGGTAGCCGAGGAGAATGATTTAGGAGAGTTAGGGGAGAATGTACTAAGGACGGTCCGCATCAACAACTTCAAAGTCATAATGGCGAGCAAGGAATGCCAAGATCAGGATAGTCTTATTCTAGACTCCGGCGCAGATGTTTATGTTTTTAACAATAAAAAATGGTTTTCCGAACTAAAACCTCTCGGTGGCACCATGCACTCTGTCGATAGGGAACATCTACTCCAAATCAAGGGAACCAGAAAAGTCATATTTAACACCCTTAGCCCTAAAGGCAGCAGATTTCCCGTGACCATCAACAATGCGATTCTTTATCAAGGTGCAAAAATCAACATCATTTCTTTATCTCACATTGCCGAAAAAGCTAAAGCTCATGGCGAATAGAACGAAAACTCCATCACTATTCACATCAACAACATCATCGTTACTAAAGCTGTTAACAAAGGAGGACTTTACTATATGAAGACGTGTCCTCTAAAAACACACGGGATTAAAAATCGTGGAATAATCGCTACCGTCAATTTCAATAATCCTATGTGGCTATGGCATCGCCGCCTTGGTCATCTTAGTCTGCAAAACATGATAGAACTTCTAGACCAAAGCGAAGGAATTCCGCTTACAAAGCAACAGATTCGCCAACACCTGTCAGAAGTCTGCCCAATTTGCGCGACTACCAAAGCCCTCTACAAGGTTCCTCGAGATCCAGCACACCGACGACAAAAAGAGCTAGGAGGACTAATACATGTTAACACCTAGGGAAAATATCCTATCGAAGGTTTTAACGGCACAAGATACTTTATGTTCGCAACTGACGACACTACTCGCTTCACATGGTTTCGAGCTATGCAAAAGAAATCTAAGTTACTAGAAGTATTCCAAAGCCTTCACTACCACATCAAAAACACTCACAACGTCAAAATCCAAGGATACCGCCTTAATAGCAAATTTCACATCAGTCCTGTGGGTACCTAGTTAAAAAGGAAAAACATTTTAATAGAGCCTACTATTGCATATAAACACTACATAGGTGGAAACCATGAACGCGTTAACCGGACTCTTCGTGAAAAAGCTTCAGCGATAATCCAAGAAGTAAACGTGTCAGGTCAGCTAACCAACATCATCGTTTCCTCTGCCCTAAATTCCCTTCACAACACATCTATCAATAACCACACCTAGCCAGAAGCAATCAAATACTCTGTTTAGCTAAAAAATCGATCTCCAACGAGAGCACTAAAGGAAGATAAAACACCCTAGGAAATGGTATATAGCCAGAAACCGAAATTCAAAAAAGAAACTATGTTTGGAAGCCAGGCATACATCACCTTCACACCTAAAGTTAGCCGCCACGGAAAGCCGAAACTACATAAGCCTAGAGGATAGGTCAGCTACATTATTGGTATAAAAGCAGAATCTATCTACAGAGTTTTCTGCCCAGACAAGAATATAGTACTCCGTGTTAGTGCTGCAAGAGTACAACATAGTCATGGCCTAGATGATGTCAGCGGCGGCATGTCCACGAGCGAACGAGAAAAAACTCTACCAGCTCAGATCCACCCGGTGGAAGAAGAGGCTATTAAAATCAACATGTCAGCAGACACGCAGGCAAGCCCTACAGAAGCGAACGAAGCAACGGGCAATCTTGTTTTCAAATAGGAAAGCGAAAGCGAAACAAATTCTACGTCGGGGGAGTCTGCGTCGGGGGAGTCTAAGTCAGGGGAGTCTAAGTCAGGGGAGCAATTTAATCACCTCGAAGGCGATGACATTAATTTGCTTCTGACAACGTCTCCTCGAGAGTCAAACATTAAAGGTCTAAGCGAAAATGTTAAAGAACTCGTCCTACAAGACCTCTCAAAACAAATACAAGAACAAGAAATTATGCCTGCTAACTAGGAAGGAAGATTAGTCAACGAAGATCTAGACGAAGAGAACATAAATCAAACGTCTCATTTCTTTACTATAGTACAGCTAAATCCGAAAGAAGATTCTCCTACACCCTCTAATTCCGAACCTAGGCGCTCTAAATCAGGACAAAACAATCCCGAAAAGCCGACAAGAAAAAGGGGTCAACCACCAAAACCGAAGTCAGAACAAGGTCAAGACGAAAAGCCAGCAAGGAAAAGAGGTCGGCCACCAAAGCCCAAGACCGATGAAGACACCCAAAAAGTCATCTCTAAGTCCATCTAGGAGAAAGAGGACTACACAGCCGAAGACCGACGCATAATACAGGCTTCCGACAGCGACAACAGCATAAAAGATTTACTTCCAGTTGACGAAACAGACGATAGAAAACACCGCCAGAAGAGAAGAATACAAGTCGGTAAAGCTATTAAGAATCCATGCTAGGCCTATCTTTATACTAGTCTAATTTGCCGAAAAGAAGATCCTAACCAACCAAGATACGAGGCGTGTGTCAAAGCCAGGTGTCGCTATTACAAAGCAAACATAGAACACCCAGATACCATCACCATAATAGAAGCCAGGAGGCTAAAGCAAGCAGAATACGCCCAGACAAGAACGGTAAAAAACGGCGGCAAAATTAGGGCTCACCTTCAGAATCAAATCAGAGGAGTCAGTGCACCCATCAGCAAATGCAACCACTGCAGGTCAGCGAAAATTCCCTACAACGGAAAAAGACCATGCGACACGTGTCTAGCCTCGGGAAGATCCTGCGTTAATCCTAAAGAAAAACGCGGCACCCCAAAATGCAGACCGTGCAATAAGTTAAACTACGACAGAAAATTTCCGTGCGGCAATTACGTGAGAGATAGCAAGGCATGCAACTACGTCAAACAGGATAAACTTCTCATCATTAAGTATCCCCTCACACGTTTGTCAAAAGGGGTGTGGGAAAAAGCCAGCGAAGATGAATGCCATTTATGTGCAGCCAAAAAACGTGCATACGATAAGGGACAACCCTACTATCCCTACGTCAAAAACCTGCATCACTCTAATGCTAGCTGCAACTACCAAAAGGACGATTACCTAGAAAAATACTACGCAAGAGCGTACAAACTCGGAGAAAATGGCATGCCAACCCTGAAACCCGACTAGACTAAACATGTCAGTACCAAGATTTACGCTAAACGGTCGGCAAAGGCAATTACCACAAGAAAGAAAAACGGCGATCCGACACTCTAGACAGGAACTGCCCCAGGAAAAGGTCTCAACACTCAAAGAATCCTTAAGACACCAAGCCACAACCTCGAATATGGTCTTTACGCTTTAATACTTAGCATTCAATATCAAATGCCGCGAATTACACAACCGACAATCAATAATCTACAGACAATTCTCCGCGGAGACACGATAAGAACCCGAAATGCGGCAGTTAACATAGACAATCTTAATAACCTAACCGTTAATCAAGTTGCAGGCATTCTTCAGATTTAGGGCCAAGAACAAAATCTTTCCCTTCAGTTAGGTCTAATGACGCCACAGGGACCCCCGCAAATCATTTTCAGAAGCGAAAACGCCAAGACGATCTAGATCTACAATGATAAAGCGGCAGAAAGAGGCCACGCCCAATACAACCACTATAGTGGAATAGAAGTTAGTCAAGGGTATCTCGAAAAGCTCAAACGTGGACACGAAGTCACAGAGCACGACGACGAGGAAGACGACAACAGACCAGCTCTTCAAGGCCAGATAAACATGCTAATGATGGCAGAACTTAAACGGACTTTACACGCGTTCTCTATTACCACAGCAAACAGAGATCTAGACAACGACGACCCTTTTAACGACAAACCAGAACCTCAAAACGAAGTTAAACCGGCGGAAGACGACGACTAGGCAATTCTAAACGGTAAAGGAAGCGTTTTCACGACAACTCAAAAGAGAATCCTCAGACCAGATCCTAAGTCATACGCAGAAGCTATAAGAGCTAAAGATGCCGAGGAATGGAGAAAAGCGTGCCTAAACGAAAAACAAGCCCATGCTAACAACAGAACTTTCGAGGTCATAAATATTAACGACCTACCGCCAGGCGCTAATATCCTTAATGCAAGATAGGTGTGGAGAAAGAAAATAAACGTTCAAGGTGAAATTAAAAAATACAAGGCTCAATGCGTCGCAAAAGGATATCTCCAGAAAGACAGTATCGACTTTAACGAAACTTTCTCAGCAGTCATTCAATCCACTACTTTCAGAATTATTTTTACGCTATCCGCCAGACGCGGTTAGAAAGTCTATCTCATGGACGCTATCACTGCTTTTCTCAATGGCGACATAGATCTTAACCTCTATATGCGTCCGCCGCCCGGTTAGAAACTGCCGAAAAGAACAGTCTTGAAAGTACTTAAAGCTCTATATGGTCTAAAACAAGCACCTAGAATCTGGTACGAAAAATTCTAGGGTACTTTACAAACATAGGGCTTCAGGAAGTCAGGCTATAACCCTTACGTTTTCATCCACGACGAACAACAAGTCGTCCTGGGAGTCTAGGTAGACGACTCAATCATCGCAGTACCTGATGAAGCAACTAGTACCCACATCAGAGCAAAGCTGTCAAGCGCCTTTAAAATAAAGGACGAAGGAATCTGCGAGCACTATCTTAGAATGCAAATCAATCAATCGGCAACTCAGACTCGTGTGTCACAAGAAGTGTACATTAACCAAATGTTACACAAATACGAGTTAGAAAACACAAAACCTAAGAAGATGCCAATAGATCCGAACAAGTCGCACCAGAAGGCCACGTCAATCGCGCCAAAAGACCTTCTCAAGACGTACCAGAAAAAGGTAAGATCTCTAGTCTACCTAGCTAGAAAGAGCCGCCCAGATGTCAGCTTCCCGTCAAATTTTTTAGCACGATACATGTCCAACCCTGACATGGCACACATAGAATCTGTTAATCACCTGATGAGTTACCTTAAAGACACCAAAAAGATGCACTACCAGTACACCAAAAATCTAGAGAGCCTTAAAGTTACTGGTTTTATGGACTCCGACCACGCAGGATATAACAATACCAGACGATCCACAACTAGTTAGATTTTTATGCTCAGAGGAGGACCAATCTCATAGGCCTCACAGAGACAGAAGACTATGGCCCTATCCACAACCGATACAGAGTACGTTACGGCCGCAGAAGCTGCTAAAGAGGCGATTTAGGTCAGAGGATTTGTCAACGACCTCCGGATCCCTGGAGTACACATAGAGAGAATGCCACTCTACATTAACAACGAGTCCGCCAAGAAGCTTACGAGGAATCCTGAGTTCCACAACAGGACGAAATACATCAATATTCGACACCATTTCATTCGAGAAAGAGTGTTAGGAACCAAGGAAATTAACACCATCCGGGTCTCGACTAACTACAACGTCGCTAATATGCTTACGAAGGCCCTGCCTAAGGCAAGACTAGAATACCTGCTTAGTCTTATTGGTATGTCCTGCGCAGAAGACCCCCTAGAGGAAAATTGGTATAGAGCATGAGTTCGGGGGAGTGTTGATTAACTCAGGCTCTTCTTTCTTCTTCTTTCACTCACCACGGCCCAATACAGACAATCACTGCACAGGCCATGTGACAAAGACCTCTTCAGAACACACGGTCAAGCAGCCACCTATATAGAGGAGCCCTTCTCTCCCTCATAGCTTAGATTCCTCATCTAATCATCATCATTCTTTCCTCCACTTGTTCTTCAAGTATTAATCCCTGAGCACTGTTGCAAACCCTGCAAAACAGAGCCCGTGAGCTGGCGCTTGAGGACCGGATGACGGAAGCAGTCCAGGTATGATGTCCCGGATCCGAGATTCATTTCGTAGTCGTGGTTGGCCTTGATCTCATGCAACTCTTCAGCAATTGCGGGGTGGTCGGCGGGGAGGCGGCGGATCCTGCCCAGAGCCTTGGCAGCCTTGTCAAGCTTGCCAGCTCGTATCAGGTAACGAGGTGTCTCGGGAAGAATCACCATGCCGACGAGCAAGATGAGGGACCAGGCGAATTGGACCGCAATTGGGATTCTGTAGCTTCCACTGTCATTGCGCTTGGCGGTCGCATTGTCGACAACGGCAGCAAGCAATAGACCGATCGTGATGGCAAGCTGGTAGGCACCAACAATAGCACCACGAATCCATTTGGGGGCCGTCTCAGACTGATACAGGGGAACTAAATGGAGCCAAAAATTAGCCATCATCAGATCTGGCGTGCGCAAGACATACTAAGAGCAGAGATTAGGCCCACTCCGAAGCCAGCAAAAAATCGACCAGCGAGGAACAAAGGGATAGAAGTGGCAGCAGTTTGCAGAATAACACCCAAGTTAAAGACCCAAGTAGATATGATGAGACCAGGACGGCGTCCGAGATAATCGGCGAGGAACGGCGAGGCAAGAGCACCGAAAAAGGTACCAGCGGATAGAATTGAGACAATGGCAGACTCTTGAGAGGTAGTAATATTGGGTCCCTTGTCATCAGTGTAGCCTGTGCTGAACTGAGCTTTCCAGTATGGCATAACAATAATACCACTAATAGTGCCGGTATCGTAGCTGCACACACACACGTTAGCTTTGTCGGACGACAGGCAACATATCCTGCTTACCCAAAAAGAACACCACCAAAGGCGACAAAAAAGCCCATAGCAATGGCCGGCCATGTCTTGCCCACCTGATGTTCCGGCCGGGAAAGGGAGGCCTTGCGCAAAAACCCCATGACCACGGTAGGGGGCGGAGTGGAATAGATGATGCTTGTAGGATCTAGGAGTATCGGTCGTAGGGCGATGGATGCTATGAACAAGACGGGGTGCTCATAGACAGGAGATGTCTGATCCAGGACAGAAGACGTCTAAACGCCAACGGGCGGCGTGGTTTGGATGGGACGAGCTTAATATTTATGCGCACGGGTAGGAGACGGGCCAGAGACGGGGGAAGGCTCAACGGGGTACCGGGGCGAACGATCATCATCATGCAGCAAGCTCTTGGCGTCCCTGTCGAGTGTACCTAGGCAAGCTCGGGCCTAGCTCGTAGCCGCGCCAAGTGAAGCTACGATGCATTTTAGCCCTTGAGCAATCGCCATGGAGAAGTGGACCAACCTTGGTGTTCATACGGAGTAGTTACAGTTGCCTCCACTACACCACACCCACCATGACAAAATGGGGAAGTCAATGCAATTCCATTGCGGTTCTGTGTCGTTATTTGGACGCTGCTGGTACGCAGTGCAAGTTTTCTACAGCATTTGTGATGCAGTGAAATGCTCCAACCCGAAGCAGTATTTCTCGGAGACACTGGAGGCGCTGCGATGCTGCGATGCGGGCCTGCGAAGGAGCCACAGAAAGACACTGTGTTTTGTCCCGCGATGACGCTCACTAGTCGCTAGTCGAGTGCGGACGAGGTCTTGAGCGCAGAAGCTACTTGCCAAGGAAACCGAGACATGGCGGTTGAGATGTTTGCAGCTTGGTCTTGATGATTGGATCAACGAACGCACTGAGACGCTGGAAGAAGCTAGGTGAAATTGATGGATGCAAGTATTTGATGAATATCGAAAGCTCGAGGTTTCGTACAATGGTTAATGCGAGTAGGTTGTTGGTGTTTCATGCAACACTGCACTGGCTGACTGGTAAAGAGAGATGAGAGATTGAACAAGAGCAGGACTAAGACGACTGTGAACCAACCAGAAGCCTAGTGTCAGGGAAGAGAGAGGAGGTACAGTGGGTGTAATGATGTTGTATTCTCTAGGTTCTGTGGGGGCCTCCACAGGGCCCAACACCTAGAATCAAACAGGTGGGCAGTGTCGAAGCTAACAAGGCGAGATGAGCTACTCTATTCTAATCTGCCAGCCTGGTAACTGCTTTTCAGATTGAAAACATGTACTCGTCACCATGATTACCATGACTGTCCAAAAAGATACTCACCCTCGCGGAACTTTTCAGTGCTCCTGCCCCGTTTTGGCGGCGATCCCCCCCCCTCTGGGTGCCCACTTGTCCTGCAAAAAGGGCCGATAGAAATCTTGTTGCAACAAAGGCCCAAGCCATGATACGATACAATTATAAACGCAGGGCTCGATATGTCGGTCCGACGCCTTGCTAGGTACCTAGTCATAACCCAATTGATTGGATTTTTATCAAACTAGTCCATCACTTGGCGGCGTTGACTTAGGTACCCCTCTCCCGCATCGAGCCTTTATTTCCCGGCCGCTCGGCCTCTTTGTGGACTATCCCCATAAATAGATCTGTAAATCTTGCCGGGAAAGAATGCGCCTCGATTGAGACATCCATCGGCTGAACATGGCGATTCGCACACATGAATTGTCAACTAGTTAGCACGAGCGCATTATAATCATATCAAGGTATGGCTCTGCTATATGGTAGTCAACCCAGCACCTGATCTAACCCTCCATTTCCCCGTTACACACAATACAGATATCCCAACGTCGCTACGATGTTTCGCTTTTGAAAAATCTCATTTACCCCGTCTTTGTTACTTGGGAGCCGTAGGTCGATCGTTTCCGCCAGAGGCCCAACCCTGCTTGTCCAGCTAGGAGCTGTTTCGAGGAAGCGCGGATAGTCGGCTTTATCCTCGACTTTAAAGGCGTGCTTGCCATTTCGTCGCAGTCCCTCCTCAATCTTCCAATTGAAAGCGGCGACGAGTGCTTCAACGAAACTTGCCAGCACAGCGTATCGAACAACATCCGCATCTTTGGGATCTGAAATTTGGGACAGTCGCCACGACGCCTCGTTGTGAGCAAAGAAGTAGTCGGACTCGTAGCCCATGAGGATAATCTCGCCGCTGCATAAATCTTCGTAAAGCCGGTAGAGCGAGCAGAGCGGCGTGTCCCGGAGGCGGAACAGAGGAATATTTTGGAGCTGACGGATGTTGCGCTGCAATAGGGAGTCGGATCTCACTACTACTACTCGAGACGTGCTCGCTAGAGGTTCCGCGGCCTTGGCTCTGGCCATGAGCACATCGTGGGTAGGCGGAAGTGGCTTCGCCTCGAAGTGCCACGGGCGCGGGTACAGAAGCTGCCAGAGCAGTTTTCGGCGCCCCGAGCACTTATGTCGGATCCGACTCAAGCTTGAGCGCACCTCCAGAGGGCTTGACAAGCGTCTCAATCGCCGGAGCATCCCGGTGTATCTTCGCGCTGGTTGTGTAGCGGATTCGCAAATATCATTGTACTTTACGGTTTTGAGATGAGTAGTGGTAGTTGAATATCACAGAACCTCTCTGTTGACAGTACAGGTCTCACGTGATGCAGCCCACCAATCGACTTTAGCGGCCCCTTGGATCAACTGGCACACCCAATACAAAATCAACTAACTATAAAGAACCGCCAAAATAGGCAGTCTGTTTTGTCCCGGCCCCGTAAGCCCCCCCACCCTTTTTCCCCTTTCTCAACGCCAACAATCAGCTAATTGTGCACTCGTCTTCAAAGCAGCAAACAGGCGTTTTTGACGCGAATTAGCGGCTGTCAAGAGGCCTTTATTATGAAGAGTCTCAGTGGCGGTGAAGAGAGCGGTGTCGCTGTAATGGATGTGAATTATTGCTTATGTATCCGCACGTGCGTTATAAGTGGTGGTGATGGTGGTGGTGGTGGTAGGGTGGGTGGTAGGGGTATATAAACGCTAATCTTGTGAGATGCTTCTTTGCCCATATCGCAGTTCAATGTATGTACTTATTGAAGATCCGTTACATCATGTGAGGCTTGCCTGGTCAGAAAAAAGCTCTCATCAAGATAACATTACTCAAGATAATGCAGCCTGCGACCAGGTACGGCCAGAGTACAAGAACGCGAGCGAACGAGATGTTTTCTACAGCCTACGGCCGTATACACTATGGATGAAGCTAAACTAATATACAGGCACGAGCAATCAGAGCCATGCGCGACTGTTGCGCAATGTGGTATAGTTTTGACCGACTACTTTGGCCGCTTCCGCCTCTGAATTTCGTCCACCACGACCTCTCCTCCGCGGTCTACGCGTAGTCTCCTCGATATAGTAGTGGTTGGCGCCCGAGGCGTAGCCCACGCGCCACGGCACATCCATATCTGAGACCTCTGGCCCTCCGCCGCAGGTGCCTTTGAGCCGCTCGTTGGGCGCGCTATTGAGCGCCAGCGAGAACAGATTGTGCCCTTCGGTAAAATCTGTCACAAGCTTGCGATTCTTGAGCAAGTACCCGGCGCAGATCACGTTGAGGCCGCACATTAGGCCCAGGATAACATAGAACATGCCCTGCCAATTGGCAACATGCCCGGACGTGTACTGTTGCGTGATTACCGATGCGTTGAACTGATGGATCGCACCAGGCTCTCCCACGATATTGCCTGGCTTGTTGTAGTCCCAGTAATGGCGGAAAGGCGTACCAACGGAGCCGAGGACCAGCGTTGAGCTGGCAAAGACGGCGAGAGCTTCCGCCATGGAAGGCAGATGCACAGGCAGCTTGGGCTCCACGAGAGCCAGCTGTGTGAGAATGCGAGAGTTGGCAGGATCGCTGTTGCGCTCGCCACCATTCAAATCAGACGCCGTGCGCCATTGCTCAGCCAGGTGCTGTCACCATGTTAGTTTGCAGCACCTCAGAACTAGGGGCTGGCTCCAACTTACTTTCCAATCTGTGGCCGGCAAAGCCCATCCTTGGTCCTTCGGAAACGAACGGCGATAGCTATCGATATCGTTGGGATCCTCACAATGAGCTACCATCTTGCTGCCGCTGATACCGGAGATGTTGAAGTGTGTTGAGCAGTTTGGTGAAAGCCAGGATCGAAGCTCACATAGCGTGTAGTTCTGAAATTTTGGTCTTTTACCCAAGATGTAGATCGCATCTGTAGGCTGAATCCCGAGGGGTTCCCGGGAATTGACGACTGTGTTGTAGTCGAATGGAAACTGTGTCGCCATTTAGCAGTCAAGCATTCCCTTCACAAGAGACCCCAACTCACCAATTTGAAGACTGGTGGCCTTCTGTTATACTTGGGCCCCCAACGAAAGATGTCATCTACTTCTGTTCTGTTCAAAAAGTTTTCGTTTCCATTGCTATCCAGACCATCAGGCACCTCGCTTGTCCAGTTCTTCCATCCGATGGTCTGATTTCCCATGCCAGTAGCACTGTTGTTGGCATGTGGCCACTCGGTGTAGACGAGTGGCGCAAGCTCGCTCGGGCTCATATTCACGCACAAGACATTGACTGCGGGGGAGACAACACCAGCCTTGATGGAATATTCTCCGACGCCAGAGAGATCATTTGGTTGCAGGATTCCGTTCAGAGGGGATGTTGCTGCCGCAGCGACGCCGGGATGCGGCATGGCCAAAGTTACATTATTGATTATGCGCCCCGTTTCCTCAGAATGCGCCGTGACATTGCCATGCTCTGTCTCGATCCAGGCTCCCAACAACGTCGTGTTGCCATGGAGGGATGCTGTTCCAGCCGGTCTCTCTTTCAGGTCCCGGATCAAAGTGCTGCCGTTAATATTAATATTGGTCCAGACTCTCATAAAAGCCTGCAAGTTTCGATATGACTCGCCCGATACCATCACGTCCATGCACGACGACGCCGCTTCTTCCTTGTCCTCGTCCTTTAGCATCGTCGAACATGATAGCTTGACAAATATAGGATTGGCGTACGAAGAGCGGATGTAGCCCGATAGGGTCTTATTCTCCCATTTCCCGTACTTTAGCTTCGGCGCGACCATTGCATCGGAAGCTGTCGTGTAGAATGCAGCGACAAGTGCAGCAAGTAGGGACAACACCCCGAGCAAGCTGCATCCCGAATGTTTGATGTTGGAGCGAGAATTCATGAGCAAGGTTCCAGGTTCATTCACCCACTCTCGCATCGACATTTCTGCCAGTGTGATGCCTCGCGACCCTCGAGCAATGGCTCTGCGCGTGAGACTTTGGCCAAGGCATGTGATGTAAACTGTGACAAATGACAGCTCAATGATCTTGGAGCCAAGAGCAGCCGTCATAGTCGCTATTGATGGTTTCATTGCTGCGTTGGACGAGATCTTCCGACCCCATCTTGGCTGAGAAATAGCAACGACTAACCACACCGTGCTCAAACCGGTTGAAATTATCGATAACAAGCAAACCCATATCATTGAAGATGAAGCTGGCGATTGAATATCTCTTCTTGACGAGCAAAGCTCTGGACCGTCGACTTGAGAAGATGTATAAGCGCTAATCAGATCGTATCAAATACAGACACTTACCGCAACATTGTTTCGGACAATCAGAATCGGAAGCACTGACGTCGTAGACACCCTCTTCGGTTATCGAAGGGCAGTCTGTTCCAGATATCGGCTGCATATTCATCGTTAGAGGCTCACTGCTGCCCTTGTTGCGTCTAAGACCCTTGGCGCTGAAACCCCAGAGACTGCTCCATCGGGAAGCTCTTCGAGGTGAGTTTACATCTACCAACGTGTCGTCCGGCGAGGGCATCCCACTCGCCGTTGCTGGCGTTCTCGGGCTCGGCACTGACCGCCGACTAGCGGAGGTGTCTTCTTTGGAAGATACAGGCACGCGGCGAAGTTTGAACTGGCTGCTCTGATGAGATAGTCCGAGTGGGTTGTCGTGATTTGAGTTGCGGCGACTGTGGCTGCCGAGGTCAGGGCCGTCATCATGGTCTGCACCAGGCTCGAGAGTCGTTCCCATGACAGGCAACTCTGTGTCTTCGTACCGCCACCTGTAAATTTCATTCTCGCGGAGGGGCTGCAAGCGTTGCGCACCGAACGAAGTCGATGACATGCGCTGCGGTTCCCCTGCATGGATGTCAGGATTCATAGAAGACGATGAGGGAGCCCATGGTTCGTCTTCCTCCCTATCCGGCGAGACATCCAGCCTAGGTTGGCGAGAGGACATTGTTGTTTCTCAGAGGCACCTTTCAGCGAACCGGGTTCGCCCAGTAAAACGAGCAGCCGCACCGCTGGCCCGGGGATATCGCAGCGAACTTAGCAGCACTACGGCGCGTTGAGGGAGTCAAAGCAGGATGTACTGGTCAGACAGGAAGAAAACGACCAACTGGCATTAATGAGGGTGCTCAGGAAGCGGAAATAACGTTTGCGAACAGTTTCTCATGAAAAGTGGCTGAGAGTAGTTCACAGTTCGGGCGGAACAAAGATGGGAAGGCGTGGTTGGGCGAACAGATAAACCCAACGCGGGAGCAGCGCCGGGCACCGGCTCTGAATATAATGATACGACCTGCAAGAATTGTAGTGCTACAGACAGATGCGGAGGGAGGCTGGAGCTCACTTGGATAGCGATCTGCATGCCATGTCTCAATATCATTCAGCTCTGGCCTGGCAGCACAGCCCAAGAGCGAGCCTTGTGATAACGCGGGGGCCAAAGTCTCGACTTGAAGAGTTGTGTGGGTGTGGGCTTGATCCGCTCCATGATCATACAAGAGAAGGCAACCCGAGATGCAGCAGCTGAGACAATAACTGCAAGTACATGTAGCTGGAGCAGCGGCCATTGGCCTGTTGGCTCAGCAGACTTGGCGGCTGCATATTTCTGCTGCACGTTCCAGCACCGTGGCATCCGCCGCGGACGCCGAAAATAAAGTAAGCGTTCAAGGTCTGCATCTGCACACCGGTTCTGCTGACTGAGAACGCCAAGTTTTCCAAAATTATCTCGTAATGGCTTGTGCGCCCGCGAACTGCGTCGAATTGCGTCCAACTGCGTCGAACTGCGTCAGCCACAATATCCAGATTGACAGCCTTGCCGTGCTCAATATCCAGCCTGCCGACATGACCAAAGACACGCATCGGGAATTTATGTTGTTGCGAAGCGCATGAATGGTGGTGGCCCTAAATATAGTGCGCCTTACCTTGCTCGGGTATCTGTCTTTGAATCAATTACCGCTCGTCTGAGACTCTCGGACCCAGCACACACAGCCCGCGTCCTATCAATGCAAGTTACACAAAACGCGCATTCAGAAGTCACTCGGTAAACATGATTGCTTTGTTCTTCATCTCATAACCATTAAATGACACAGCCTTGTCTCCCAACCTGCGAACGAGCAAGTCATCTAAGAAAACACAGAAACAAGGAAACGTGAACTCATTGACGCCCAGAAGCATAACAAAAACACATCCATAATCGATCATGCAAATGTTGAAAGAAAGTACACATAACAGAGTGACAGCTGTCAGCTGCAGAGAAAAGCCCGGATTCTATGCCATGACGGCAGTAGGCCGGCGCTGCGAATTGCCGCCTCTCTTCTGAGAGCTTGTACGCGCCAGGGTATACTTGGCGAAGGCTCGCGCCAGAGCTTTCTTGCAACTGACTTTTTGGCTGCCGACAAAGCTCTCCACCGTCACTGCAATGGCGCGGTCAATGTCTTGCGCGGAGCAGTACTCTGATAGGCGCATGCGGCAAAACGCCTCGCTAATGCGGATAATGGCCTCCAAGTGACGAACAGTAATGGGGTAGGCGCCCGTCGCCAGCGACTCTCGTCTCATATCGGCAAACAGGCGTGCCACCTTGTCCTCATCCATGTGGTACAGCTTGGGACTGCAGCGCTCGCGCGCATACAGAATGTACTTGCGCAGCAGCTGCTGGGGTATCTCGTTCTCCTTGCGCGCACGCTCGGCCTCCTCCCTCTCGTCGTCGGCAGCAGCGCGCGTGTCTTGGGTCTGGTCCTCAGCGAGAGGGTGACTACGGCTGTGCGAGCCGACGATAAATCGTGCGAGACGCTCATCTTCGGCAGGTTCCACAGTATCGCGTACGACGCAGAGTACGTCAAAACGGGACAGAATGGGTTCTGTCAGCTGCACATTTGAGGAGAAGGGAATAGTCGAATTGTAGCGGCCGCCAATGGGGTTAGCCGCAGCGATGATGCCGCAGCGAGCTTGAAGCGTCGTGACGATGCCGGCCTTGGAGATGGAGATGGTTTGCTGCTCCATGGCCTCGTGAATGGACGTGCGGTCTTGGTCGTTCATCTTGTCAAACTCATCAATGAGACATGTCCCGCGATCGGCGAGCACCAGCGCACCACCTTCCAGAGTCCACTCGCTCGTCAGTGGGTCGCGACGCACACTGGCCGTCAAACCGACGGCACTGGCTCCTTGACCGGTGGCAAACACGGCTCGGTGGGCGGTCTTCTCGGCGTACTTCAGAACCTGCGATTTTGCTGTACCGGGATCACCGAGAAGAAGGACGTTGATATCGCCGCGAATGTGATGCGCGCCCTTGGTAGTCTTGGCAACACCGCCAAAAAGTGAAAGAGCAACCGCTGTCTTCACATCGGTGTGGCCGTAGATGCTGGGCGCAACAGAATTGATGATCTTGTCAACAATATTGGGATCGCGGGAGAGCTTGCGGATGGCTTGCTCGTCCTCCTCGGTGAGACGGAACCCAGCCAGCTGATCGTGTGACTTGACGACATTGTTGGCTTCCAAAATTGTGGCAAAAACAGGAAACCCGTTTCTGTTGTTAAGCTGGGCATCGTAGTTGTTGCGGTATATGCCCGTCACCTCGATCTCCTCACCGGGCTTCGCCCTGTCGATCAGATCCCACAGAAGGATAACCTCTCGCTGACGGGGTAAGCGACCAGCTGGGACTGTGCCAGGGGACTCCTGGAGAGTCAACTTCTGGTAGTTACGGTAGACAGTCTTTTCCGAGTTGAGCGTGAATGGTCCTCGTGACTGGCAGTTTTGGCAGTATGTAATCTTGACCTCGACATTGGATTCTTGCTGGAACGGTCCCAGGGTAGTACCGCACTTGGTGCAGTCAAATTTGACATACTTCAGCTGTGGAAAGACGCCAGAGCGGCGAGTGACGACGCCACTTACACGGACAAGGCAATTGAGATGAGATTGGCGGAGCTGGCGCAGGGTATAGTGAACGGGGAGGTCAAAGATGCGTACGTGAATCTCCGAGTGAATGCGCTCGTAGTCGGGGTAATGTAAGAGGACGACATCCATGGCAACCTCGTCAAAGAGCTTGAGCATCTCTGATGGGGAATTCGCCAAGAAGTATGCAAGGATAGCCTTGCTCTCGGATAGGTGCTCGTAGGAAACCTCCAAGGACTCTGCGTTGATCTCACCGAGAGTTCGGATGCGATTACCGTAGACAGAGGAGCCGGACGCATCCGTGTATGAGGTAAGGAAAGCTTTGAATTCGCGACGAATTGTACGCTGGACGGCAGCTTGCGAAACCCACTCCGTCAGGTTTGCTGCCTTGACGTCGCCAAGAGCCTCGAGAGAGAGCTCTTCCTCCATGATGTCGCCGTCCATAGCATCGTCAGGGTCCTCATCGTAGTGATGGCGTCTGCGGCGAGGTTGAGCAGTGAGATCGATATCACCATCGTCGTCATCGCCAGGCAGAAAAGCAGCAGGAATGCGCTGTCTGCGGGCAACCTCGCGGTCACGTTTGCTCAGCTGTGCCTCGAGGCGACGTCGGGCACCGAGGTCCATGTCATCAAAGTCGCCTTCATCATCAATATCGACGGCTTCGTACTCATCGCCCTCTCTATCTCTGTAATCGGCCTCGTATCCTTCGCGGAAAAGGTCGACATCGTCGTCAGCCATCTCATCGAGGTCGTCAATGTCGTCTTGGATCTCGCGCTCCTCCTCAATCTCGTCGTCGTCTTCGACACCGTGAGCGATGCTAAACGGCGCAGGAGGGGAAGACGGCATAGGGCTAGATCCAACACCAACAGAAGAAGTAGCATCGTCACCACCGGTGCGCGAACGCTTGCGAGTGCTGCGAGAAGCAGCCCCCCTGTTGCCCGGGGAACTATGGGAGAATATGCAGTTAGCAGTGTTCTCAGACGAGTACATTTGATCGGAGCGAACCTCATTGTATGTGTATGTACCGATCGTCTTCGGTTCAATTATGGCAAGATAGTGTTGAAACAATGGCAGTTGTCAGAGGCTGAGGGAGGGGCTTGAATGAGGTGTCGAGTGCTGCAAACCCAAGATTTGAAAGGGAGCCCACACTCGCGTCGCTCGTGTCAAAACGCGTCGCACGCGTAAAGTGGCACTAAGCCTGATCAAACTCAACGCGTTGCCACACTGCGCAGACTTAGCCTCGGGGGAAGCGAGATCTAAACAATAAAAATTGACAAAGTAGGCAAATGTATAAAGAAGAAATAATGACTTAACTTTTTTCGCGCCAATAGCTGCTATATTTCTTTTGGAGCGCGATAATACCACTGCGAGTGGAAGCTTACCTAACAGTTTGGCGTAAAGTGGTTCGTACTCGCGCTTCAGCTGGTGTCACTTCTTCACCTTGACAGACTGAACCATTCCAAACCAGCTGTCAACATACTTTTTGGACTGTTTTCATCTATTTTCGAGAGGAACACGCTTGTCGGTACTCGAAAATCCTGCAATATGTCGTCCAATGGTGTCGAGCAGGACGTCGCAGTCGAGCAACCATCGAAGCGCAGCAACAGCTTCTCCAACCAGTCTAATGACTCCCAGACTGCTGCTGAGTACATCAACACTGCCCACTTTGATCTCGGCACAGTCACTAACTCATTAAGATTTATTCGCAATCAAGAACTTCTCGAAGCCGATGCGCGCGAGGCACTCCCATTTGTACGTCCGTGATCAACAGTGACGCGAGAGACTCCATCGCTAACTTGTGCAGAGCATTGACAACTGCACCAGAATATTTGGACCTCTAAAGCAGAGTGTTTTTGCGTGCCTGACATGCAACCCCGCGCCTGCCACCGACACCGACTCGTGGACTCCCGCAGGTGTCTGCTACTCCTGCTCCGTCCAGTGCCACGGCGAGCACACCCTCGTCGAAATTTTTCAGAAGCGCAACTTCACCTGCGACTGCGGCACCAAGCGACTGCCCATATCAAGCCCGTGCATGTTGCAGACCAACGATGAGACGAATACACGCGGCAATGTCCACTCGCAGGAGCCCGACGTCAACAACAAGTATAACAAAAACTTTCGCAACCGCTTCTGCGCATGCGACTGCGATTATGATCCCTTTGAGCAAAAGGGAACCATGTTTCAGTGCTTGGGTCTCGGTACCGAGGAGAGCGGCGGATGCGGTGAAGATTGGTACCATCCTGGCTGTTTGGTAGGCATGGGCCCCAAGTGGTACGAAGCAATGACGCCCAAGAAGAAGAGTGCCGATAAGCACGCGGAAGGCAACGTCAACGGTCTTGCGGTGATTTCAGAGGTCAACGAGGATGAGAAACAGACGCAAACAGGGGAAGAGAAGGTTGAAGACAGCGCAGTGGGCGAGGATGAGGAACCGCCCATGCCTCCAGGCTTCCCCGAGGAAGTAGAATTCGATGGCTTCTTGTGCTACAAGTGTGTTGAGTCGAATTCTTGGATCAAAAGGTATGCCGGCACGCCTGGCTTTCTCCCTGCTGTTCATCTCGAGCCTGCAGCGGTAGAAGCACCCCAAACGTCCACCAGCAGCAAACGCAAAGCGGAGGAGGAGGACAAGGAACACGACGATGCTAAACGCGTCAAAACCGAAGTCGAAGCCTCCGACGACCCAGCGCCAACTGCCGCCAGCGAGCCCGCGACAGCCACTACCCCCAGCACTTGCAAGCTGCCCAACCTCGGCGCAGCACCGCAGGGCCGTTTCTCGCTCTTCTTCAAGGAAGACTTTCGCGACAAATTCTGTCGCTGCAGCGACTGCTTCGGCAAGCTCAATGCATTTCCACAGTTACTCGAGGAGGAGGAAGTCTACGAGCCGCCCCTATCCGACCACGGCGGCGGGTCGCAGAACGGCGGCGGCGGCTCAACGGCAGGCAGCGGCAGCCTGCTGGAGCGCGGCGAGAGCGCGCTCCGCAACGTGGACCGCGTACGTGCCATCGAGGGCGTCATGGCGTACAACCACCTCAAGGAGCGCCTCAAGCCGTTCTTCCAGCAGTTCGCCGACAGCGGGCAGGCAATTGGCGCCGAGGACATCAAGGCCTACTTTGCCAAGTTGCGCGGCGACGAGCAGGCCATCAAAGACGCGGGCGAGGGCGCAGCGGCGTCGGCGTCTGGGTCCGGACAGGATGGCGGCGATTCGCGTCGCGAGCAAGGGGGGTTCTGAAGATTTCTAACATGGATTTGCAGATGAACGAATGCTACGAAAGGAGCGTATTGGTGTATTAATTGAGTTGTATAACAGTAAAGCAGTGAGGATCTTGGAAGCGATGTCGGAGTTGAGGCGGAATTGGTGCATGTGAACAAATTGGCATCAGGTATTAAAGCTAGAAGCAATCTAGGAACAGTTATGTTGAACACTTTTAAACATTGTCTTGATTCGTTTCGTGAGACCATTAAACCAGTCGCCCTCAAGCATCTCATCCGGGACTGTGGTATATATATATACAAGTACAAGTGAATATCCCGCCAGATGCAATGCCAGCTCTCTCCAGAGCCCGGACGACCCTACTCCAGAACCCAACGTCCCCGCGCCGCGCGCGCCTCCTCGTACAGCTCGAGACCCTCCTACGGGCCTGTCGACCCAGTACTGGATGCTGCGCTCAGTGGTCGCGGTGGCGGCAAGCCCGCGTCGTCGCCTCTCTGCATCGCAAACCCCCCCATTTGGGGGCCGCTGCCCGGCGGTACGAGCTGCGGCGGCGTGGGCGCGTGCATCATCATCGGCGGCGGCAGCCCATCCTCGTCCTCGTCATCATCCTCGTCCTCGTCGTTCCCTCCGAGGACGTGGTGGTCCGTCGTAACGCGCGCGAGGTGCTGCTCGTGGGCGGCTCGCCGCTCGAGGTTCGCCAGGCGCTCCTTCTCCGCGGCGTCAATGATGTCGTCGTCGGCGCTCCAGCAGGGGTCGTCGTCGTCGAGGTCCGGCATGGCGAGGCGCTTCCAGAATCGCACTTCCTGGCGTAGGGCCGCCTCGCGGACGCGCCCGTCCCAGCGCGCGGGGTCCTCGTCGTACGCGCGCCGGAACCGCCGTAGCGCGTCGTTGGCCGTTGCCGCGTGCGCCTGCATTTCCCCCATCTGCTCCCGCAGCCGGGTATTTTCGCGCCGCGCCTCGTCCAACTGCGCCCGGTATGAACGGTGCCACGACGCCACGTCCGCCACGTGCCTGGCCTTGTATTCATGGAACTGCTTTAGCATTCCCGCCAGCGCGTTGGCAAACTGCGTCAGGAGCGTGGCGTTGGCGTCGCGCGAGTGCTTGGCCTTTTCGAGCGATTCGGATAGGATAGAGACAAGAGCGTCGATATTTTGTTCTTGACCTGCGAAGAAAACAGAAGGCGTCAGTGGCTTGCTGCTCTTGTATTACGGCATAAACATGGCCATGGTGGGGGGACGGTACGGTTGATCTCCTCGGCGGCAGCGCCCATGACTTGATCGTTGCTGAGACCTTGTGTCCGCGCGCGATTCCGCACACGGCCTATGCCGCTGACAATATCTTCGGTCGCTCTTCTGTTCTCAGCAAGCTGTCTGCTGAGCTCCTCCACCATGCCGTATATGTAATTGAGCTCGGCCTGGTGGCCAGCCGGTGTGGGCATTGGCACGCCACCACCCATGTTGGGGCCGTTCATGCCGTTCATGCCGTTCACGACGTAGATGATAGAAAAAAACGCACTTTTACAATATATCTGTCGTCGTCTCGTAGCGGTCTTGCCGTGGGTGGAACTGCGTTACGAGAGGACAAACGAGATAGGTTGCAGATGAAGCTACCTGGGCAGCTAAGCCAAGTGTCTTGCGCTGCAAACTGGCAATGATTATGTAACATCCACTTCTGTAGGCGCATAGGTAGTATCTAAGTGTTTTCAATCGATGACTTCGTGTTTTTTATTGTTTTTACGACTGCATTTCTTTTCTTTTCCTCTCGTTTGATCCTTCTCTCCTTTCTTTCAAAGGGTAAATGTGTAGTGAATGCGGGCTGAACCACCATGGTACATGTGGTGATCTGGCGAGTATGTCAAGTCGCCTTCACGACACCAATGTACTACAAATTCGCAGTAGCATATATATATTTTGAGTGGCAAACATTTCATTTTCGCCCCATTTCCTCTTCGAATTGCTGATTCATCGCACATGCTCCCAAACGTTGCTAGCAGCACTTGTTTTCTTCCCACCACTACTACTTGTCTCATTCTCAGCAATGTGTACAAGAGCTATTGCCTTTGCTCATTGTCGAGAAAGATTAGTCCTTCTTCATTCGTTTCCTTTAAACTCAACCACCAACCACGCGGTTCTTATCACTCTTTCCCCTGCTCTCACTGTCGCTGCCTTGGTTGCTAACGCAGACGCGCTGGCAAAACGGCAACCAATGGGCAGAGAATCACGCGTCGGTTCCTTGCTCAACACAACTTGGCACACACAGCCTTTCGCGGGGTATATCCATCGCCGGTGTCTTAAAATACGTAGTCGTTAAGAAGAGCCACGTGAGTCACACAACTCTGCAGCTTCGTTCAACGTGCAAGGTGCTATGCCCACGGGTGTCTTGATCCAAAAGTCATTCAGATGAAAAGGGATAAGATCATATGCAGAGAGCGCCGTTGAGAAAACGTTAGATGTCGCTCAACTACCAGGGCGCGCTCTTGCTGAAGAAAAAATGTGTGAAAATACTGTGGTCGTTTAACCAGGCAGTCCCCTTTCCGTGTGTTCGTCAATGTGTCGTCAACTGTCATGTCTTGCCGGGGAGGGCCTGGTGCTAAAATGGGAGATGTAAAATAAAACCAAGATGCCACGCCGTTCACTTAATAGCAAACAAACGTGCAGGCACATTGAAGAGAAATAACGGCGTAACGCATGTACCCAGGCGAACCGAAAACGCCATGCAGGACCAGGTACGGACAAGCTGATCCTCCGGAAACAACCCGGCCAGTTCCTAGTAGTGCGATTTTCCCAGCATTGAAAGATAGAATAACAGAAACACTCAAGAAAAAAGTTTTTGTCAATGGACACGTCAGTGCGTCAGCCCGTCCATGTACATAGGCAGCGAATTTGCAAAGAACAGCAAAACAGTCGAAAGAAGAATGCCCGACTTGCTATCAAGCGACCACCTCTGTAGAGAGGCCGCGAAAAGAAGTCTGGGCACATCGCCCCCGCGAGTTCACCTTTGCCTTCAGCCACGGCTTCTTGGGTGGCTAGAGGCAGGCGACGCACGACTAGAGGCGGAGTCGCCGATGGAGCTCTATGCTACCGGAGGGATAGGGGCAACCGGCGCGGCAGTAACGTTGGTCATGTCGACCTCATTGTTAATCTCGGGAGCGACGGCGGCCTTCTGAGGGCAATCACGAGATATGTGACCGGCCTCTCCACACTGATAGCAGGTCTTGCCGGCAGTGTTGAGGGGGCCGCCGTTGGGAGCCGTGCAATCACGGGAAATGTGGCCGAGTTTGCCACAGGCGTAGCACTTCATCGCCTGAGCCTGGCAATCGCGGGCGAAATGGTTGGGACCGCCGCACTTGTAGCAGGTAGCGGGGCGAGGGCCGCCAGCGAAACCGCCACGGCCAAAATTGCCGCCGGCATAGCCGCCGCGCCCCATGGGGGCGCCACGACCCATGGCAGCGGGACCGACGGGATTGGGGCAAGCACGCTGAATATAATTAGCAAGAAGTAAGGCAAGCAGCTGGCCAAAAACATACAGCCAGATGACCGGGCTGGCCGCAGTTGTAACAGCGCCCGGAAGTGGCGTTACCGGTCAGGCGCAGAGTAGGGCAGTCAGCCTGAACGTGACCAAGGCCCTGGCAGTGATAGCACTGCTTGGCCTCAGTGGTGCGAGGAAGAGGGCAGCCGTTGGACTCGTGGCCGGGCTGCTTGCAGTTGTAGCAAAGGCGCTCAGAGGAAGAGCAGACCTCGGCATAGTGGCCGACGTTGCCACACTTGTAGCAAGCACGACGGGAGAGAGAAGACATGACGATGTACTTTGAATGCGAGTTAGCCAATTGGGAGGGAAGTTGATGTCTGGGATAGATGCGCTGCTGTCATTGAGCCTCGTTGCTGTTTTTGTTTCGCGCCACTTGCACCGTCAATCACATGTCGCCTGGCCATCCGCTGGACCGTCTATAAGAACTGCTCGAGAGGCAGGGCGGAGTGGCAGCTGCGGACACAAATAATGCTTGCCAGTATCAAAGAGTCGTTCTTCAAGTAGTTGAAAAATCACATAGCATCTGCTCGCAGCAAGAGGAGTCGACGGCACCGCGCAGTATGTGCACAGAGGTGTGCGGGACAAGGCCGAGGCTATGGCGGGGAGTGCGGCGGGGAAAGCGACCGGCATAAGGTATAAAACGCCGATCCGGCCGTCCAAGATACGAGAGAATTGGTAACGATGGTTTGACGCGTAGGTTTATTTGGGGCGTTGAACATTTCGCCTAGAGATGGATCGCACAAAAAGATCGAAGGGAAAATTATGTGGGTGGGACAGAGAGTCGCCGGGTTCAAGTATTTGTGCGCCGCAAGGTTGCCATTGAGCGCATAACCAGATGAGAATTGTCGAGTTTTCCTTCTTCGTCCTTTGGTTCTTTCATTTTGGCAAAATCGTATCGTTGTGCGCAGCGACAATGAGATAGATGGTGGTAGACAGAATTCGTGGCAAAGCGGGTGCGGGCAGCGTAACGCGGGCGCAAGTGGCGACAAAAGCAACGGACAGGCAGTGTGCGTGTAAGAAGAAACGTACCTTGATTGAAGGAAGATGTTGAGAAGATATAATTGTAGGTGTAAAAAAAAAGATGGATCGATAGCAAAATATTCCAACTGCGATAAACAACTGTCCACCAACAACCGGAGATGATTTTGTAGTAAGAGGACTTGGATAATGAAAAAGGGAAAAGCGAGGGAGGCAAGGGGAGGAGGTGGCAGGGGATAGACTTTTTTGGTGCAAAGAGCAACGCAGCGCAGTCCAGCTGTCGCGCGCTTTTGCTGGGAAAATTTTTTTTTTTAAACTGTGGAGGCACTTTTGGTGCTGTGCTGCTAATAGTCTTCCCGGGCAGGTCCTGGTGCAGCAACAACATGTCGCAGACTTGCAGGAAAAAGGCCCCAAACTTCATCCCGATAATAAACGCTAGCGACAATTCGGCATCAGCATGTGCCAATCGCAGTCCTTGAATTCCAGACTGGCACTAATTCCCACGACCGGTCGCTGTAGCGCCGTGCTGGGCAGCCATTGCTTGCATCCTGATTCCTACACCAGACGCCAGATGAGTGTTGCCCCAAACCCCTCAGCTGCCAGATTAGCCTAACCCTGGTTAAGTAGCGATGTGCTTTCCCTGAACTCGATAGTTGTATAATATTTAATTACTGGTTAGGGATACGGATACTTGTCAGGAACTTGTGGACGCCGTAAGCACAACACCACCGTATAGGTGCTCTTCAGGTACCTGCGAACTGGCGCCCTCGGCAACCCCGGCTTGCCTAGCTGAAGCAACCAAGCGAACGAGCAAGGTGGCGCGCGTCACTGCCTGGGTGAATGAAAGAATGAGAGAATTATATAGCAGTGTCCATGTACCGGAACCGAGGCGACGCGTTCTAAATAGACGCTCTGCGTCCAAGTGTGCACCTCAACTACATCAACTACCTTCCCACCGGCTCTCGGCTTGCCGTGACCGTTGAAGCCGCCGACACGGTCATGGCATCAACCACGTATGATACACCATCTTCAGACGCGTACGATGGTGGTCTTCGTCCACTCCTTGCGGCGAATTCAAGCTGCGACTCAGTTTCCAGCGCAGGCTCTTGTCTTCTGGCCGCCTCGTTTCGTTGCCAGTAAAGTCTATTCGGGTCCATTCGCTTCTTATCGTCAGTATGCAACGCCATCTCTCCAAAGTCAAGGGACAAGAAACCAAACATACCACGCTCTCACGCCAGAATCCATATGCCGGTGGCGTCAACGTATTGGTTGCGTTCTCTCTTCCATCCGCTCCCTCGTCATGTGCCAGCAACACCTGAATCGGCCGTCGCGGTACCGCATATCCCGTCCGAAGCATATCCGCCGGCGTCCTCGCTCGCCGTTCTCTGCTTGCTGTATTGGACGGCTTGTTGCCCCGTAACACCGCCCTGCACAGTCGAACCATGTTGTAGCAGAAGAACATGGTAGAGGCGACAATGATGAGCAAAAGGAGAACCGTCAGTTCGTTTGTTTGAATGTGCTGCGTCAATGATAACCCCAGATCTGTTTGCCACCTCGTTAGTTGCAGTTCAATGCAGGGCCGGGTACTAAGCAACTTACAGACTGCCAGTAGAAGTAGCACGAAGAGTCCTGATGTGATGCAATGCAGCAGCACCACGCGGATTCGTACTGAATTGATCCATGGCAGGCAGAACAGGAAACGCCGCTTTCGCGTGCCTCCCTGCACCTTTTTGACCGGTCCTCTTCCATGATTTTGATCGCTGTTCTGCTGCTCTGGCCGGATCTCAAAACTTAGCCTTGAGCTGATTGCCTCTGCCACGAACGCTGGAGACGGCTCCGTAACCTCTGCAGGCTCGGTACTGGTAGCCCTGGACTCTGTCCTTTGCTGTGTGCTGCTTCCTAGTGCGGTCGTTCGTGGCGATTTGGGAATATTTGGATGCTGTCTGTTGCCTTCAGCCACGATGACAGGCTGGCGAAAGAGTCTCAGTGGTCTCAATAGAGCCTCCGTCAATCGTGAAGGACGGCTTTTCGAGGCCTGTGGGAGCTCGTGGGTGACATCCCCTCGCTCCATAACATCCCCCCTCTCCGCATGGGCTCGATGTATAAGATCTCGCCTGATCCTCTCCGCCCTTGAGGAAAACATGACCGTTCGGTACCAATACCTTCTTCTTCACTTTATATTACTTTTGTTGGCGGTCCTATCCGTTCCTCTCTTGTTTGTCTTGTAGCCTGCGCAGCGATGTTGCGAAAGGTCGCCAACGAGCAATGACTAGAACGTGTGCTCTGGCAAGACAGTCCCAAGCTGCAATTCCAGAATTGATAATAATGGTAGAACACTAAGCTTTTATTCAGTGGTCATTGACAACCGCCTGGAACTCATAGACTTTTGCCAGCAAAAATGAACTTTTAATGCCAATGTCGGATCCAGCGGGTCGGCAACGGAGGTACCAAACAATATTTATCACCACAGCGGGCAAGCAGTGGCAATACACAGGGCGGAGAAGATGATTATTCGCATAAGCAAAGTTCTGCCGAGGTCAACGTTCGCAAGGAGAGTAAAGTCGAGAATCATGGGCGAAAGAAACAAGAGCCGCGTTGACAATAAAGTCCGGTCCAGACGATGGCCATGCTGGGAGCACAACGCGACAGTGAGCAAGTGCAGCCAACGCTTGGCGGGATCAACACGACGTGAATCGACGGCCGACGGCCGTATTTGCGTTTTATGTGTGCTTTGCAGCCCCTCAGCGTGGCGCTTCCCCTGTTACGAGTCACACGAGTGCAGTAGCGTGCATCGCTTGCCTTTGGTCTGAGACGCGATCTCGAAGTGCCCGGCCATCAATAGGCAAACAGAGCTCCGAAAGTCTACTGGTACGAATCAGAGATGCTAGCTACCCAAGCACTATTTCGGGATTTCTGCCGCGCGTCTGAAACTTGTCAGGGGTGGTTGCTCTGCCTGTGCAGCGCTGCTGCAGCGTTCATGGTTGGGCGTTCATGGTTGGGCGTAGCAAGCCATCTATCTCGTTTGGTTGGACGCTAGCGATCCTTGCAATCCTGGATAAAGATGGCCATGTTTCAGCATCCTGGTAAGTACACCAGGGGGGCACTGGGGGGGCGAGGACTGCTGAAAAGAAAACGACGTTAGGAGACAGTGGGCATGCAGAAACTAATAAGGACAAAAAAATCAGCGGAAAAAAGAGAGTACGAAAAATGACTGATTGACAGAAAAATATCTTGACAGAGAAAGAGATCATCAACGTATTTTGTAACCTTCTAATGTTTTTGTTCAACATAGTTAATAGTAATTTACATTGTTGCTCGCTCTGCAGTGGATAACCATCTGTTGTGCGTGTGCGTGTTGATGGCAGCTGTAATACCAAGGCTTGAGTTGGCCCATGAGATCGACTATGCACGCGTCAGATGTATCAGATCGACCCCCGAATGGGCCTGTTCTCGCAGCCGTAGTGATGAAGTGCCCGAGGATCTAGTTGTAGGGTCTCGGTCGATATATGGGATCGCCCGATCCTGCTGGTCCCCGATGCTGTGAAGCGCTTCCTCGAGCACTTCACTTCCATGCAGACATACATGAGCTTCCAACCCAATTTATTGTATAGTCTCTGGATATGTCTCACATTCCCATCATTTAAGCTCGCCGAGCAGCATGGTACGATCCGATGATGCGGAGAGCACTGCGCAAATATTAGCAAGTTTGGCGAATGATTAAAGTAAGGCATCACTTACAGATTGGCTCCTTGTTTGGCGAGAACTCCGCACTGTTGACCGTACCGCGGTGGCCAGGGAGCTTATATAGTAGCTTGCCGTTCTCACTAGACCACACCAGAACTGTACCGTCTCCTGAGGCGGCTGCGATCTTCTTGCCCTCAGCGTCCCAGCTGGATCCCAGCAGGTTCTTTTCTGATCCCGACGTCGCGCCGTCGAATGTGCGAATTTGGCGCTCCGTAGGTGCGAATGGCCTGATATCCCACGTCCTGACAGTAGAGTCCATGGCATATGACAGCAGAGATTGTGTATCAGGCGACACCTTCAACGATGTAACGGTGTCCGAGTGGCCAGCCATGCTGTACACAACAGATTTCTTACGCAGATCCCATACACGAATATCGTTATCGATACCTCCCGTATAGATTTCGTTGCCGGCAGGTGAGATGGCGACCGCTGTGACCGGGAAATCAGTCTGGATATAGTCGGCGGCATGCTTCGTCCGCGGGTCCCAAAGCCCAATCGTTCCGTCGTCGCTGCCGCTGATAAGCATTTCCTCGCCTCGTCGTGTAATGTCCAGTGAGTTCACAACTTCTTCGTGACCAATATATCTTCGAATTCTCGTGCCCGAGGTCAAGTCCCAGCTCGCAAGGTGCATATCGGCAGATGCAGAATATAGGATCTCGGAGTCGCGCGACCACTGCAAATCCATGACGGCGCTTTTGTGCCCGTTTAGCACGCCGTAGTTCTCGCAATCGCCATATGTTCGCCACAGCACTGCCATGTATTAGCTTCGGCGCGAAATCATAAAGCGGCGCCAAACGTACTTATACTTCTATCCATTGAGCCAGAGGCGATGAGGTTTCCTGTCGGGTCAAATTTGGCTGTGAATACTTCACCAGAGTGGCCTGTCAGTTGCATTACGGGCGCCTGCAGCGCACTCGTTCTTGGGGCCTGGGGGAATATTAGATTTGTCTTGAGCGGCATTCACTTTACTGACAGTCTGCACCAGCGCACTGCTGGAGGCGTTGAGGCGAGCCAGTGCACCCTCTGAGTTGCTGACATTTTGACGCTTCACCAAGACTTGGGACGCGCCCGGTTCTCCTTCAGCGGGCCGTTTCTCGGCGGACATATTGTTGAGAGTGAAATCAAGAAGATGATTGAGCAAAAAGGAGATTGTGAAGTGTCTAGGCGTCTATTGCTGAAGCGCGAGGGTCTCTTTCTAGATTGAAAATTATCGATCGCGGCGCGAGCTACCTGAAAGCCAGGGCGCTCATTGGCTCTGGCCCACTGGTTCTTCCTAAGCTCGGTCCAACCACCAACAAGCTGTCCCTCACTCGTCTCTCCTGCTACAACAAGCTTCAAGAGGCCGTGATCACACAGAAGGTCGACGAATTTCCAAAATCGATTTTGAATCGCAACTTCGCCTGGATTTCTGTTCTCCTACCCGCGGTGCAACAACCGGACAAGCGCAAGTCAGCTACGAAGGCAAGGTCCGACCAGTGAATATGGCCTCGAGCAAGGCCTCTCGCATAGGCGAGGAGTGAGTCCTTTCAATAAGATTGAGTACGTGGTATTTCTCTAACAAGTATCCAGGATCTGGAAGTATGGAGTTCTGGACAACGAGGACGAATAGTGACTTACCGAAGCGCAGGACGCGAATCGACAAAGTTAACGCCGAGCTCGTGACCCTGACATACGGCACAGTAGTTGCACAATTATGCAAAGATTTCGACAGCGATTATGCGGAAGTCAATAAACAACTGGATAAGATGGGATATAATATTGGCTTACGCCTCATCGAGGATTATCTTGCCAAATCGAATACAATGAAGCGCTGTGCCAACTTTCGCGAGACAGCAGACATGATTTCTCGGGTATGAACCTTGGAAGCCGTTTGCGGAAGAAGAGTCTACTGACTAGGCCAGGTCGGGTTCAAAATCTTCCTAAACATCACACCACAAGTGACGAACTGGACGGCGGATAACAACCAATTTTCTCTGGTATTTGACGAGAATCCTTTTGCCGATTTTGTCGAGTTACCCGATGATGGCCGTGCCCAGGACGAGCTTTGGTACTCGAACATTCTTTGCGGTGTTTTGAGGGGAGCGCTCGAAATGGTGCAGATGCAGGTCGAAGCGCACTTTATCAGCGATGTTTTACGAGGCAACGACACGACTGAAATGAGGGTATCGCTACTACGCTACATTGATGATGAGCTACCACCGGAGGACGATTAGTCAAAGTGATATTATTACACGCCCGATGTTCAAGAAGCTTGACGGACCAGTCATCTTTTCTTTCAAGCATGTAGGCCGTGAAGGGTCAACATCCTGAATACACGAAGTGAATCACAGAAACAGCGGTGTCTCGGATCGAACTGGAGTTGCGCTGTGAATTAAATGGCGAAATGCCATCACACAACATCAACTCTCAGGGTTTGTATCTCACAGAGCGGGGATCAACTTGGTTGGCGTACTACAGCGAGGTGACAAGCATCAGGAGTGGCAAGGATATGGCTGATACGCGGCGGCTACGCCATTCCCTGGGCTTTGAAGAATACCTTGTCTAACGTTTGTGGGCGCAAGTCGCTGGTTCGTCGTGTTCTTCTTTGGGAAGCGAATTTGACGAACGATTTGAAACGTTTCTATACTTTGATGCAAACAAGGAGTATCACTGATTAGCATACTCCTTTGATTTTAATGCTATAGATATAGTACTACGTCTTAACACTAGCTTCCTCTGCCTCTGGCGGCAAGATTTCACCCAGATACAGTCTACCTAGCTTCGCTTGGTACAACACGGTGCGAATTGCCTGCAACCGTGAGCTGCGTACTACTCACAGAGTCACAGAAACAATTACCATTAGGCAGATCAAAAGAACTCGACGAATAACTTTTTTATATAGCGGTTTCTGTGCTTATGATCCCACAAAATGGCGCTAGAGTAGGCAGCTTGTTGGCCACCTACCGGACCCAAGCATTAAAATGCTCCATACCTAACCTGATCCCTGATGGTGATGAGACCTTTCTAGCTGCCTAAGGCAGAGACTAGCGTCAAGCGGCCCAAGAAATACGCCGTTTGTGCTCAGACATACGCGGTGGCCTCCATAAGACCATCACCGCGAACCAATCACGCGCTGCTCGAGGCTAGCACGGCTCACACTGTGCTACACTGTGGCCTCGCGCCAATTTCTTGGGGGAGCTGGAGACGGTCTGTACAGTAGGTAATACCCTCTGTGCAGCCATCCCCCTTCAAAGCCAACGGGAGGAAGAGCGTGCAATACCTTTCCTTCTCCTATTTCCCTGCGAAAAAAAAAACACAGTGCGAATTCGCGTAGCACGACGCACCGCGTCTACCTCCTCTCCACCACCAGAACCAATCTACCTAAGCCCGGCCCATCATTCACGAAGCGACCACCTCAAGTCTCCACGGTCCCAAGCAAGCCTGGGAACCCCATCTCCGCTGCTCGCAGCATAGACAAAGCCACGAGCTTCTACCACCAAGTCGCGTGGAACCGACCGTTGCATCTGATTTTCGAACCTCGCATCTACGATCCGCAGCCGGTATTCGACGTTCTGCTTTGGCTTTCGGGAACTGCGCCCGCCTCCTACTGGCTACGTACCTCTGCGCCGCCAGAAGTCTTCAGGCACACTGTACTGCTGTCACCCAGCCCCCAGCGACCACCTCGACTTTTGCAGCTTCATCGCACTTGTGCCTCGCTGGCGACGACCTTTTCGATCCGCATCGAGCCTTCATCGACAATTTTTCTATTCTCGTTGAAATCGCTTGTCTTTGCTGCTACTTACGATTTTTTTGGCCCGTACTCGCGCTCACCACGCTTCGCGCGTCGCCAAGAATAGCCACTTTTCGTCGCGGTCGGACAGCACACTTCCTCCGCGATTCGGTACATCTCAGCCAACCTTTCGTCGATCCCCGAAAAGCCCACGTTCGGCCAGCCTATTCAGTGCTGTACCGTAGTGGCAAGTCTCGGCGGCCGAGTCGGCTCTTTCCTTTCTCTTGATACCCTCGCCGACGATTTCCATCCTCGTCGACGCTGCTTCTCCTCACATCATGGCCATGAATCCCAACGCGGCCATGGCAAATATGAACCCGATGGGTGGCCCAGTCGGAAGCGCGCCTATGCCTATGATGAATAACGGCGCTCTCAACCCCCAAGCCGCCGCTGCTGCCGCTAGACAGCAGCAGCTTAACGATAACCAGCGTGTTGTCCTAAACACCTACATTTACGAGTATTTCCTACGATATGAGATGTTTGACTGTGCGCGCGCTCTTCTCAGCAGCGACCAGCCTGTCAATGTCAAGGATGGCAAGAATGGTAACTCCATGAACGGTGCCGGTGATGATGCCATGGACGCCGATACCAAGGATGGTATCGAATCCAAGACTCCCGATGACCTGCCCGCCCCCAAATTGCCTATGCCGGCGTCCGATACATCTTTTCTATACGAATGGTTTTGTCTGTTTTGGGATATTTACAATGCGCAGCGTGCCAAGGGTAACAGCAACGGGAACATTAACCAATATGTCATGCACACTCAGGTATGCTATTCATACAGTCCATGTCCACTTGAGCCACACAATTCTTGATGCTGACTATGAGAAAGGAAATGCTTCGAATGCGACCCGATATGCAGCAGGCCTATCAAGCCCAGATGGCTCGCGGCATGCAAGGCGGCATGGCCGGAATGAAGCAGGGCAACCTAGCGCGCACTGCAATGGCTAACAACCAAAAGTAAGTCATCGTGGTCGTAGAAGACAAGAATTCAGCTCATATTCGATAGTCCGCAAATGATGCTTGCCAAGCAGAATCCCATGCAGCGAGACCCGTCTCATATGAACGCAAATCAGGACCGGCCGTCCTCCCCCGCTGCTGGCGGCGAGAACGCCCCTTCACCTTCCGCCAAGCGTCAACGCACCGACGGTGGTAGGTAGCCTAGTACTAAAATGTACAATCACGCCGCTCACAAGTCTTCATAGGCCCAGGAATGAACCCTCAACAGATGATAAATGCGGCAGGAGCTCAATCGATACACCAGATGCTAACGGCCAGCGGCATCAATCCCAATTCTCTTACTCCGCAGCAAATTAGTCAACTCGCCAACACGCCCCCGCACGCTCAACAAAAATCGATTTCGGCCTACATGGCGAACATGCAATCGCATCACGGAAAGCAGCTTGGAACCCAGCCCGGCATGCCTAATGTGCCTAACCCTCAGAACCAAGGCTCCCCTATGATCCAGCATGCCCCAGATGGAACCGCATTGAACAATTTCTACAACGCGCCTGAAATCGGCGGCAGTATGCGTCCAGGCCCACCTGGTGCCACAGCTGCGCAGGGCACTGGCAGCAACCATGCGCTTCAGGACTACCAAATGCAGCTGATGCTTCTAGAACAACAGAACAAGAAGAGGCTCATGATGGCTCGCCAGGAGCAGGATAGCATGGGTGGCACCATGCCACGGGAAGGACCCCCTGGGCCGGGACCCAACGGCCAGTTCCCAGATACCTCACCACAGGCTATGCGAAGTGGCGTCTCACCAAACCCTGGTGACCAGATGAAGCGAGGCACTCCGCAAATGAACAATTCTGGGATACCGTCTCCCGTTCCTGAAGGTGGCCAGTCGAGAGACTCACCTAATCCTATGAACTTCATGAGCAACCAAGTTGACCCCAGCATGGCACCGCACTTTTTCAAGAATATGGACCCCAATATGCCTCAAGCTCAGATAAATGGCATGCGTCCGCCGAGCTCGCACCCCAATCAACCTTTCAATCCGCAGCAGATGATGGCGGCCAGGGCACAACAGGGCCAAGGCAACCCGCAGCAATGGCAGCCTGGTCCTAATGGGCAAATGGTTGGCCAGGGCATGGCCCAGAACCCTCAAGCCCAGGGCACACCTCAACAGCGTGCCATGCCGCCCCCTTCTGCTCCTGCCGGGGCTGGGCCCAACAGAACAACAGCGTCACCGCAGCAGTCGGCAGCGGCGCCGCCGACACCGAACCAAGGCACCAAGAATGCTCCCAAAAAGAAGGAAACGAAGGCTGCCAAGGACAAGGTAAGACTCTCGAGTGAAGTTTCTGACATGAATCGGGCTAACAATCTTTAGCGTGCTGCTGCTCAGAAGAATAAGGCGGCGGCTGCCAGCGCCGCGGGTGCCACCCCTGCGGCAGATGGTACTGGTGATGGCGATTCCGCCGCTCCCGCTACGCCAATGACACCTTCTTTTAACAAGAATGCGGCACCTACACAGGGTAATGCTGTCCCGGTCACTACAGCACCAGCTGCCAGTGCTCCCGCTGTAGCTGCCCCTACACAACCGCAAGGCGATCTCGGGCAAAATGGTCTGGGCGGCGCAGAAAACTATGGCATGGTAAGGACAACTGCAGCGATGAGCGTCGAATCAGCTACTGACAATCCGCAGGTCGACTTTCCTGGCATGGAATTCACTAACCCTCTCAACTCGAGTGATGTCCTTAACGACTTTGACTTTGATTCGTTCTTACATGACAACGACGGCAATGCTGAAGCGTTTGACTTCAACGGCACATTCTCTGGAATGGAAGGTAATGAGATTGGTGCCGAATGATGAGATGAGATAACCCAGACCGAATGTCTACTCACAGACTAGGCCCTCGGTTATCAAATTTCCCCGCATGCTTTCCTCCCCAAAGTCTTCTTTTTGTTTCGCTATTTTTGCCTGTTTCCACTACGTTTGGGTCAGACTTAATAGGGCATCATGTTTTCATAACGGCGTTTCTATGGATCTAAATCATGGTCATGCGGCGATTGGGTCTGGCGGGATTTCCTTGTGCAATTTTCCGCGTAACGAAGACTCAAGCTGGTACAAGAGTTGTTGGTATTTATCTTTGCGGTCTAACCTGTACTTTTCACTTCTGATTATTGTCTCTTTAACATTTCTTCGTCGTTGCAACCTCTGTCATTTCTGTATTGTGTTGGTGTCGTTTTCCAACGGATGATTGATTGATTTTGATGGAGCACGCTCACCTCTTGGTCAACAAGAGGATACTGAGAGATTGCGGGTCGTCATTTTTTCTAGACTATTTGAAATTATCTGAGCCGTTTGCCGTTATCAAAAGTCGTATATAGATAGCTAGCTAGCTAGTTACTCTGGCGTTTCATCTTGTTTGCTTTTATGTAGGGGCCAAACCGCCATCCCCGAGTCTGTTGCCCAGCTGGATAATGGTGTTTTCATAAACGCGAGCGGCCTCGAGACGAACACTAGCAAGCTCGTTGTCGCCGTCGTCTTCCTCATCAATATCAATTTCTTCGTCGTCGTCGTCATCATCATCTTCGCTGTCCTCATCGGACCCCTCGCTGGTTTCATTGCTTATCATTTCTACAATGAGAACCCGCGTCTGCTCGACTAAGCTGCGGCAGCGTACCATGTCTGTGGTAGTCATGCCGCCCCGCAGTCCATTCTCGAAACCCGGAAGAACTTCTTGCGTGGCTATGTCGTGCCCGCATAGCAGACTGGCGAAGCAATGATCTATTTTGCTGAGAAGTTGGAACGTGGCCGTGGGCGCCAGTGGAAATGAGCGCACGTATTGGGTAAAGTCGCCGCTCACTTTGAGCAGAAATGGTATCTGCAAAAATGCTACGGCTGTAAGCTTCCGGCCATGGCCGCTTGCTTTAAGGCAGAGCTGCTTGACTTACGAGTTCCAGTACTCCATAGTGTGTCAACTACGTCCTCGAGATTCTTTGCGATTTCGGTGAAATCCGTGTAGCCGACCACGGTGTTATCGGGGTCCGGGCCGCTGAATTTCTTGACATAGCGGCGCGATATGTTCAAAAGTTCCTCTTCGACGCTGCGCCGCACCTGGTCTCCTTTGCTGCCGCTTGGGTTTAGCGGTTTCTGCCGGGGGTGCGGCAGCGAAACCACGGGTCGCGATGACGCTGTCGAGGGTGTGGGGGTGAGCAGGCCGGTAGGAGGGATGAAGCCCCCGGGTTGGGGCGAAGATTCGCCTTCCATATGCAGAGATTATGAGTGGAAGATTCTGAATATTTTGGGATATTATCAAATTATGCTTGGCGGGAATATATAGCAAGAAGAGACGGATGAATGAGAGATGTACAAGTAGTTAGTGCAGGTACCTACCTAGGTAGATAGTGATGCGGTTCGTGCTGTGAGACCCAGTGGCCGAGCCAGCGGCCGAGCCAGCGCCCCAATCAAGCGCCCCAATTCACCCTTTTGTATGTGGGGCTGGTGACGGCGAAACCTAAGCGCATCAATTTTTGGTTACCTCTACTTTTTCCATCTCCAGCCATCGCCCGCCGCATTCATCACTGCCACTTCCAGTCGCACAATCGCAAACTATCCTTCACAATGGCCCCCAAGAGAGTTCTCGTCGAGAGGCAGGGCCGCCGCGCCGCCGCGCCCAAGGGCTACATTGCCTCTACCTACGACACCCTGACCTCTCCCGAGAACGCCTCCGTCGTCCGCAGCATTGCCGTCTTTGGCGTAAGTCGCTTGTCTGATGATTTCACCTGTGTCTTGATTGGACGCAAACGGAATCTTCGCTTCTAGCAGATGGTGACTTTTACTAACAATGTACAGGCCGCTGTCGCTATCCTTTCAAGCTCCTTTAGCGAATATCTTTTGCCTCCGTAGGGCTACCTCATCGATTTGATTCGTCTGGCTATCACTAACAAAATTTTCTGCTACAGGCAGTAAGCTACATCTTGCAATACTCGCGATTACGGAAGAACAGACGGGGTCAGCAATGGGCCGCGCGAATCTCGAATCGACGAATAAAGCAGCCGTTGCCGTTGTACAATGATCAGCGCATCGCCGCTCGCTTGACGTCAAACGCTGTACGATTAGAAAAGGGAAAAAATTGGATGCTGTATAATATTTGTCGGTTTTGTCAGGAATTTTCGGACGGAGTCGAGGCTGAAGACTGGGTGTTGGCTTCATGAGCATAGCTACTACTGATGTGAATAGACGCACTCTACTTGCACACCCTGAAACAGTTGTAAGATTGGTTCGGCGCTAAATTGTGTGCACCTCAAATCAATGATACGGAGTATCAGTGGCAAGTGGCTACAAGCTACCGGTATCTGATGCAAGGGCAGTTGCAAACCTCATGCGGCTCTTGCCCTCCCTAGCGTCATCTCAAAACAGATCTCGGGACACGGCCTTTGTAGCAACACACCTTACCTACGCTTTATTTTCGTCTGCATTGAATCGCTTCTTTTTACTTGTGCATTTCCCTATTGTTTTCGTCTAACTCAGCAAACCCATGTTACGGTTTTACCAGCATCGTCTAACTATACAACACCAATAAATGCCCGCGTCGAATTATGGCTACCCTTGCAACAAGTGGCAATCCACGACCCCCCGGTGCGCAGATGGCCCATAGCGTCGGCGTCAGCACGATGCCACGGCGCGGTCTGGCGGACCTCGTGTCGAAATTCGAGATGCTTGACAAGGCGAATGATTCTCATCGTAGGAATCCCAGCGTTTCGCGTCAGCCAATAGGCTTGACGGCCAGCAAGACTATGTCATCTCTGGCTGCACTGCAGAATAATCGACGACATCACGAGAACAGTCCCCTGAAAAGAGATGGCAGCTCTGATCTTCCTCTTACGTTGTCATCTGTGGCAGCTGCCCCAAGGCGAACCGACACCCTGCCAATGAAACCAGTTGCCACTCTGTCCAACGAAACAACTCATAAAGGTCGCCTTTCAGCAACTATAGCAGAAAAGAGAAGGCTTTTCGAGGCTGAGGTACCGTTTTTGAAGGAGCTTTCAGGTGCGCATGTCATTTAAAGGTTATGTGCTCTGTGCTAGCTAATCCCTGCCGAATTCAAGGTTCACGAATGCCAAACACAAAATCACCTAAGACGGCAACTGCGATGTTCCTGCAAGAGGAAAATTCAGACAAGAAGCTTTCTTCGTCACACTCTTGTACAACTATGTACACAGTCCCGAAGACAGGTATGTGATCAGTCACGGCAAAGGGACAGAGCTGACAGATGGACGATGAAGCTCCGAATAGTCCTACAGAACCGAATTTTGGTGTTTGCTCATTGCAGCACTCTCACTCGCAGCGTCATGACAAGACACAAAACCCTTCTATTTATTCTGTCCCGGCCTCGAGCTTCGTGTTGAGGGTTCATCGCGAGGCCGATGCGCACAACTCCATGCGGGACAAGGAATCACGACGGTTCCCCAGAGTTGATGTGTCTCGGCAATCACCTTTGCGAGCATCCCAGGTTTCTTCAACCGGGTCACCAATGAAATCACCTTGCAAGCCGGAAATGAAGACCGTCGGCACAGGGTCTAGAGACACGTCTCCTTTTTCTTCCCCCAGAAAGTCAATGGCCCGTCCCCCTTCATCGGGTCCGCCACTTGCCTCACCTGTGGAGATGAAGAGGCATTCAGCAAGCAGCATCACACCAAATGCCTCGGTAGAATCTGTCAACTCCATAATCATTGCGAAGAGGGGTCGGTCCGTCCCGCAACTCGCAAAGAACTGGTCGCCACAGCGCATTGTCACGCCACAGAAACCGACAATGCCACAAAATGCATCCCCGGTAGAGCAGGCCGAGGGTCATGGTACATTTGTGAAGCCTAAGAAATCTAACATTTTTCGAGACGCACTCGGATTCTTTGAGTCCATGAGCCACAAACGTCCTTCGCACCCAGTCGCTGCCCGCGAGGCAATCAAAGGGTCATCAGACGAGATTCGCTCAATCACAAAGCCGCACAGCAAAAGAGAAAAAGTCAAAGGATCTTTGCGTCAACTTTCATCGTCTTGGAGATTCAAGCGGGCATCGGCCGTAGGAGAGCAGGAGGCACTTCTAGAATATCCAGCCATGTGGAAACTTGGCTCCATCGAGGCTGCACCACGCAAAAGACTGCACGCAGAATGGTGTGATGTCTCGGCAGATCACAGACGGCCATTAGGGACCTTCAAGGCTGGCGAAATCAGCTTGCTTGACCCTTATCTATCTAGCCACGCAAAATCACGCCGCGGTGAGGAGGATTCGCATCATCACATTGACATTCTTCTGCAGCAATCATCTTTGCATGGTAACTTCTGCGGCACTACGGAATCAGACTACAGTGAGATTAATGGAGAGCCAGACTGCTCACCGTCACCTGTGCAGGAGTCTCCAGAACCATCGAAGCCGCGGAGTCGCTCATCCCGACGTTGGTTTTCGCGCAGCTCGGGGGCCTTGGTATCGCAAGCGCACTGTCGACTGGAGCAGCCTAGGCCAGTACATGGCATGGAAATGAAGAGACTAATGAGTCTGTGCAAAATCCAGGGAACCGTCAAAAGGCGCGGGCATAGCGAGTAACGGTTTACTGCAGGTCGTTAGGTGCAGCCTGGTATGGTGAGCCAAAGATTCAGTATCATTTGGGCAAAGAAGAGGAATTGGGAATCATGAGCTTTGGCATTGCTTTCCTGTAGAAATCCCGGCAACGAAATACAACTGAACCTTTGTTTCATTGGCCATGCGACTATGGTACGCAGAACATGCTCCCCTGGTGCGGCTTTAACTGCACTATCCATTGTGATCCAAAGCAAAATATATTAAGCAGTGTAGGTAAGCAAGGAAAAGCAACTATGCAAAGTTGTCTCTTTGCATTCTCTTTGGCCGAGCTGTCGATGGCGAAAAGTCCGAGGACCCACGAAAGGCATCGATTCTACCAAGCTCGAGGTCGATGGGGTCCAGACGCTCAGACCGATCCACGAGGGGCAGCTCCGGCCGAGAGCCAGCCGAGATTTGCGGCGTGATGGGCGTGCCGCTGGTGGAAAGGGTAATACTGGAGGGGACTTTGTTGGTCGGGTGGCTCTGCTGAGAGGCGCTGCCAAAGGCGCCGCTGCGTGTGCGAGCCTGCTGCTGCTGCTGCTCGTGGAAGAGGTGGCCGGCCTGGTAGCCCTGAGAGCCCTGGCCGGAGATGCGCTGGGCAGCGAGAGTGCCGAGGGGTAGGATGATGATTACAGAGGTGAGAGTGAGGGAGCCGGATTCAAAGTTTGTGAACTTGGCCCACTCAAGCCCAGCAAAGATGGCTAGTATGGTGTGTTAGTGACGTTGCTTCGCCCGAGTTGGATGCGCACGAGTATGTGTATGTATCGTTTCTCTTATTATTCGAAGGTTCAGAGTGCTCAGGCTCACTTACATGGTATGATCATCAGGGTGCCGTTTGTCATGACGAGGACTTCCATGGGGTTGACGACGCTGATGGACGGGAGAATGCCACGATTGGCGACGAGGTGACAGACGAGCTTGACGTTGAAGACGGCGCAGAACCAAAAGATGGAGACGGCGCCCATGACGGCAGACCACTGAATGGCCCAGAGGAAGTGCTCCGGGGGCACGGCAGTAACGATGGCGTGGTTCTGGACAATGGTGTAGGCGAGGCGAGTGCCAATAGTCAGGAGGACAATGACGGCGGAGCAGGCGCAAGCGGCGGCCTTTGCGGCGCGGGGCCAAAAGGCGACCATGGTCCAGGCCTGGTTGATGAGGGCGGCCTCGACGACGACGACGAGGGGGAAAGCGAGGGTGTTTGCGGCGAGGCTCGCGTCCCAGTAGCGGCGGGAGACGGCGGAGAAGTCGCCGGCCCAGACCTGGTAGAAGTGGCTGATGGGGGAGACAAAGTAGGCAAAGAGGAGGCCGGAGCGGACGGCGCAGAGGAGCAGGCCGACGAGGTGCAAGGCCGAGGCCGGGCGGCGGGCGAGCTTGGCGGCCGGGGTGAGGGCGACGACGACGACGAGCATGACGAGGCAGGCGCCTAGCTGGGCGCCGTAGTTCATGGTGGTGCAGAGGGACTCGTCGTAGTAGGCGTTGAGGACGGGCATGGGCACCGAGGTGGTGGTGATGTGGTCGGCGAGGAAGAAGGTGACGTTGCCGGCGAACCGGTCAAAGGTCGGGTCGGGGGTGGGCGATGAGGGAGCGGAAGAGCCGTCCATGGTTGACGGAGAGTGATCTTTCTCGCCTTTTTGTTATTCTTTCGTGGAGACTGATCACGACGGACGTTGGTGAAGGATGTCCTGATGTGAAGCTATTCACAGCAGCGCGATAGGATGAAGCAGACCAGCCGCAGAGAACGAGTTTGCGTGTAAGTCGGGAGCAAAAGTGTTGATGATGAGGTTGAGCAGATGTAAGAAGAGCAGGAAAACTCGAGCATATCCGAGATGGAAGTTGGAGCAGTGGTCATCTTCTTCAACACAAAGAGGGTCGGTCGTCTATTTCGCTATATACCTCCCCCCCCCCGTGATAAGCGAGACGGAGTGCCGAGACATGGGCGTTGATCCCTCCCTCTTTAAAAAAAAGAACAATGCGTAAAGAAGAGGTCAAGGGATAAAGTTTGCATTGAATGCTCTCTGATTGGAAAGGGGAGAGTGAGAGTGAGAGTGAGAAGGAGCGGCGACGAGGTCAAACGGGAATCACTGCGGCTGGTGCCAATGATGCCGTTTCCGGTACTCCGTCGATCCCAAAATTGCCAAGATGAGCTAAATCGACCGGCATTAAACCTGTCATCTTGTGTGTGTGTGTGTGTGTGTGGAGAGAGAGAAAGAGAGAAAGAGAGAAAGAGGATGTATGTAGTTGATGGGGCGGGTGAGACTTGACTCCAGAAGTTCCCGTCCCCCCCCGGAGGGCTCTTGGTATTGTTCCTGTGGGGCCCCGGACGCCGGCCTTAGTATTGTTCTTTTGGGGGGGGCCATCTGAAATCAAACATCGTCAGCTAATGTTCCGGCCCGGAGGACCCGCGCTGCAAATTCACGATCCTATTGCAAGGAATTGAAGGGGAGACAAAAAAGCCATGGCTTCACTTTTCTTTTTTAGCCATTCCAGGTTGTAAAGATTATACATGGCTTGTGGTGGGACGTTGGGGGCTAGGTTCGGAGCTCAGATCGTGGCGACGGGCCGTGCCGTCTCGGCACTGCGACTTTTTCTTTTTTAGCACACAATATTGCCAGTCTATTTTCAAATATTCTCAATTGAGAGTCCTGTATTCTTTGAGCTCGTGTTCCGAGGTTGTGTCATGGACAGAGTCCGGACAAGGCCGTTGATGCTGCAGGGTCTAGCTTGACTCGCATACTCACTCGACTCGCATATTCAACCATGTTTTTGAGGAGCTTGTAGGCTGCATGACATTATCAGACATTGGCTCAGCCTTCTTCGTCTTATCGCGTACTCCCGTTTCCCAATGCCTCGTGGTCGTAGACCATGGAGGCGCTTTTCTGGTGGGGTTTCTTCACGGCAACGCTCCGTTTGACCCCGTCACTTGCCATTCTATCCAACCTCTCATGTGTGTGATTTCATGGTTATGTATTCCTCACTACATGACATGATGATATCTCGTCATCTCAGCTCTCCACAGCACCCTGCCTCCTCCATGGGTGCTCTGCAGGGCTTCTAGTATTATCCTCCAGGACCCAGGCCCATGCCCATGCCCTGCGCAATCTTGCGGGCCAGAGCCTTCTTAAGGTACCACTCGCGCGCCAGCGATCGCGTCGTCTTGGCAAACACGGCCGGCGGGATCTTGCCCCGTTCCACGGCCCTGCCCAGCATGAAGATGGCGTCGCCCAGCGCGCGCTCCTCGGCCACCAGGCTGTACAGCTGGTTCGCCACCACCGTCGGCGCCACCAGCAGCTCGTCAATGTCGGGCTTGGCGTGGTTGGCCGAGCCCTCAATCACGCCGTCAGCCTTGCGCAGCGCCTCGTGCAGGATGTTGGTGTTGGACGAGATGACGCTCGACAGCTGCGTGAGCTGGCCCAGCTCCGACTGGAGGCCGTTCATGGCCTGCACCATGGCCGCGCGCTGGGCTTGTAGACCAGCCATGGAGGATTCGTTTTGCTGACGGCTCTGCTGTCGCATGTATGCTAGCGTTTGCGCCAGTTGCCTCAGCAGCTGGTCCTTTTCCGGGTTGGGGGGGATAGGTGGCGCCTTGACCGTAGAGGGCGGAGGGATGTCGAGCGTCAGTGGGTCGTCTAGGAGCAGATCCTGCGGTGGTGGCTGTGCCTGCGCTCGAGTTTGTTCAGAGGGTATAGAGTGTGTTTGAGTGTGATGAGTTTGGCCCCACGATCCTGGCGGCGGTGGTTGTTGCTGCCAATTGCCTTGACTATATGTTGGCAACGCTGAGCTAGCATTAGGATGATGTACTTGTCGCGGGGTAGCATGGGGTGCAGGATGCACTGAAGAGCCTACAACATGTGCCCCGTAACTCCCGATTCCTTGAGCATTTCTCAGCTCGGTCTGATGTGCTTGAGGCGGCAACGGCGGCGCCGAGTCATATCGCGAGGGCTGTCGCTGCGACGCCGGAGGAGATGTTGGAGGCAGTGGCGGGAGCGGGGGACCCGAGGACGATCTGGAGTCTTGTGAAGGTTTTGGCGGAAGAGGCGGGCGTGTCTGCTCGGATGCTGTCGGTTGTACAGGTCTCGCTGCCATCTCGACAGGCAATGGAGGGACTGGCGGCGGAGTCTCGTGGTGCCGTTGCGGCTGCGCTGCTGGCCGCTGCTGTCGCGCAACAACGGGGGGTTCTTTGGCGAATACATCGGCAAGTATCGCGAGAAAGTCTTGTAGAGTCGATTTCTGATCCAAAATTAGCCGTCGTCCTTTCATTCGCGCGACACTGCACAGCACATACATCCCAAAACTGCTGCCACCCAACAAGGTACGGGTGGTAGACTTGGCCTTGCTGATCGACGTGTTGGCCAGGCCGTATCACCATTGACTCGGTCGGCGTGACATATATTATCGGCGGTTCTCGTGGGTATTTGTGTGGTATCCATATCGATAGCGGGAATCGGTACGTGTTGCCTCGAAAGTTGACGGGCAGCGTGCCAGAGAGGTGCACCAGCAGCGCGCTGGTGCCATCAGGGAAAGCTGCGCTGTTAGACTGAAATCCTCGTCCGTCGTCTGTCAGGAACAGATACGTACTATATACATCGGTACGTGGCGAGAGGGTCGGGTAGCGGCTGAGCACGCGAGCGATGCCGTCGTAACAGCGATTGACGTCTTGGTATTCCTGTGTACGTTAGCGGCTGCGCAGAGCAAATGGCAGAGAGTATAGAAACTTACGCTTGTCAGAACGCTGTAGAGCCAGTTGAGAATATGCTGTTGGACCGTCATTCTGGCCGTTTAGGGTTGTTGACCCGAGGCCATGTGCATGCGCGCCGTGTTGCGTAAGTTGGGAGGGGCAGCTTCAAGTCGAGACAAGAAGACTGAGCTCCACCCCCAGATCAAGCTTGGCATCATGACGCTGGCGCGCCACAAGGGCCAGTTGCCTCAAATGCGGTGGGAACTAATCATGAAATAATAAATTATAATGTTTTTATTTTTGATCAAATTGACATGTCGGACAAGATTTTGCCTTTTCACGTGGGTGTTAAATGCGGCGGGTATTGGAGACTTATTGATGGGTTATCTCTAGGGTGGTGATGAAAGTCCTCTTCCTAGAAGAGTTGATGCGTGAGGCCCCAGGTCAAACAAAATCAGGTCAATCCGGCAGCCATATTCGCAAACTTGTAGTTTCTCCACGGCGACTTTTGATCCCTAGTTTAGTGCGCTATCTGAGAAATTGCTGCTCTAAACCAGTCAATCAGCCAGCCATAGGGTACGTGAGATGTGACGGGTACTCTGGTATATACTTCAACATAGACTGTTGAAAAACACATGTGCTAAACATATAATGAGGGCACTACATATAGGCAGTAGTCTGATTCTAGAGATCTTGAAATGTAAGGGGGGTTGATACCGGGATGAATAACCCTTTGCTACCCGTACCAGCTATTGAGGAGTATCGAAGTTGTCTCCCGGGCCAATAAAGGAACACTAAACGCTTAAAATATGAGTCAGGATTTATCATAAACCGGGCGCATCATCTAAGTTGTTATTCTAAGGTGACTTACGAAACATCCGAAATAATTGCAGCTGGCAGCAAACGCCCGACACATGCTAGAGTGCCAACATTTTGTGTTGCAAACAAAAGCTCGCGTATTACAGAGAATGCTGTTAATAGATAGATAAGGTAGTAACTCACTTCACGGTGCATTAGCTCGGTTCTCATATATTCCAGTAAGCAGAAACGCAGGCCAGTTCATTTCCTAACCCTTCCATCCTCGCACAGTTCTCGTTTCTCATACCTTGGCTTTCCATGAGAGAAGCTTGAGTTCCTTTCTTCCCTCATCTCTCTCAACACCAGTGAGTTGCAAACCTTTTCGCTTCTACTCTCTAGTAAGACAAAGGTCGAAATTGCATTCCTTCCAGTCTGTCTCCGAATTCTGTTCTCTTGCCTTGGTCCTCGGCCGGCACTACTGAAAACCCTCTCCTGTTGTACTACTTCTAACAACAATTCTACTTCTAACAAGAATTCTACTTCTAACAAAGATCACGCTGCAACACATCATCCTCACAATGTCGAATGAGATCCACAACCCGCCAGTTGATTACACGGATCTTAGCCTGCGCGTCCAAGAACAGATTCGGCGCAAATTTCTTCCACTGTGCACCGAGGATGAGAAGCAGCAAGTTCAAACAACCTTGATACCAATGGTCCAATTCGCACCATCTACAGTGTCAAGCCCGAGCCGGCACGTCCTGGTCACCGCAAAAATACCGGACCAGTGTCAGCTGCTTCGCTGGGCCGTGGCATGCTTTATATACGGCATGGATAAGATTGAAGCCGCAAAGAAGAATGGCGAGTATGTAAAAGCAAATCGAGAGCAGCTCGCAAGGTTCCAGCTTGGCAAAGGTCCCTGCATTCCGCTACCGAAGCCGCCGCTGCGTTCAAGCACGACGGGCCAGAAACGCAGAGCGTCTCAAACCCAATCCGGAGATGCCGATGATGACGATGAGGATGACGATGACGGCCAACGGCGCGTCAAGTCCAAGACTTCCCTATCGCAGTCCGACATGCTCGATAGCGAGATCAAGAGGAAAGTGCGCGAAGCCGCCAACGAAAGTAGGCGGATGGAGCTCAGGAACGCCAATGGCAACCGCGAGGAGGATTTGATTAATCGAGAGGCCGCTCTGATACAACGCGAAGCTGACCTTGAAAAAAAAGAGATTGAGCTGACCTATCTCGAAAGCGACGTCCAAAGCCGTGAGGTTGCCTTGGATATTCGCGAGGCCAGTGTGGTACAACGCGAAGCCGATCTTGAACGGACACTCAGTACTAGCCAGACTCCCAGCGACAGCCGCTCTGTCGATTTGGGGCACAGCGAGTCCGCAATGAATCATCGTTTAGAGGCACTCAAGACCAAAGAGACCGAGCTAAACAATCGTGTTGTTTTTCTGGACATGCGAAAGACCGAGCTAGATAATCTCGAAGCCACCATGGATACTAGAGCCACTAAGTTGAACAACCGTGAGGCTGTCTTGAAGACAAGAAGCACCGAGCTAAATGATCTCGAAGCCGCCATGAATACCAGAGCCACTGATATGAACAACCGTGAGGCTGTCTTGAAGACAAGAAGCACCGAGCTAAATGATCATGAAGCCGCCATGAATACCAGAGTCACTGATATGAACAACCGTGAGGCTGTCTTGAAGACAAGAAACACAGAGCTAAACAAACTTGAAGCCGCCATGAAAACCAGAAACATCGAACTAGATAATCTTGAAGCAGCCATTGACACCAGAAACACCGAGCTGAACAATCGTGAGGCGGCTATAGACATCAGGGATGTCAAACTTAAGAACCGTGACACTGTTCTTGGTAGCTACAAAATCGACCTAGGCCACTGCGAAGTTGTCACTAACAGCCTCCCGGCCGACTTGGCCAGTTGTGAGACCGCCCTGGACAGCTACCAGACCGGTGAGGATGATGGCGAAGCCAGACTCAGAAATCGGGAGACGGATCTCGACAATCTCGAAGCCGATCTAGATAGTAAAGAGGCTCACCCAACTAAGCAAGAGAGCGATGCCGATGATTGCATGCCTACATCGGGTATCAGAGCGTCGCAGCCTGATAGCGCCACACCTCCGGCTCAGACCGCCCCTCGCTTCGACGACAAGTACATTGAGGAATACCGAAAGTGCTACAACCGAGCGATCCTGGACATTATGTACCTCCGCAGCCTGGGTGACACGGAAAGGAGAATGGTTCAGGATGAACAGTTTCGCGATGCACTGATGGAGGAAGTCAAGAAGACGACGGGAAGTCTCACCGATGCTACCGATAGTGCGTGGAAGATTTTTGAATACTTGGCTCGGAGTTAAGATACAAGCGCTCGTTTACTGTGCCGATTTGGAGCTACAAACTGATATGAATACGACGTGTTGGTGAAAGCGTCTGGTGCTTGTTTTCCGGGATCTCGCTGCCGACTCGCTGCTCTAATATTGATGATGAATAGCTACAATGAGAGTTTCAATTACAAAAAAAAAAAAATAAGATCAGAGAATTGGGTGTTTCCTGATATGCCCTCGACATGTTCTTTCCAATAAGGTAGTGTGCCTCAGGCACTGTGGCGTCCCTATGAAAGCCACGCGGCCTCTGCTGCATGGCCGGATAGAACACCATCATCAGCAATTACCAGAACAAACAGACAATCACACTTTTTGACATGTTGTAAAAACTTCTCACATCCTATCCAAATCCATTACAACATGCTTCCAGAATATTGTATCTACGACAACATGTCAGAGGATATGTCAGAAAACACTCCCCTCCCGTGCAAGGTACTTGAATCGCTTGCTCTGCCCTGCCCGTTTGTCTACTGCTGACGGTGATAGGAACTCGACGCCTGAACCAACACGAACACAAAAAAAAATAAAAAAAATAAAAACTACCACGGATAAGGCGTCCCGAGTTTACGCAATTTCGATGATTTTGGTGGCCCTGGTGGCCTTCTGCGGCCGTGGGCACGTGGCTGTCCTGGCCACTGTCTTGGCTGCAGTCATGGCAGCGGGCAGCGGGCGGCGGACGTCAAGCTTGGCAACAGCATCAGCAGCAACGACAGCAGCAACAACAGCACCAGCAACGGTAGCAGCAACAACAACAGCAACAGCTAGATGCGCTGTAGGTAATACATGCTTTAGTAGATAGTTAACTACCGTAGTCTCAATCAAAAACAGCGATTTAGCCTAGTTTGTCATCGCGCGCAAGTAGTCTGAGTGGCGCTTTCTATTGTCTATTCTTAGTGCAAGGCAACCAACACTTGGCTTCCAACACAAACCCCTTGATAAAAGCTCTGTTGTAGAATCAAAACGCAAAGGATTAGGAATTTTGTGCTTTTGAAAGGGCTCAAAGGCATTTTACATAGCAGTATGCGCTTTCACACCAGTGCATCTTGTGCAACACCATCTTAAACCCGCGCCGATCTTGCCGACGGGCTTGGCCGAACGCCACAGCCAAGCTGCCAATCAATCTATGCCAAGTCAGACAGTCTCGAACAAGACGGGAATAAGAATATCCGTACAACTATTATTGACCGCTGCTCGCAAGAATCTTGGTTGCCTCACTTTTCGCAACAATAAATGCAGCGCCCGGTCAGCCACCTCAGCCGGGCCCGTCTCATGCCTTTTTTTTTATAACTCTCACTCGGACAATGTAACATTGCCGTAAACACCGAGGTAGCCATTAATAATAATGCCCACGTTGACAGGCCTGCTCATCCCCGCATTGCTGCCCACTACACTATTTAAAATCCAGACGAAATAAAAGTTCCCTGCAATTACTTCCAAACGGAGCAAGGCAAGCCGCCCGTTACAGGGATCATTTTCTGGACAAGAATATCGTCTTTACGCCTCGAGCTGTCGCAATTCGGCGCTCCAAAGCCTTGCTCAACAATGTCCAATGACGAAGAAGGAAAACTCAATTATTAATTAGCAAAAAATAGAGCCATCGTCCCTGGTCCACTCCCGGGCCGAACATGGCTTTTTTTGGTGCTGACCCTACGATTGCGTGATGGCTGGCATCCACAACTCGCAAGCTTGCCCGTCACTACGACAGGGCGGCTTTGAGTTACTTATTAGCTTAGCTTCGGACTAGTTTTGCACTTTGCACTTTCAGATTGGTCACTGACGTTCCCGTGGCTTGTTTTCTATCATGTCAAACTTGTCGAGATAAATACTGGTGGTGCCCGACGTGCCGCGGTCTCACTCTCTGCTCTCAGACCCCCCCCCCCCCCCCAATCATATCTCTAAGCAGGTATACCCCTGCCTCTAATATCGCAGACATGGCTAGAACGTCTGGCGAAAAACACCCTGATCGCGTCACGGAGAGCGATGCTACGGTCATTGCTGCCGAGGCGGATGCCCCAATCGCCCCGTTACAGGCTGGCTCGGATAAGGAAGACACCTTCCAGGTCGATCTCGAGTCCAAAGACACGGACAGTGATAAGACTCGGCTTTACACAATCACCAATGAAAACGGGCAAGAAGAGCATATTTCAGAGGACGACCCGAGGATCAGCAGTATCCCTAGCTATGTGCGTCGCGTAGTCAACTTGACGGACGACCCAACCGAACCGACAATAACCTTTCGCTACTTTCTTTTGACCATCCTCTTCGTCGCGCCGGGAGCTTTTCTGTCGCAAATGTCGCACTACAGAACCACGTCGGCACCCTACAGTGTAAGAAGAACATTACCAAAACAGATTTATCCGTCAAATGCTGATGGGGAGCAGGTATTCTTTGTCCAAATTGCCTCCAACTATCTCGGAAAATGGCTCGCGCAAGTGCTTCCGGCGTGGGAGGTCAAGATTCCATTTACCAAAAAGAGCTTTAACTTGAACCCCGGCCCGTTCAGTACAAAGGAGCATGTTCTCGTAACAATATCGGCTGCAAGCGGCGCTACATACAAGTAGGTCATTCATTGCAGGCCTGGCACACTCCGCCTACCAAAAAAGAAGAAGACGAAACCCTAACCCATCTGTCAGTCTCGGATATACTCCAATCTCAATGTCTGAGTTGTACTTTGGTCAGCCTGTCAATGGAGCAGTTGCCACCTTCTTCATGTTGGCGATTACGTGGACTGGTTACAGCTACGCCGCTCTTGCTAGGCAATTTTTAATCTACGACCCTCAGTATCCCTGGTATGTAACCGACAGCTCCAATTCCAAGCTGAAATACTGACTAAAATTTGCTCGACAGGTTTCAAGCGTAGGTTGGCCCTTGCATCAGGGACACGCTCAACTACTGACAAAACACTAGGCTCTGCCAAACGGCACTCTTCGAGACGCAGAGGAAGCAGAGAGAGCACCCCACGCCTCTTTCTCGAAAACAGATGAAGGTGTTTTTTCTCGTGCTCATTGGAGTCATTCTTTGGCAGTTTCTTCCAGAGTTTGTCTTTCCCTTTCTGGGATCTCTCGCCTTTTTGTGCTGGGTTGCTCCGCACAACGCCACGGCCAACTTTATCGGCAGTGGTTTCGGCGGCATGGGCTTCCTGAATCTTTCTCTGGACTGGTCCAGCATATCTGCCAATGGGAGTCTGTTCTTGACCCCGTTCTGGACACAGGTCATCATGTTTGCTGCCTTTGCCGTGAGCTGCTGGGTCATTATTCCCGCGGCCAAATTTGGCAACATCGGTGTCTGGAACCATCAGCTCATGTCTAACCGTGTATTTCAAGGTATGTCTACTTCCACTCTGGAGATACCCTATGGGCCCTTTGTGATGGGAAATTTCCTTGCTAATGGGAAAGCAGAAAACGGCACAAGATACCCTCTCGCCAAGTTGCTCACCCCCGAAATCACCCTCAACAGAACAGCTTACGAAGAGTACGGTCAGCTGTACTCGGGACCGCAGTACCTTTGGAACATGTTCTTCGACTACGCCGCATACACCTCGGCGATTGTCTGGATTCTCTTATTTGGCCGTGATCAGATCAAAGGCAGTTGGAATAAGTTCATGGAACGCCGCAGCAAGAAAAACGTGGGCAAGGTTACGGAGCAGTACAATGACCAGATCAACATTTTGCAGCGGCGTTATGACGAGATTCCTCTGTCGTGGTTTATCGGTCTTTTCCTGGCATCATTCGTCATTATGATTGCTATTCTTGCGACGGGACACTTGTTTGTCCCGATATGGACCTACATCGTCGGCATTCTAACAGGTGCCGTCATTGTGATACCTTTGGCCTGGTTGTACGCGCTCTCAAACTTCCAGCTGCCGATCGGGACAGCCAACGAACTATTCTATGGCCTGATGATCTCAAGTGTGTCTGGAAACAAGAACCCTTGCGGTGCAAGTACTTATGGTGCGATTGCCGGAGACGCATGGTATCGGGCGCAACTTAATCTCCAAGACATGAAAATCGGTACGTGTAACTCGTTGTGATTAACATGTCCACACGCTCTGATAATGAAACTAGGACACTACATGCATCTGCCTGCCAAGACGGTCTTTGCGAGTCAAATCATAGGGACTCTTATCGGAATTCCCATCAATTACGCCACGATTCGCTGGGTTCTCGATACGAAAAGCGATTACATTTCTGGCTTGAAGGAGGATCCTACTCGACAGTGGACTGGTCAAGCTCTGGCCGGCTATCTGTCGAGCGGAGTGCAGTACGTTCTAATTGGTCCCAAGGAGCTCTTCAAACAGGAAATCTATAGGCCAGTGCCCTATGGCTTCCTCGTTGGTGCTATTGCTCCCTTCTTCATCTTTACGCTGCACAAGCTGTTCCCTAGGGCCAAGTTTCATTTATGGAACACGACGATTTTTTTCTCCGGCATGTCGTCTTTTTACGGCAACATTAGCACGGGATACACGTCAAGTTTTATCGGCGGCATCGTCGTCATGTACTGGGCATTTCGCTACCGGTATAACCTATGGGCTCGGTGGAACTACATTCTGGCGGCGGCCTTTGACGCGGGCTTCAACTTTAACATGCTGCTCGTCTTTTTGTGCTTTGGCGCAGGCAAGATAATAGTCATGCCGCATTGGTGGGGGAATAACAAGGAGAGTAGCGAAAGGTGCTTTGCTTTAAATAGCTAGTCACGCCGAGTGCTCGAAATACTGAGAGTCGGTAGTCGCATCTTGGCCAATCGATAGAACGAGGTTTGATCCAATTTTGGTCTTGATGATGGTTAGAAGAAGGAACACGTTTATATGCATAAATCATTTTCTTAAGTTCAGACTAATCTTGACATGTAAGTTCAAATCTCAGCTTCGGTATCTAATCAGAAATGGCTGCTCAACTGCATCTGGTGCGTGAGTCCAAGTGGCCCACATCACTCATGCAATGTCTAGTGACGCAGGCAGCTACATCCCTCCATCATCATCACCACCACCACCACCACCATCATCATCGCTTCAGGAAAAAAAAAGAAACAGGAAACCCTCCTACATCGTCATCAAACAATTTGTTTTCTTCCAACCCTTTGAGCCGCCTGATTAAGCCCATTCCTTGCGGAACTTGGTCTCAAACTCTTCCTGCAGCATTCGGAAAGCCTTGAGCACCTGCAGCAAATTACCATCACCTTGATCTTGCCAAGAATCTCCGTCCAGAGGTAACTCTGTAGGGCTTTCAGAAGCACTGTCATCGTTGCTCACATCGTCCTCCCAGGAATCGAGTTCGATTTTCTTCTTGCTAGCCGCGGCGGACGTCCTCGTTTGCCTTGCCGCCGCCCGTGCTGACGATCCTTTCTCGGCCCCATTGGGCAAAGCCTTGTCTTCGTCGACCATCTCGTCGCAGCGCTCTAGCATCACATCACCCGCATCTTGCACATCCATCATGGCGGCGTCGTCCGTATGGATATCAAGCCGAACAAAGTTCTCTAGGCTGGTAACAATAGTCGCAAGGATGAGCGAAAAGTCTTTGAGGTGAAACCACACATCGCCGCGCTTGATGTGGTTGTCCCTCACCAGCGCCTTCAGGTCGCCATGCTTGAAGAAGTCGTAGATGTAGGCGTTCCAAGGCTTGCCGTCCGTGTCGGCAGGGTAGATGCGAATGTACGGCACGGCGGACTCTTCCAGGAATACGCCGCTACGGACCGTAGCGCATAGCTCGTGGATCGTGTCAAACTTGTCCGTGAAGCCAGAGAGCGCCGCAAAAGGCGAACGGAGCTTTGTGGGCGGCAGATGAGCCACGATGGGCTGCCATTCTTGTTCAAGTTTCTGTTGTGCCTTGACCTCTATTCCTGTAAAAGGAAGCTTCGTGTCTGGGGTATGTTCCAGGTGCTGCTCGATGAAGGTGCTGACGTATAGGCGGAAAATGTCCAATGTCTCCTGATTGTGCCCCCTCAAAATTGTTTCGGCTTCAGTTGGAAGAGCGGGGAGTGTGATCACTGACGGTGATCGAAAGTCTTTGACAAGGTTTGCGTGGACGCCAAGCGGAAGGCGGCAAAACAAGTGTGACAGCACCAGCACCAGCTCGAGCAGGACAGTCTCCGAGCTACAATCAATGGCCTTGCAAACCCGATGGAAATACCCATCCTTCAGCAGAGAGTGGAATGCAAACACGGCATTCTCGGTGAAATACAAATGTCCAATCAAGCCTGCAAAGTTGAGAGGGGTGCCGTCTCTGGAAAGGAGTTGCTGTCTTCGAAGATACTCAATCGAAAACCGGAGATGATGCTGGATCGCCATCTGATCCGAAGGGCCACCAAGATACAAACGGGACAGGGATAAAATCGACTTGATCGATTTCGTCGCATACTCAGAGTTCTTTGTGTGGTGCAACAGTCCCAACAATCGCACGACCAGAGTTGTGGAGAGGGGAAAGTGGCCGCTGAGGTCGGGCAATTTGGACGACATGATCTCGAGTGCTCGTTCGAGTGGCATTCCAACAAAGACGACATTTCCCAGCAAATCAAAGCCACGTCGACCTGCGCGTCCAGATGCCTGATGGTAGTTGAGTGGCGTAAGAAAGACTGAGTCGCCAAAGAAGACGACTGTCTTGCAAGGCATGTTGATACCGAGGGCGAGAGTTCCAGTGGCGATGACAACTCGTAAAGATCCCTTTCGGAAAAGCATCTCAACACTGTAGCTGGTATGTCAGCACACAATTAAACTGCAGCAGAGACAACATAGCGACTGGCAGGCGGACTTACATTTGTCGATAGTTCCGATTCATGCCCGCATGGTGCACAGCAATACCTCGCCCAAGAGCCGCAATGAGCTCGGGCTGAATATTGGCTTTGATGAGACGCTCAATCAGAGGCTTTAGCTCCGAGTTGGAAATCTTCTTTCCCTCTGCAAAAGAAAATCGGTCAAGAGGTGCCTCGGGATCAAAACTTTCCCATTTGCTCGATTCCACACTCGCCTCCCGCATCATGTCAATTTTTGACATTTCCTCGTCGTCTTGTCCGCGGGATTTTCCTGGCCGCTTCTTACCCTCCGTCTTGTTTTCCTGGATTCGAGACTTCGTCTTTTTCCAGGCCTTATAATCGGCAACCTTCTTTGCCCATTCTGGGCTACATTTCTTCCAGGCTGTCTCGGCTCGCTCCAGTTGGGCAAGCAAAAATTTCGCCGTCGCCTCACAAAAGTCCCGATCATAGCTGAATAGGATTCCCGGAAGGGCTCCACGAGTGTGCAAATCAGTAAGCAGAGGAAGCGCCATTGTGACAAGACGATGTTTCTCGTTGCTGACCGAAAATTTGATTCTGAAATCCCCTTGGTCGCTTGCACTCAAAGAAGACGGACCTCTGACGTCCGAGCTAGAAAGACACGACTCTAACTCATTTTGGACGGTCGAGAACGGCGAATTGGCGTCTTGAATCCATTCATGCAGAACCTTCTTCACAGACTCACCCCATTTCAGTACATCGGATCGCTTAACAATCGTTGGCAAGGATCTCTCCGGGCGCAATTTATCATCGATGGGATAGTCCTTGTTCTGGTGCCTCGACATGCATCGCCACAAGGACAAGCAGTCTCTTGGCTCGAGTGTGACGTCTTCGATGGTGCCTCGGTTGCTATCGATCTCGGTTAGTCAATTTCATATATATAAATGAGCGATTGAGAGTCAGTCCTACCGATTCCTGAGGCTAAGGATAGGGTGGATGAAACTGAATGACTGCTCTTCGGTCTGTCCCTCATCAAGCCCTGGTGTAGCAAGACTCTCAACAGATAGTAGCCCTCTGAACACAAATTCGTTTTCGGGGGCACGATACAGAAACTTGCGCAGGTCCGAATAACGCGAAGTGTGCACAATCATCTCTATTTCGCGCCCTTTTACCTTTTCAGATGCTTCCAGCCACTGCATGAACTCGAGAGGATTGCCGACAGTGGCGGACAGAGCGATAATGGGGCAGGGCGCGAGCAGCAAGAGTTGCTCCCAGATGACACCGTCGTCAGCCTGACCAATGCAGTGAATTTCGTCAAAGATGATTCTCTTCACACGCGCAGACCAAGGTTTGGCGTTCTCGGCGTTGGACGGCGCAAGCAGCATGATTTGCAGAATATGCGGCACGGTGACGAGAATCTGGCAGCCCGTCGGGTTGTTGATTCTGTGGTCGCGTGTGTGAATAGCCCATACCGAACGTCCGTCGTGTTTGTACAATTTGGAGAATCGAGCCTGGACTTCGGCGGCGATCTGGTTGACGAGCGCCTTGGTGGGAGCTACATAGACAAGAACGCCGTCATCGCTCGACTGCAGGACTTGTTTCATTGCGTAGAATGAGATGAATGTTTTTCCAGCAGAGGTTGGCGCGACGACAAAGAGACTCTTTTCGGCATCGATGACATCTAGCACTTCACGTTGCCATGCATCGGGAACAAAATTCGGCACGCGGATATCGGGCGCAGGATCAAAGCTTCTCTCAAGAAACGGACCACAGTGTCCCAATTGAAACTCAAGAGGTCCAATCGGCAGTTTCAGCTCACTGTTGAGACTGTTGGGAAAGGGCAGCCGGCGGCCTTTTAATAGGTGGTTGTCGGCCACAGCAGCCTCAACTGGCATTTTGAGCATGCTAGAGAGCTTTGCAAGATGACCAAGACTTTCGATGGACTGCGCCAATTTTGCCGCTGCGAGCATCGCTGACCACACTCTGGCAAACAAAACCACTTCGAATTTTTGGTCTCTTCTCTGTCGACCTACGGGGATCATTGAGATCAAGGTATGACAGAGGTACAGATTGATCTCAGCCCCAATCAGATCCCGAGCATCATTAGATAGACCCTCAAGAAAAGTGGTGATTTTGGCAAGTCGTCGCATCGTATTTGTCTCTGCTTGAAACTCGCGGCAGCGCTCATCCCAGAAGGCCATCACATCTCGGGCTTTGCTGTCGAGCTTCTGTCTCTGACTTCTCCGGGCCTCTTCGAGCGCGCTCTCCCGGCCGCCCTTCTGTGTGCTGTTTTTATTCTTGGGCAAAGAACTATGGCGAAGTGCCTTTGAATTCGATCCCTCTGCGAATTTGGTCTTGTCTTTCTGCTTGGTCGGATTGATGTCCACACTGAGGCTAGTCACGATTGTTTCAGGGTTGATCATGTTGCCTGCAGAGTTAGTAAGACTCGCAGCGTATTTAATTGTATCGGCCATGAGCTCCTGATTTCTCCGCCGACGAAAAAACCCTGCAGGACGAGGTATAGCTTTTGGATCGACAGCTTTTTTGGCGTTGTGCCAGTGTGAAAGCTCGCGGAACACCTTGGAGGTCCCTGCCGGCTCGTCCGTGTCATTTGCGACAACACGAATTGGCTCCAAATACTTGTCCAAGGCCGGGTGTCGAAAAGTCATAACGGAGCTTATAGCTTTCTCTGACCTCTCCGAATCTTTTGCAGCCAGCGGCAATTCGTAACTAGATGCTTGAGGAAGAAAATCGGAGATGCTGATTCCTGTAAGTAGTTGAATTCGTTCCGCGAATCTTTTTGCTTCGCCAACAACTACTGCAGACGGCTTCAAGATGGACAAGTCCTTCAGAACCTGTCTGATAATTCGGGAGTCCAAAAGGTCAACAATCATCCAGTCTTCCTGTGCTGGAAGACATTCGATAACAGTGGCGCAGATGTCGGTGAAGCAAGCGAAGAACGCGTCAAGTCTCTCCTGCCCCCCGTGGCCCAGCACCGCCACGTCGCATGCTCTGTTTGATAGATTGCAGCGCTTGAGCTCCGAAAGATGAATTATGTATGCCGCAACACATCTCTTCATGGACTCGGCAGAATTGCGCAGAAGCGCATTGCAGACGCCTGTGAGCGAGACCATGTCTCTTGCCGATAGCGGCGTGCAGTCACCCCAAGGAGACCAATCGTCCACAATGCCTGCCTTAGCCTCCAGCTCCACAATGGGAATTATGGATAATTTGGCGAGAGATAAAGGTTCAGCAATATCGACCTTTTCGGCGCGTTGTGATGGTGGGAGCATCAAGGTGAACGCCTGGATCGAACCTTTCGTCAGTACAGTATACGTTACAGCTTGGCGGAGATCCAGTATTGAATGGCAGAGTATCACGCACCTTTGAGCTCTTGAACTCAAAATTGTTGATGAGGGCGACGCTGTAACCTCTGCAGCTGAGTTGATTGATGAAAGCGAGATGGCTTTTGGCAAAGGGCGATTTTCTCTCGTCAAAGACAAAGCCATCGAGGCACAAGAAGAAGCGAAGGGAGTTTTTGGCAGTGTATAACTGGAATTCAGGACTCTCCACACTTGGAAACTCAAAGGTAATCCTGCTTCCAATTGAATCATGCCGAAGGTGTTTGATCAGGATTGCCCGCGTTAAACGATGAAAGCCAGACGCGGCGGCAGATGAGGGCTTGGTCATGCAAAGTTGTTCATGGTTTTGAAACCATATAACGTGAAATTGGCACCCACGCAGCTTGAGATTGCTCAAGAATCTTTCAACTGCATGGATCGCATGGAGTACTTGGAAGCCATCTAGTCATCGTCAGTACAATCACCAGCCCCTTGCTTCTTCATAACCTTGCAGATACAAGTTTATGTAATTGAGGAGACCTCATACATTGGTAATTGAGTTTTGCCTCGGAGATGCAGTGCGTCAAAAGTGCTTCGCCGTGGATGGCAAACAGCTCCTTGCCCGCAAAATCGCCAATCAGGTCTACGCGAAGAGGCCTCAGCGCCTGATACCAGTCGAAAAGTTTTGTCTCCATGTCGCTCAGAGAGGCCATTTTTGTCCAAGAAGTTGAGAATGAGAGATTCGCCAGAATTCATGTGTGGTGGAATGGTGCGAATTTAAGTAAATCGTTGTGGCGAGGTATGTTTCTCACCGCGGGTACAGGATGACTCTTGCCGGGAAGCGAGCGAACCAGTAACTGGACCGCTCCGCAGATCTCTGCAGCTCTTTGATTCACAGGCAAACAGCGCGGGAGCACTGCCTCGCATCTCATTCACTGCCTGACAACACCAAGGCTTATTGCATCTCACCGGAATATAACTCAGTCCAGGCAAGACGAAACAATTTCACGACTCCTCATCGACGATAGGTCTCTTCTTTATGAATGAAAGAGATCATGTGGGCTACAATCGTTGGGACTTTATGCAGTGGCCTACCGCTAGTCGGGCAGCAAAGGATGCTCGGCGCTTCAATTGACCGAATCGGATGTCACTCCGGGACATGCAGGCTATTCTTCACAAATCATATCATTGGGGCTGGCTGGAGGCTTGAAGAGCTGCCAGCCTACCAGCCTGCCAGCCTGCCAGCCTGCCAGCATGGGATTCATGCAGGCAGGATGTCGACAGTTCCACCGACGGGAGCCTGCTGCCAGCCAACGACAGCCTTGAAAGGTTACAGAGGACAGCGACACGTCATCCTTCGGCTTCATTGACTATGAGCCAACTCGGAACGTCTTTTGCGAGCGCAGCCTCGAGCACTATCTGTCTTTGTCGTTGTTGGGCAGGAGCCCACCGAAGGCTGACGACCAACTTGGCAAAATTTGTGGCCTGGACAGGCGCGAAGATCTGGAGATTATCGAGACAATAAGCGTTAGAGATTCGGCGGAATCGAGACATCTTTTCCGTGTGGCATCTCACTTGAACAGTTTCACTCTATAAGTGACTGGTGCGACTGCAAATGCAACTTTCCCAATCTACGTTTATTGATCTCGATACCGTGCATCTTGGAGCTGATCAGTGCATCATTCTGTTTTTCAGCCAAGATCGATCAAAGTCGATCCAAACAGAACGCGTCAGAGATTACGGCAATATTTGCAACCAATCGTATCCTTCTTGCGATACTGGGTGCAGATCATGCCGCCACAGTACCAACCACTCTTTGCGAAATAAAACGTTTAGGCACTTTGGGATATTTGGACCAAGTTTTGAAGGCATTTGCCCGAGCTGGCAAATCTTTGCATGAGCTCTGCATTGTTGTTTGTTGTGTCACGCGCTGCACTGGTACGGCTTCGTGAAGCTCACTTTTAGGTGTGGTTGATGGTGATGACAAGGTAGAAAGTTTACCTTGCGACCATGGCAACTACAGAAGCTTGTTCTGAATTGCAAGATGCACTCGCACTGAAAACATCTGAGATGTGCGGAGGCTTCCGAGTCTATCTTAGACGCCGATGCGGGACAGCTCAAGTGAGACGAGCGTCTCCTTTTTGGTCTGCCGTCAACAAGCTAATGCGATTCGCCCAATTTGAATTGTGACAGGTCTCCAATCACAGTTTGTTCATCTCAATGGCAGAAGTAATTTCATCATTCGTCATGCGTGAAGACTTGAGCGAAGCGACGCCGTCGTGATAGGTCGTACAGACCAACGGTGGAATGTTTCAGCACTATGCGCGCGACAGCAGATGGTTTATCGCGCTGTTGTCTCTTTCGATATACAGCATCTGTTGGACAGACGCCCTACCATTCCTGCTAACTCTGTGCTGCTGTGTCAAAGTTCTCTCCTGTGGCTGCCTCGCCTTTGCACGGCGCCTCGATGCACAATTTCTGATATAAAGCCTTCTTCTATTCCATATGCCAGGAGCGCTGATCACTCACTCTTTCATCAACTTCCATCTTCAAATCAAACACCAGACTTTCTCTCATTTTCCTTTTTCTTTGAATCTCTGTGCTGTCTATCGGCATCATGTCGCCTTTTGGCGCGTTTGGAGGGTCACGACAACGCTACCGTTCAGATTACCTCTACCCCTACCGCGACGTCCTCGACGATCGCCCGCCCGTCTTCTACACTCGGCACTTCGGAGGAAAACCCGCTCATCCGTCGTCCAGGATTTCAGACCGTCGAGAGTGCACCTACGACTGTGTTCCATTTTGGGCCGTAGAATACAAGGAACACGGCACGTTCAAGGCATGGATTACCAAGAATGCGGCCAAGGTTGATGGAGCCATACTTTTGGACCTTCTCAAGACATGCGTTAGGTGTAGTGATCAGGCCAAGGCGCAACTGGTATTGAAAGTTGAAATCGAACCCCCTCTGGACGTCAGCATTGTCCTAAGGGACTTTGTGCGAGATATGCACAGGCCGCAGATCGTGGAAGCGACCGTGGAAGCGACCGCGAAAGTGACCGTGGAAGCGATCGTGACAGCGTTGGAACTCAAAGCTGGTTTCGGGGAGATACACCCCGATGACATGTGGCGCGTATTTTCAGCAGAAAACAGCAACGTCGCTCAGCTTTTTCTGCGATGGAAATTAGATCCTGATTTGGAATTAGAGAAGAGGAATTCCAGGACGAAGGGACATATCCAACAACCGGCAGCGTTGCTCTGTGCTGCTTGTATGCGCAGTGATACGATTGTACTTGAGGCACTCATAGAGAAAGGCGCCGATATGAGCGTTTTCAAGGAGCAAGCTTCTCCTTGCTTTCTTCAAGATGATCCGCTGAGACCTGAATTATTCGAATCTCATATAACGACGCCAGTTAGCGTCGCGGCGCTCTTGGCACCAAACTTATCCTGCTTGAAATTCCTCCTCGACAGAAAGTATGTGCAGCCTGATGTTGAAGGGGTGAATAAGTGGCTCCTTCACTACCTTTGTGTGCCCTCCGAATTGTTTCCCAAAAGGCTATCATGTTTTATAGGAGAAATAGGGATAGGGGCTCGCTTTAATAATAACTCGACGCCGTTTGATCTCTCAGCAGTCGAACCACCCCCCGAAACAAGGGTGCCCGATAACCGACGAGATCGCCCGAAGATGCCCCCCAAGCACGGCCTGGACCCCAACTCAATCTGCATGTCAGACTCTGGCTCGGCTCTGCCAATGCTTTCGTTCGCGGCCGAAACAGGCAATCTCGAGGTCATGGAGCTGCTATTGAAATATGGGGCACTCATCGACCTTGGACAATTTGGCCAAGGCACGGCGCTCATACATGTCTTGGACTGTGCCCAACAGAATGAGGACCGGATCGAGCGCCAACGCCAGCTGAACACAGCCATGGTCCTTGTCAAGGACGGCGCAGATGTCGCGCCGGGTGGCGAGACGGCAGTCACCGCTATCCACATGGTCATTTGGTTTAGATCGTCCGCCAAGTTGAATCTGCTCTTCGAACTTATGCAGGGGCGGGCCCGCCCGCCCAAGTACGAGCACATGGACACGCCGCAGTACATTAAGTGTATGATCAACCGTGGCTACATGGGCACGGCCACGGCACTCATTCAGGCCGTCGAGTGCGCCGCGCCTGACCTCGTCAAGACCCTCCTCGCCAAAGGCGCCGACGTGCACCAGATAGACCGTCTCGGCCGCACGGCGCTGATGATGGCCGCACGGCAGCTGCTCCGGTACGCGGGGCCCCGGCCCGAAACCAAAGAATCGCATGACGTCGAAATGATTTGCGCCGAGCTGCTCCTGCACGACGCGGACCCGTGCGGAAGCGACGAAGCGGGCCACAACGCGTTTTTCTATGCCGGGGGTGAGAGGTCCCGTTTTGCGGAGCTGGTGGAAAAGGAGACCTTGCGGCGGCGCAAGGACGCGGAAGACCGGCGCAAGGCTGCGGAAGACCGGCGCAAGGCTGTGAGAGACGACAGCACGGCTACGGCAGATGACAGCATAGCTATAGAAGACGACAATATAGCCGCGGAAGACATAGCCGCGGAAGACGATAGCACGGCTGTAGATGGCGAGAGCAACGCGCAAGCAACGGCCGTGGTCGAGGACGACACGCAGGCGGGTGTTGAGAGGGCGCCGACGTGTTGACTGAGACACTGCCGCGAGGCTCAAACAGAGCTTTCTGATCGGAATACACTGAACGCTACAGAACCCATCAACTATCGATTACTTGCTCTTTTTGATCCATCTTTCCAACAATATTGTAGCTAAAGAGTCAAGTTCCATACACTATTCATTTCTATGAAAGATACACCGAAAAGTCCATACTCAATACACTGTTACATCTTTCTGACAAGGGCCCGAGCTATGCAAAAGCAAGGACTTGCGCAAGACTCACTGATGAATAGGAAAGAAGCCATACTACGGCGGGCTGGTCAGAGGCCGGCGAAAGTCAGCAAAGGAGGAGCGGCGCAGGACATGGTGGGAATCGCTTGTGACAGCGTGAGAGTGACAATGCGAGGTTGCAGATTCGCGAGCCTGTAGCAAGTGCATCAACAAATGACAAGAGAAAAGGCAACGAGCCATTAATTACTACCTATAAACAAAATCATATGCATCTACTTCGAACCTTGCTGTTTCCAACCCATAATAAGACCAAGAAAACAGGAGGAGGAGAATCATAATGAGACATCGACAACTCTACAGATCCGCTGGGTAAATGTTAGTCTCAGTCTCCTTTTAGTCTTTCCCAATCGACAAGACGATATTGCCCGACATTTCATCAATCTCGAGCTTCGACGCGCCATCGCCCTTGTGCCCAGAGACTGTCTTTCCGACAAGCCCGCCCTTATTCTTATCCACGACCACGTCTTTGCCGTGAATGGTAATGCCCGAAGACATGGTATCAGCAGAAAATGTGCCCTCCCAGGAGGCCGGGTAGGAAAGTTGCAGGTTGCCGCTGATGGACGAGTGGCGCGAGTCGAAAGCGACAAGACCGCGCTTCTTCTCGACAACGCGTTGACGCTTGCTCTCAGAATCGTCGTCCTCTTCCTCCTGTTGTTCCGTCTCTGTGGCGACGTTTCTCTCCTCACTCTTGCGGTTCTTGGGAAGCGTGGGTCGCTCGTGGGGATTCAGCTTGTCGGGGATGCTGACAAAGTGCGGCTCGGAAACTTGCACGCGATGGTCGCCGCTGGTGCTCTCTGTGCGGAACAGCGGACGCCAGTGCGACTGCAGCCAGCGCTCATCGAGGACAGGAACGAGTTTGAGCTCGAGATCGCCCGAGACTGAGGAGAACTCCGAGGACGATCCGATAGCCAAGTTGGCAGTAACGTCGCCCGATGTCGTCACCACTTTCACCAGGTAGTCGCGCGGAGGGATCGCGGCGCCAGACTTTGCCACGTCCTGGCTACCATCATCGAGTTTGAGTACACCAGACACAGACGAGATGTCCAGCAGGCACGATCCGGATGATTTCAGGACCACGTCCTTATGTGTAATCTGGGCAGAAACATCGCCCGAGACAGTGTCAACTCGTAGCCTGTGGTATTTCGGAAACCAACCCTTTACGTCGCCAGAGACGGTCGAGTATTTGTAGAGCGGGGATTCCATCTTGTAGGGCTCGACGTCGGAGTCGTCGGCGGGAAAGACGATATTGCCAGCAACGGTGGAGATGTCAATCTCATTCTCGGCACCAAGGGCTAGACCCTCCTGGACAAAGACATTGAGAGAGACGGTGCTGACGGAGAGAGTATTGACGAGGGCTTTCTGGGGGACCCAGGCGGTGATGCGAATCTGTATGCAGACGTCGCGGGACGATACGTCGGGGACAATGCGGGGTGTGGTGACTTTGACGTGGTCAGTGCCGTCATGATTGCTAAACTCAACCTGGACGTCCAGTTCCTTGTAGTTGGCAATAATTTCGACATCAATTTCCGCTTTGCCATTGGTGGTTGGGCGCAGGATAATTTCGCCGTTGACGTTGGGGGTGGGACGACTGGGGTCCGTCCAATGCTTCTTGTGCATCGTCTGCTCAATAAAGAGCACGCGGTCTGAGCTCAAGCTGGCGTGGAGAGTCTTCTTGGGATAAGTGTGAGGAGTGTCGCGACAGGATCTGCCAGGGTGCCAGACCAACTTGCTCTCACCCATATCAGGGGTGCGGATGGGTGACTTGTCAATGATTCGTTTCTGTGCTTGTTAGCACGGAGCGGGAAAATGATGGTATGGATGGGGAACTTACTCTATACGAAGGGCCAGACATGTTGACACCCATGAATACCAAGATGATGGAGACAATGACGAGTATGCCGAGTATTTTCTTGATTTTCTGGCGAAGAGATCCTGAGTCGTGGGAGTCTCTGATACGCCGCCAGAGGGGTTGCTTAGGAGGATCGGTAAAGGCTTGCTGCTGCGGCGGCGACAGGAGCCGCTCCTGTTCTTCGGGCGATCCCATCCTACGTGGCGTGGACGAGGAAAAGGTTGAGTATCTGAGGTTGTTTGGATTGTTTTCTGGTGATGACGGTGTGTACGCAGGCGGTGCGTCACCTCGTCCGTTGTAAGGGTGGCTGTTATAGTCGGAGGGGTGCTGGGGGGACGTATTGACGTAAAGCTGACGCTGTTGCTGAGAGGCTGCGTCTTGCGGGCCCGAGCGATGACTGCTTTGCGCAAAAGGATAGGAAGTGTTGGTATAAGTGCTAGGCGTGTCAAGCGAGGCACCCGATCCGGACGCCGAGGCGGAAGGGTAATAATACGACTCGGGGTTGTGGTGAGGATGGGTTGACGAGGAGGAAGGGAGAGCGTGGACGCCGGCAGCGCCGTCACTATTTATCAGACGCTGTGCAATCTGGGCCTTGGAGTCGGGATCCTTGGTGAGGGTGGGATCCTCGACCAAGACGTTGGGTACGTAAGGTGCGCTGCCAGAACGACGCGACGCATGCAAGGGCTGATGGTGGTGGTGTGAGGTAGGGGAGACGTTGGCGGAGTCTTCGTCCCGAAAGTAACCGTCCGAGGGCGACAGGGCTGAGGCGGTAGCAGCATCGTCGTCATGGGCTTCCGAGACAGCAGGGTCCGGGTCAGAGTAGACGTTGTCCGAGGGCATGGCGGCGGAGGGTGACGCAATGCGTCCGGGTGGTTCTTGTGCTGACTAGGTATGTACCTACTAGCAGAGGGTGTGAGGAGATGGATGTGGTTGCGGTCGGAGAACGGAGAAAATTGAGGAGACTGTATGCAAGAGGAGGATGCAGGAGGAGGATGAAGAACAAACAAAAACGAAAAAAATATGGTACGAAGGACTAGAAAGCAGTGATGGGGCGTGGTACCGTGGTTGGGTGGTGGTTTCGATTGAATATTGAATGGTGCCAGCGACGAGGCTAATAAACGAAGGAGGGAACAATTATCAGCAGCTGAAGCCGCTAGTGATTTTTTAGCTAATACCTACTCCGTACCTACCTACCTACCTAAGAAGCAGCAGCTCCGGGACCCTTGGCCGGCAGCTGGCGGACCAAAGAGAGCCGGCACGCGGACAGCTGCCAGCAAACACCGTCTCCACCAGAGCTCTACCTACGATTGAGCACGGCACAATTACTTGCCCAGCATTGAGCATCACAACAACATAAACCATCTACAACATGACAAAAAATTCAGACAGGACGAATCCAAGCTACCCAGCCTCGTTGCTCCTTTGCCCCGCATCCAACTGCTCCAGCGACCACGCTAATCAATTCATAAGGCTGTCGTCAGCTTTCCCCGTTTGCTCATCTGCCAACGCGGCCTGTCCCCACCCGTCGCTATCCTCATTGTGCATCTCCAGTACGCGATCCGGAAAATCTTGTCCCATCCTTCGTAGTCGGCATACGCGTTCATACATTGCCTTGAAAATTCTGTACCAACTTGGTCAATTTGGAGAAACTGCTTCTACACTTTGTTCTGCAATTGCCGCCGTCAACCCATCCACGCCTCTCATCCCCGCCACACCTCCGGGTACCCGCTCCGGTAGATAGCGCACCGCCCGGACCGTCTCCGGCCCTCTCCTTGGCAACCAGCAACACACCACCAGTCAGCAATTCGGCATGTGTATATTTTTCTCTTGTACTGATACACGATTCTGATCTACCGCCATATCCAGAAAAAAATTACGCAAGAAAATTACCCAGCCCGATTTGTCAGCTTTATATGTTATGTATCAGTGTCATGTCTGTTCTCCAGGCCAATCTCTTCCCAGCCTCTTGCCTCGAGACTCGTTCGAGGCATAGCTTGGCTTCGCCATTTAGCTTCAAAAAAATACTCGACAAGAACAAATATCCCTCCTTGACCATCAATGGCCAGTCACGCTCCTATATGCCAGAAACAAATAAAAAACAACCTGCAGGAACGCAGCACCTGCATCGCATGCCCGAGTTCGCTACTGCAATCCGAGAATTTTCTTCGAATTCTCATAAACAACCCACGTTATGCTCAGCGCAGGTGCCACCTTAAGCAGGTTCGGCGTCAAACCCTTGTACAGACCCCGCACGCCTTCCCTCTGTATCGTCTGTTGCGTCACGTCCCAGATGCCGTTGTATGTCGCGCTGTGCATCGCCGTGCCTTGCGTCTGCAGCCGCGTTCGCACCACGTTGAGAGGATATACCACCGACGCTCCAAAAGCGCCCGATGTCGCCCCAATGATGCCCGTCGCCACGTTGCCAATCTCCACGTCGTCTTCGTGACAGCCGAGCTCCTTGGCAAGCTTTGTGCGGTACGTCTTTTTGAGAAATTCAAACGTGCTCATGTCAATCGCGCTGTATGGGAACATGCCTACCAAGCCCATCGTCACACCGCGATACCCGGCCCGGATGCCGCCGTCCGCATACATCTTGATGGCCGTTTGTTTCATCAACGCCACGCCGCTGAGACCGCCCTCCACCGTAGAGCATTGCAGTCGGAACTTCAAGGTATCAAGAGGGTACACGCAGAATCTGTCATCCATCAGTATGCAGCTCATCTATCCCTAGCATCGCTTCCACTCACTGCGCAATCATCCCCGCTAACCCGCCAGCGGTGAATTTCGAAAATGTATTGATTCTTTGCGAGTCTCCGTGACCTTCCAAGTTTGCAAAAGCTCTTTTCGCTGCTTCGTACGAACCAAACTTGATCGCCGTCTCAGGCATGATTTTGACCACATTTAGCCCGTTGCCTGTTCCTCTCGTCAGACCGTGTGCAACGGCACTATGCGCGGCACAGATGCACTTACCAGCAAAAAAGCCGCGTATTCCTCCAGACCGATACACATCTCTGATGGCATCGCTAAAAGGCCGCGCAGCATTTTGTAGAGCAGCCAGCAGTTTCCCTCTCCTGAGAGCCGCCACCGCTGTTTCGCCCCGGTTTTGCGTGTTCACGAGAAGATAGACCTTTAATCGATCCAGAGGCGCGGTTGCAGTTCGCGACACACCTCCAGCAATGGCACCCGCAAGAAAGTAACCTGGATGGGGGGCAAAGTCTGTCAGTTTAAAAGATCTGGTTTCAAGCCCAACATTGCCAGCTGTCGTCTCATCAAATATCGGGGTGCCATCGCTAGGTTTTCTTCTTTGTAGTTTCGCGACAGCATCTGCCACTCCCTCTGCGTCATCATCCATCAAAATCATGACTGCCTCCTCCCCATTTGATGATGATGATGATGATGATGATGATGACGAATATTCTGATAATGGTTGCGTGGCACCATATAGTTGTGAAGTGTTTTGAGAAGAGGGAGGAGGCATAGGGGTGGCTATCCTGAACAGAGAGCCAAACAGAGATTCAAGAAGAGAGCTGGAAGTGCTTTCCGTACCTAAGCCTTCCAAAGTATCATCGCTCACGACAGAGTCGCCTTCAGATGTGACATTTACCACGGCGTCGTAATATGTTAGCACGGCTTGCAGCTTTTCGTCGGCTTCGTGAGCGGGCATAAAGAGCATGAAATATCTGATGCATAATCAGTCAGCTGCAGAAATTTGTAAAAAGAGTCATCATCAAAGTTTGCAGCGCCGAGCTTGAGCGATTGGCGTGCGTCGAATGACTACTGTGGTGCTGAAGCGACCACTGGGCGCAACGCCACATGACAGACAAGAGGCAGATGACGTCGAACCAACCACGAGGGCCTGCCCCGAGCCACTGCGAGCAGAATGTGGAGCCATTGTAACTTGTGAAGGAAAAAAAGAAGAAAGAGAAGGAAGAGAGAAAAGAAAGCGTACCTCCACTCTTCATATGTTATGTAGCCGTCGTGGTTGACGTCCATGTCGTTGAAGAAGCAGTCGAGCTTCTTGTTAGAGACGGTCAGGCCGGCGGTTTTGAAGGCGGCCTTGAGCTCCGCCTTGTCGAGCTTTCCGTTGCCATCCTTGTCAATTGCCCGGAACAGTGACATGAGTTCTGTATCGGCACGCTTGACAAAGTTTTTAAACTCTGCGACAGGTTAGTTGATGACCGTTCCCAAGATATCCGAGCTCCAAAGCGCTGTTGGCGTTACCTTGGTACTGTATCTTGCCGTCGCCATTGCTGTCGACCTCGGTCAAAATCTTCTTGACCATCGAGTCTGCATTCTTCATCGCTACAAGAAGAAAGAAAAAAATTAGCAATCTAGCTTCTCTTATCGCATTGAAGTTGCGTGTCGGCTCACGGTGGTCGAGCCGCCGGAAACCCCGCTGCAGGCCATTGTAATCGAGATCGCCATGGGGGCTGGGCCCGAGGCAGTTCCAGAGAAGCTCAACCAGGTCGTCGTGGCCATGCTCGGGGCTCACAAACGCCTTTCTCGCCTCTTGGATCCCCGTGGACACACTCATAATGGCATCAGCATCGCTCGCGGCAGTCTTTCAGAAGGGGGGCGGGTCGGGAGCCCCGGGGGGGGTTGTTGGTGGTGGTGACGGGGGTCGGTGCGAGTATCGATCGCGTTTCGCGTTGTCAGAGGCGCAATTGCTACAGCGGCATGATCGGGCGGTGCGTTTTTGCGTCGTCAAGTGGCAGCTCAGCAAGGGGCATAGAAGCAGAGTGCGGCAGCACAAGCGGTGGTATTGATGCAGGTGGGATGCGGCGATGGCGAGTGTCAAAATGGCGTTGTAGAGACTGTTCCCAGTCTGGCTGGGCCCAAAGCTTGTTGGTACCTACGTAAAAAAAAAATAGTGAAAGCCAAGCTGCCAGTCAGCTCCGCCTTGGTTGGTGCTGGCACTTGGTGGTCAGCCAGGTCAATTTGCGGCTACGCCCGTTGGTGGGCAGAGGTCGCTCGGACCCAAGCCCCAGCTATTACCTAACAACCTGCCATGCAAATCTCTAAAGAGCGAGTTAGTGCGTGCTTCTTATCGCCCCGCAAAACTTTGTCTCTCGGCAGCCTGCTTGTACTACAGGCGCTCTGACGCTGGCAACGACGACACACAAACCATGGCAACCATGCGATAACACGACAGCCTCAATCGCGACAGCCGTCTCTCGGCCTCTCTCAAATTTCATCTAACACCGTACATGTCGACTCAAAGAATCTTCTCTCGAGCTTCTTGAGGGCGGCTGCCCGCCGGTTGCCCAGCATGTCGGCCAACTATTGGGACTCGACGCAGCGGCGATACTGGCTCTTTACAAAAGACCAGCTGAACACGATGCGCAGCAAGCTCGAGCAGGACAACATCGACCTCGTGCGGATGTTTCCCTTGTCTCAGCCCCGACACCTCGCCATCTTTTTCAATCAACGTGCGTTTCCCCCCTCCCCTCCCGTCCTGTCCCGTACCGTCCGGCCCATCACTTGCTCCCCTACTAACCCTGTCTCCCAGAACTCATTCGCCTCGGCAAGCGCCTCACGATCCGCCAGCAGGCCATGGCCACGGCCCAGGTCTACCTCAAGCGCTTCTATTCGCGCGTCGAGATCCGCCGCACAAACCCGTATCTCGTCATCACAACCGCCATCTATCTCGCCTGCAAGATGGAGGAGTCACCGCAGCACATTCGCCTCATCGTCACCGAGGCCCGCCAGCTATGGCAGGACTTCATAGGCCTCGACACCTCACGCATCGGCGAGTGCGAGTTCTTCCTCATCTCCGAGATGAGCTCCCAGCTCATCGTCCACCAGCCCTACCGGACCCTCACCTCGCTCCGCAGCGAGCTCGCCCTTGTCGACGAGGACGTCCAGCTCGCCAAGTCAGTCATCAACGACCACTACATGACCGACTTGCCCCTGCTCTTCCCACCGCACATCATCGCGCTTGTTTCCATTCTGCTCGCCCTCGTCCTGCGGCCCAACTCTGTCGCCCCGGGTCAGCAGCCCGGCGCGGCGGCCGCGGCGGGGCTCGCGGCCGCGCAGGCGGCCCTCAGCCAGGTTCAGGGAGGCGGCGTCATGACGCCGGGTGGTGGCGCGATACACGGGCTGCCGCTTCCGCCGCCGGTCATTTCGGGGCAGGAGGCGCGCGAGAAGCAGCAGGAGGCGCGCATCACCCGTGTGCAGCACTTTGCGGCGTGGCTGGCCGAGAGCACGGTCGACATTGCGTCCATGGTGGACGCGACGCAGGAGATTATTTCCTTTTACGAGTGCTACGAAAAGTATAATGAGAAACTGACAAGGGAACAAATCAATCGCTTCGTCAAGGCGGGCAGCTTGGATCGATAGTCGGGCAGCAAAGGGTGTATAATTTCTTTCTAGGCGTATGATACCAGGGGTTCGGCGTAATGATGGCGTCTCGTTCATCTGTTTTTGTGATATTAGATGACAGAATCGAATCTTTACATATTTCGTCGCAGCCGGTTCTATTCGGTGCGTGTGTGTAACGGGACTGGTACACTTTCCGACAACTTTGGTGATGACCCTTACCGGCCATCACGCTCGTTGGAGAGTCACTCTCGCCGGCCTACAACCGGCGGCCTATCATTGCTTCAGCCAGCCAGCTATGTTTTCTCGCTGAGTAGGCACCACCGCTCTCGGCGGGCTCGGTGGCATACTCTTCCTCGTCCGCTCCACATCGAGCCAATGCCCGCGAACACGACGCCGAATACCCTTCTACGGCGCCAAGAAGGTACTACGAGCGTAGTTCGCATAGTCGAGCTTTGCTTCATTCCATCCGCGGCAGCGGCGGCTACCGTTGTGTTGCTTGTCACCGCGGATCGTCCTACCAGCGGCAAGAACGTCATGCGCAGGAGGCGCAGTCCCGAACGAACGTTTGTCATTACGCCCGGCAAGCACCTTCGTTCCTATATCCGCGCATGCTAGTGACTATCAGTGAGCCAATTCTTAGTCTCGGCAGTTCACTCAAGCGCGAGCCAAGAGCATTCAACGTTGAAGAAACAAAAGGTTCATTGTGATGCTGCTGCGAAGCCGCGCAGCATCTGTCGAATCGTGAACCGCAGAAAATGCCATGTATAGCATATGCAGGCCGTTTTCTTGCTCACAAGTGATCGAAAGCTCAGCTTTTTGCGGGCATGGCTCCTCCTGCCAATATGTTCAGCACAAGCCCTTTTGCTTCGGATGCTTCTTCTCCTCGTAGTCACCAACTACGTCCGAAGCTCTACAGACACCGTATCTCCCTATGTCCGCAAGTCAAGTATACACCAGCAAACCAGCTAGGCGTCCGCCAATCATGGCCATGAATCGCGCATCGGGTTAATTACCAACTGATACTCGCCAATCAGAAATCTGAGCTCTCCCTTTTCCGCTTCTTCCCAACAAGATGGTGCCGTCCTGTTGTGTACCGTATGACAATCACCCGGAATTACCTGTGCGCTCGGTCCGGTCTTGTGAAATGCTGCAACCAGCCCCTCTTCATTGTGAGACGCGACCAAGCTGCCGAAATTGGGGCTTTACGAGTTCTTTTCAAGCTTTTTGGTTTATCTAGTATTTCTCGTCGGGCAGTAGGAGCTCTGCTACATGCAGCGAATGATTGGATGACACTAGGATGACATGTCCATGGCAAGATTTCAAATGTGTCAAGCACGCAACAATGGCCGTTCAATGGCGGTGAACTGACTGGCTATTTTTTTTTTACATTCGACTTTGGGCATCACATCAGGCGCCAGTGGCTTGCCAGCCTCCCCTCTCCATCCGCACCAAGAGATTCTAAACCTGGTCGACGAGTGGGGTGCGCTGATCAGGCGGCGCATCCTTGTCGTCAGATTGCTACTTGATTATCGCAGCGCATATGCTGAACAACCAAAGTACTGTGAAAGCCTTGTGTATCGAGATGGTGTGTGGCAGACCTGAAAACTTGCAGTTCGCGGACCAGTGACGAGCCTCACAGAGATGTCGTGCGGGCGGTGGCGACCTGTGAGCCAGCAAACCCAGCCCGCCAACGGTGCAAACGCTCTGCCGATAACACTGTGCTGGTACGACCGGCCCTGCATGTGAATGTTATGCAACCGAGAGACGGATCTATAGATTCTCAATTGCCCGGTCCCCGCATCGTCTTCCGCATCAGAAAATGTAAAGTCTGAATCAGCAATTGCTTCGTGATTTAGTAATGGCATCAACGTGTGTAATTGGTCAGTGGTGCAGGGAGGCTGGAAGTAGTTAGGGCAACACAGCAAGGCAATTAGTTTGCAGCACGAACGATAACCGATGACCCTTGCCGATTCCTAGCGTGGTATTCACAGCTGCCTTGACACGAGAGACACGTTTTTTGTTTGTCTCGTTGCCTGTGAGGAGCCCATATTTAGCATGCCAAAGTAGGTGGAGGAAGGTTGTCTGCCTGGCTCGGGGCCAAGTGTGGAAAGAATCCAGAAATCTATGAGTGGAAAATGAAGGAAGGGAAACGGAAAGAGGGCACAGTTGTTGGGGAAAGTGTTATTACATGCAACAAAATTCCTCACAATGAGCTGAGGGAGTCGAGCAATGTTGGGTCGCCGGATGGGAGAGCCGGTTCGGCGGGGAACCATTGGAAAAAGGTCCGGTAATCTGTGAAATGCTCGAGTATCAATTTTCCCTGCTACTTCTAGACAGACATCGTTAAAAAATACGACAGCCGCCACAAGATACATACTGTGGCAATATCCGTACCCCATTTTGATATTGATGTTGTGCGACACCAGCACTGGCCGCAGCATGTACGAAGTTCAAGCGAGTGACCAGCTGTCTCATGTTCTGCATATGTACATGAGGGCACAGGTTCGCAGGGCAGAATGGATAACCTTAATGCCTGGAGATAATGTCTGAACAAATAAATATTTAGGCTTGGTGCAGCAGCGGGATCGAGGGGCGAGGCTGATTACTCTTGTTTCGAGACCTTGTCTCACGTCGCTGGAGCTCTCCCCAGCTTGCCTTGCTCTACGGGCAGGCCAGGGGGACAAACTGTGTAATAAATATCCCGGCACTGTATGCTATGCCTCCCGCTGAAATGATAACAAAAGGAAGCGAGGCAGAAGAATTGCAAAGGGTCTTGGTTATGCAGACAGTCTGCAAAGGAGACGGGTCCATGAATATCACTAGCGGTCGGCTTGAGACCGATATTCGATATTGATGCGCTGAGCTCTGACTCGACCAAGACAATGGACGAGATATTACTCCTGCGCCGGAATATAGTCTATCAGTGGGCAAGATGGGTGGGAAAGTCGATAATAGGTCGGCACTAGCAAGCCACAGTGCCCTGATCGGCTGACGGAGGTGGCCAAAGGGGTCGCCGGGTTTCAGTATGCGCTGCGCTGCACAGCCCTGGCTAGACTCCAGGGCGGAGGCGACGGCGGCGGAGGTGGCGGCCAACCAGTGACAACAACGAGGGATGACGTCTATTCTTTGAGTTTATAGCGCTGGGCCCTATAATAATAGCACGAATGGCCAGCGTTTTGTGGTGGTGTATCGGAATTACCCCTCTTTCCGTGGTCGGTGGAGAGGAGGTCATGAGGATACGGGCGAGTCATCAAGGCAAGCTCGACTCTCCCATAGTTGGACGCGCTGGATGTGCTTCTTGTAGAGTCGTGCCTGCGTACTGGTGCAACGGCAAAGTCTACGAACGAGATTCGTTTGCTAACGTCAAAAGAGGCGAGCTGCAAGTAGCCGCCGGAATACCAGATTAGGTGCTAGCTGCGTAGGCCTACGTCGCAGTCGGCTGATGAGGGGTCGTATGTTGATTGAGCTGGAGCTTGAAATGCATGCTGTAACTAGGGTGCTAGGTACCTAGGCGCCAAGCCAGTGTGCCAGGGCAGCGTGCAGTGCTTGTGGTAATCCGGCAATTCGGTGCTGTGCCTGGTATGAGGCTGGTGTTGTGCCTTTCGATATTGAACCAGCTTATTGCCTTGCTAGACTGGACTGAACCAGAGTTCGCCACCATGAATATTAGCACGCAAGACGAGTCCCATCTCGGCAGGGATCAGTGGCTGACTGTTGTACCTGGCAGAGAGCGCTGCGCTTCAATGTGCGGACGGACGGACAGCCACAGCCACGGCCTCTCCAGCCAGCAAGGTTGATCAGTGAGCCGGTTTGGGTTCGACTGACGCACTTGAGTGGGGCATCTCGAGGCGGCGAGAGCGGTCAAGTGACTGTGTATGTTTTGGCTCCTGGAATGAGGACAGCATCCTCGACTGGTGGAGCACAAGTCGTCGTCCCCTTGAAGAGGGGGCCCGAGGTCTCGCCCAGAAGAACTGGTTTCTGTTGGCTGCGTCGCCATCATTTCTGCTCTAGTTATTACTGATGGTCTGCAAAATAATCTCGTCTAAAAGTTGCAGCTCCTCTTCTCCTGCATCTACCACTGAAAGGCTGCTGGGCGGCCCCTGCAAGCGCCCGCCGCCTGCCCTGCAGCTCGCCGCCAGAAAGACCTAGGGTCAGTCGTTGGACTTTGTTTCCCAGCTGCACTGTGCTAGCACTGTATTTACCTTGCAGCAGTGGCCTTTCTGTCCAAAGCTGTGCGTCTTGTGCTGTGCAGCACCACATCGGTGCACATGTGGAGTTCCTGGCTGCCTGGCCAGGTTATTACTGGCCAGCGGCCAGCACAGATTGCACCCCTGCCAACCAAGCTTACGCATCGCTAACCAACTCGTTCTGAGCACGTTTTTGTAACAGTGCACGCTACCCATACTTCACACCGTGTCGTTGGGGGCCCCACACATAGTAATCCCACAACCGTTCTAGTCTGTTTGCAGATTAGACATGTCCCAACGCTGTCCAATAATTCGTTAGTGGCAAATGTGGCGGATACGTCTTGTTGTGTTTTGATTCGATACTCGCCTCCTAGTCCCACCTACCCTGTCACCCTCCACCCCAACCCCGGCATTGCCGTTCAGTTCAGGGCCACTGGTACTTTTAGCAGGAGTTTTTGTGCTGCTTCAGGCCTACACTTACCTGTAGACCTGCCTCTGAACCTGTTTTTGGAGGCCTTCTACCATTAAATCTACTCACCTGTCCGCCTGTTGAGAGAGGCTTGCCCACCGCATTTCTTGTCAGTGCATGCCTCCATCGCCCGCCCACCTTTTTCTTCGTACCCACCTTTATTCTCGCCCACTCAGGTCACCCAAGCCGAAACCGTCCCCCCCTCCCACCCACACCCACCTACCGTCCAACCTTCCTTTTCTTCTCCTACCTCCTCCTCTTCGCAATACCCTCCCCCATCTTCCATTCTCATCGCTTCGTCCTGCATCAACTTCTGTACTACACTTTCCCTGCTATATATTTACATTTCTTCCCCAACGCCACCAGCAATACATCAATAGAAGTCATCGCCATTGCTCAGCCCAATCTTTCTTCCGAATCAACGATCTGTCCTCGCCTGCCGCTTCCCGATTCGCGTACACATCTCGGCATCACAAACAATGACTTCTTACTATCCATACGGCGCCATTCCGGCCCAGCCCGGCCCCGTCTCCCACAGCCACCACGGCGGTCGCAATCGCAGAAACGCTCGCCTCTCCGTCTCCCAAAACTCGCATCGTCAGTTCCGTGGTGTCCGCGGCATCAAGGAGATCAATGAATCGGCCTCCCTCTCCCTCTTCCGCACCAAGTTTGAAGCCATACGTTCTTTTGATCTCGAGGATGACATGGAGTTTTGCCCGGGTCTCCTCACCGAGACAGACGTGAGTAGCGACAGCTCTTCTGGCGCATCGTCCCCGGCCTTCTCTGACAAGTCCCTCCAGCTCGTCTCCATTTCCTCGTCGGAGCGCTCTTCGCTTGCCAGCAATTCTCCTGAGTCGTCGCCCACCCAGCAGCCGCAGTCCATCACCCCCGGCTTCTCTCTCAACTCTGCCTCGCCCTCCTTCGTTCCTCCTCCGGTTGTCCAGAACCAGCCAGCCTTCAAGCTTCATCAGCCCTCGGCCAGGGGTCGCAATGCCATTCCCATCATCAACCCCCTCACTGGCATCACCATGACTAGCCCTGCTCCTTCTATCTCGCCCGCCAGGCTGCAGGGGCATCCCATTCGTCGCTGGTAGGCAGCTGCCGCGTCCCGCCTCGCTTGCTCTCTTGAACGAGTTGCGCTGCGAGGGCGGAAGCTGGCGGTCTCTCTACCGCCGCCCCACTTCCGAATGAATGCATCCCTGTATTCTCTTGGGCGTGTTCATCTCTTGGTGCACACAATGGGATGGGAAAACAACTAAACCCTGGGCGTCAATCTTTCTGGCCGGACTCCTCTCTTGCACGAGCAAGTATCCCCTTGCGGCGAGGACTGCGATACCTCGTCCGCCGCTCGGCTGCTGGCTCGCACTGTACAAGCAATTTCTCGACATACACTCCTGTTTTTTGCACAACAAAATTATATGAGGATATACCGGCGCGTTTCAACGAAAATCGATACCACGTTTGCTTTGGGTTTGTTTTATTGACCACTTTCATTATGTCTGCCTCGATGGCGCGACTGGAGACATACATGGGCGTTTTACACGGAAGAACATGTTATTGGTTCTTTTTTTTTTTGCATACACAACGGCTTGCATTTGGGTCTCGAAGCGATGTCTTTGCGTTTTCGGCCTTCGCATGTTCGCTCTTGGGACGCGACATATGGCATCACCAAAAAAGACATGCCTGGTTTCATCTCGGGGTGAGATCTCACGGCATCAACTTTTCCAAAAAGACTTAGAAAGGCGGTGTTTTTTTTTCATGGCTGGGAGATACAACCAAGTTTTCTCTCATTCGTGGTGTTTATCACATTGGCAATTTTTTCTGGGCCGGCTGGCTGTCATAAGGCGCGCAAGGCGACACGTTGCGCGCCGGTCTGGACAAGCCGAGGCGGGGTTTCTTCAAATAAGCCTGTCTACTTTGGTGTTATTTTTCTATGTTGCCGTGTTTCGGCTGTTTACAGTTGTGCGACGATTTGCTTTGGGAATGCGACACTACATTCTCTGATTTCTTGTTGTACAAATGACGGCGAGCAACTTGAGAATTCTGTCCATTGTTCAGTTTCGGTTATGGATCACATATTACCTTATTATTTAGTACTGCTTGCCATGAGCGGGCTAGGGCGATAGTTTTTTGGTTTTCTGGCATCTTCTGGGTGAAGGGTTTCTGGCCTTGGGGTTTGATGTTTGATGTTTGCTTTTTACTTCTGGCCCTGGGATGGGGCTAGCTTGTGTTACTTTGTTCTGTGTTTTATCTTGGGAGCATCTGCGAGGTTTATGAATGATTTGGCAGGGAGGTCTACATTATCGGGTTACGATCGGGACCATTGAGTTTCGTGGTGTTGCGACTTCTGAGGTGCACATATTTTGGATACGGCGCTGGTTGATACCGCGGCTTGAAAGCCTGCAGATGAATACATGACTTCTACTCTACTTTTGATGTGTGAATTATGATTACATTGCCCTTTTCTCGAACCATCTTGTCAATGCATTTGTCCTACTGTGATTGGCCTCAATTATTGCAGAGCAACCCTCTTGCAATGTTTACCCTGACTGGTCTAGAATCGGGGCTAGCATCATGGCACGCAGATCACGCATCAGGGGCATGACCTCGTGGCGAGAATAAAGTCTATCTTATAGCTAAATAATGGGACCCTTTATCATAGGCCGTGGTCATTTCTTTGACCTTTACCGGTTGCCTCAAGAAAAGTTTCCTTTAAAAGTCGTTGCCATCGCGGGGGTTTGCCCGATGCTGTGGTCATGCTGACGTCACAACACGACCAGCGATGACCGAACTGATGGTGCTGCGTAGCAATGGGGATTTGGTAATTGGATGCGTCTTTTCTTACATTTATGGGACTCTTCCTCTTCTCTTCCCTTTAACATCAATTCGCTTTACCTCTTTCCATTGCTACGACAACCTGCATCCGTTCTGAATCAACCCACCAAATCAGGGTACGTACGTACCATTGTCGATGACTGGTTTCGGGCAATCAATCGAAAAGAAAATCGTCTACTAACAAAAATGTTTTGAGAATCAATCATTATAATTTTTCATCATGCTTGCGTCAAAGTCTGTCTTTCCGCGCGTCGCCCGCTGCGCCGCTCTGCCCGCCGCCCTCAAGCCTTTCCACAGCTCCCGTGTGCTCTCCCACAAGGAATCCAGCTCCAGTATGTCTAAACTCCCCAACCAGTCCCAAACGGTCAAGGGAACAAAAATGGTGAAGAAAAAAAAATAAGAAGAGAGGTTTAGAAGAAGTTGTGTAAAAAAAAAAAAAAAACTAACGCAGTCAGATACAGACGATGACGTCGACAAGCACAAGCTCGACCTCTTGCGCAAGCACAAGGACGGCAGCGCGCACTGGAAGCGCGAGCTCGCGTCTGATAGCGAAGAGGCTGTCAAGGCGGACAAGGGCTATGGCGCGTCCAAGGAGACGCTTGAGCAGCTGCAGGAGAGGACCAAGAAGATGGCCGAGGAGAGCAGCCGGAGCGGGACGAGTAGTCACGAGGGCATGTAAAAGGCTGTGTCTCTCTTTTGGAGGTTATCAATCAAGTTTGCCCAAAGATTTTGAGACTGGACCGCTGTTCAATAACTAGGCTTCTTGTGCTTGTATTTTTGTTTTTGTTGTTTGGTCCCGTGGCTGCATGAATCTGACTTGACGGCATTGGGCATTTAGCATAATTACTGTGATCCATCATCAGTTTTGTGTAAATTTACTGCAAAGGATAATGCTGGGATTCTCGAAGATGTGGTCATCGCCCAGCGGGGCCCCGTCCCTTGGCGAACCACCAGCTAGCTCACTACCTAGGTAGTTTAATGCACCACCTCTTCTTGTATTCACCTTTTCTGTACGTACCAAACAATGTCTTCTTATTTCGCCTCATTGATCAGCAGGAAATGAGCGGAACACTTCTCGTGCCTACTCCCGGGCATGATAGTCCCAAAGCAGACAAGGTCGAATTCATCGAGCGCATAACTCAAGTGTTCAGGGTAGCCCGGTTACCGAGGCCTTGCTCCGTTCTTCGGCCGGCCCTGCGGCCATGATATCGATAAGCCCCAACCAATTCCCCAATTTCCATCTCTTCTCAACGACGAGCTCGGGCTCCAAATTCGCGCTCCCAATTGGTACGCGACACCTGTTTTTCCCTCTCTCTTTGTCTTTCCCTCTTCCTCTGGCCCATTCCGGGCTTTCAATTGGCCTCACCTCTCGAGTTCCCCCGCCCCCTTTTTTTTATCTTGAGGTAGCCCTTTCTATTGTCCCAATCCCTCGCCTGCCGCAACGACCCAAATGGAGCCCCAACCCGCGCCCTTTCGCACCGCCCTCATCGCCGGCGCCGTCGCCGGCACCACCGTCGACCTCTCCCTCTTCCCCCTCGACACGCTCAAGACGCGACTGCAGTCGTCGGCCGGCTTCTTCGCCTCTGGCGGCTTCGCCGGCATCTACCGGGGCATCGGCTCCGCCGTTGTCGGCTCCGCGCCCGGCGCCGCCTTTTTCTTCTGCACCTACGAGTCCGCCAAGCACTACCTCGCCCCCCGCATCGGAGCAGGATCAGGAGCGAGCATCGGGAGCGACGCGCTCGTGCAAATGATGGCCGCCAGCCTCGGCGAGGTCGCCGCGTGCGCGGTGCGCGTGCCTACCGAGGTCGTCAAGCAGCGCGCGCAGGCCGGCCAGCACGGCGGCTCGTCGGCGCGCGCGCTGCGCGCCATCTTGCGCTCCTCTCCCGGCGGCATCTCGAGCGTGTGGCGGGAGCTGTACCGTGGTTGGGGGATTACCGTGTTCAGGGAGGTGCCGTTTACGGTGATTCAGTTTCCGCTGTGGGAGGGCATGAAGGCGTGGCGGCGCCGGCAGCGGCAGGAAACGAGTGGGAGCGGGAGCGGGAGCGGGAGCGGGAGCGGGAGCGGGAGAGCGACGGTAAGCCAGGTAACGGCGGCGGAGAGCGCGCTGTTTGGGAGCGTGGCGGGCGCGGTGGCCGCGGCGGCGACGACACCGCTGGACGTGCTCAAGACGAGGGTCATGTTGTCACCCGAGAGGGTCTCGGTGGCGGCCGTGTTCGGAAGGATGGTGAGGAAAGAGGGCGTGAGGCCGTTCTTTGCGGGCGTCGCGCCGAGGGTGACGTGGATATCGATAGGCGGTGCGATTTTCCTGGGCAGTTACCAGTGGGTGGTGAACACGCTAGAAATGAAGTCGTAGGGGGGCAGAGAGAATTCATGTACGATAAAATCCTGCATTATAGAAGATGTATTTACCGGAAAGAAGCAAGTGTACATAATGGAAATACAATGAGAAGATCATCATCATCATCTTATTCAACAAGCGCGCTAAATAACAAGAGATGATAGTTGAAGAAAAAGAAATGATAATAAAAAGAAATGTCAACAAATCAACAGCAACACGGGCTGTAGTAGATTGATACAAAGAGCCTGCTGGGTATCCATGACTCGAAAAAAATGCGCGCATCCGAAATCAAAACCTATGCACGTTTCTACGCCGTGACGGCTGGCGCAGGCCTCGCCGGCACCTCCAATGGTGGTTGCAGCTCCGGCTGCTCGGGCTCCGGCGCGGGCATTGGGCGCAGTGGCTTGCGGCCATTCGTCTTGTAGTAGAGGACAATGTCGTTGCCACCCTTCCAAATGTGCGTGCGCAACGTGGCCAGGGTTAGCGTCGGCTCCAGGAGCTGCTCGTTGCAGTACAGCTCAAGGTACTCTGCTGGGTCCATCTGCGCGTCCGCGCTGTCGTCGTCGGGGTTGGGCGGCGGCTCGATGCGCTCGGCCACGTAGCCCAGGATCTTCTTGACGCGCAGCATCCGGTTGGCGTTGAGACGGCTGCTGCCGTCGGTGGCAATGGCCGGCAGACCGTCCAGCGGGTGCAGAACAAAGGAAATCTTAACGGGCTCTTTGAAAGGAACCTGGTTCTGGAGAAGTAGATCTCCGAGCCACATAGGCGCCTTTTGCTCAATGATGTCTGCATCGCGGCCGACGCCCTCGACTGTGCCCTGGTACACGTTGGAGCTTCCGCCAGACGTCTCCTCCTGGATGATGACCTTGGTGCCAGGCGGCAGTTTAAGCACTGGCGTATCCGCGGGTAGACTAGGCGTGACTCGTGTCTCTACCAGCTTGTCTGGCGACTCGGAGAGCAGTCTATCGTACTCGTGGCGAATTTTTTGAATAACGCCATAGAAGCTATCGTCGACTTCCTTTTCGTGACTTGAAGACGATTCCGATTCGACAGCCTTCTCGTCCACCACGACAGGCTTCTCCTGAGTCACCTGCGAGGCCGAACGCCCAAGCTTCTTGGAGCTAAAAGACATGCGAAACTTCTTGCCAAACGGTGTGCTGGGTGACTTGGGAACATCCACCGGCTTTTCCTTCTCTTTCGGTTTTTCTGAATTATCAGTCCAATTCTTGCCTTCCACAGTCTCTGGAGCCGGAGTCTTGACCGTAGCTGGGCTTTCGATAGGCGCGATACCGGCGGTAAAGTAATCACCCTTGTCGGCAGAGGGGTGGCCAACCTGCGAAGCGCTGCTCGACTCAACAGCTACGACAGGCGTGCCGATTATACCAATGCCGGGCGTCATTGCGGGCTGCAAGCCATCGGGACGGGGAGTGGCGGCATCATCCGTCAATCCTAGAACAGCTGGCCTGAGAGCATTGGCTGATACGCTGCTCGCGGCTACCGCAATCCTCTTTTCTACCTCTTCGTTTATCTTGCGACGATGAGCCTCATCTCGCTTGATTTCCTCGTCAACGAGGTTGGCAAAGAGATAGCGCAGGATCCACCGCCCGAGACTAATTCTCTGATCTTCCCGAAACTCGATATTGTCTTCAAGATCCAGCTCATCGGCGTAGACTTCTGCGTCGAAACAGTTGTATGGCTCTAGAATGACAGTAAGATTGCCCGAACTAAGGTCAACAGAGCACCAAGGGGCGACGGCTGCTCTTGTATTTAGTAAATCAGCGACGTCATCCAAAGGCTGCTTTCCAAAACTTTGAACAGGTTTACACTGATTGTGTTAGACAAATGACCATAGACAGATGACCATGTGGAAATGTAGATTGAAACACACCTGTATCAAATCCCATAGTAATACGTCGCCGGCAGTATCCAGAGTCAGCACCCGTTTTCGATCGTTGAGAAGCTTGTGTTTTAAAAGACCGAGTTGGCCTTCAATGGTCTCATTAGGTGCATCAAAGATGGGTTTAATCTCAAGCTCGGGCTCCGCGGCCGGGATCACCGAAGGTCTTCGAGAAGGACCATCGTTGATAGTCTCTGCATCGGCGTTGGACCGTGACAGAAACATGCCCATATTTGATAATTTGAGAATTGATTGAGGGTCAATCTCCTTTTTGGTGCCATTGGGATTGGGAGGTGATGTTTGACGTGACCGGCTCGAAATGGCCGAGACGGATCGCCTGTGTCGGTGGGCCTGTGGCAAATCTAGCGGTTGCTCCAAGTCAAAATCGCTCCAGCGGTTGATGGATGACCTGTTTGTGGCAGTCCAAATATGGCCATGGTAGGCCACGACCTTGGAGACACCTATGTGCTCGTGGGCGAGAGCCAAGCTCAAACCGTTGTCGACATCGTCAAAACTGCCGCGGATGTCGGTCTTGGCAACCATGCCATTGCGATCGGAGCTGTAAAAAATTCCGAGACGTGGATGGTTTGAGAAGAGGGACCAAATACTCTCGTCATGCATGGTGAAAGTGTACATGCAACGTCCACCGCGGACGCTCCAGAGCTTGATAGTCTTGTCTGCGCTTGCACTAAGTATGGTATCGTCGGCATCGTCAATGAGAAGAGATCGAATATTGCCAAGATGGCCCATGAGCTTGGAGACTTCGGCACCAGAGCGCGGGTCGTGAAGACGAATCGTCTTTTCGGGTCCGCCGCTGGCGACGATGCTGCGACCGAGAGCAAGGGAATAGACGGAGCCCTTTTCAGGAATCTCCTCGCCCTGGACGTCGATTTCCAAGGATTTGCCTTTGCCATTGAGGTCCCACCAGCAAAGCTTGCGGTCCAGACCGGCAGCAACAATCGTGTTGGAGGTGGTGTCTGTGGCGGAGGCAACGACACACTTGACGTAGTCGGCATGCTCGCCAATGGTGTGGGCAACGTTGCTCTCTTCCGAGTAGGGACGCCAGACCTTGACGGAGAGGTCGGAGGATCCGGAGACGACGGCGGTATTATTTTGAGCAAGGGCAATGTCGTTGATCCAGTGCATGTGCGCCTGGGCCTGGGCGCGAAATTTCGAGGCGGTGTTTGTTGAGTGGTCGGTGGAGGAGTCGAGGTCCCAGGCGCAGAGGATGCCGTCTCGGCCACCCGAGTAGCTGTAATGGAGGTCAGAAGGGAGCGTCTGCGCCAATATGATATCGGGTTTCGTGTGCGTACAGGATGCCATTGTTGGAGTCTACAGCCAGACCGTTGACACCGAGCCGGTGTCCGCCAGCCGAAGACTTGCCATTTTCCAAAACTAGCGCAGTTGGTCAGCTACTCTGAGGGCAGTACAAAAACACAGCAGCAGGGCAATCAATGCTACTGCCGCATGAAGCAGAAGTAGAAGCAGCACCAGAAAGAGCACCAACATGCATTTGTCTGCTGTGCGCGGAGGACACAAGACGTGGCTGCGGAGAGCGGGTGGGCTTACCGTAGCTGATTCTTTGACGGGCCTTTTTGGCCATGGCCATGATGACGTGGTTGCGACAGTGGTTCGTCGGCAGAGCACGAGAGAGACGAACAACCGGGGACTCTTGGGGCTCTGATCATGGACAATCGAGGAGCTAGGATGTCAAAGGCAAGAAGCGAGCAGCAGGTTGGAGGCGCAGGACATGAAGAGAAGCGCCCGCGTGGCATGGCTTGGCTGGAGTTGGCTGGGATGGTCCAGATAGAGGGCTAGTTGACGTTAGTGTATGTTGAGGCATGGCGCAGGCCAAGACCAGATGGGCCAGTGCCGGGGAGTGCTGGGGGAGTGGATGGGGTGAGTTTGGGGGGAACGAACTGGGCCAAGGCCATTAACCCGTCGTGCCCGTGTCAACTGAAGTGGGCAACGGGGAAGCGCTGGTGGAGGAGTGGGGGGGGAAAATGTTCATTTTTTGGCAGTCTTGGAGGGGTTTTTTTTTGGCTTCTTTTAGTGGCTGCAACCACTACCTAGCTACCTTATTATTACCTTGTACGCGGGAGGGGGGTGATTCCTGACATGGTTGCATGGTCTCTGACAACAGGGAAATCACACTTGCTGACATGTTTGGTAGAATTCCAACATGATCGGTGCATCAGAAAAGCGAAAACTCATCGCAGTAGGCCTTAGCTAACTAACTAGAAAGAACAAACATTTGCGCAGATCTGCTTCGAGGCATGCTAGAAAACACCCCTCCCGCGGAGGTTGCTTGTTAGCGCCAACTTGTGTCTGGAGAATGACCCTGGAAGCCGCTAATTCGACCCCCAACAAGGAAGGCTTCACTAGCGACGTCGCAGTAACGTCAATTAACGCGCATCACATGTACCAATATAATAATAGGTGTTTGTCGCTAGCCCACGTTAGCTCATGCTCAGGTACTTATTAGGTAGTAGGTGCAGACCAGCCTCGTCAATGCAAAGAGCCAGCCTGATTTGACCACTGGTCTCATCCATGAGCCGCCACTCAGCCCTGGCTCGGCCCCGCGCTGCCACGCACGACTCGCCAGGCCTGCCCGTACCCAGCCAACCAGCTGCATACCAAGCACCGTTTAATCTGTACAGCCATGAACTACTGGGGTAGACATGCACATATTAACACCGATCCCCTTCCATCATTGCTTTTCTTTTCTCAGGAAAGATTTGCTTCATTCATTCTCACTTCAATAAATTAATGCATAGCCAAAAAAAAAACGCACTAGCTGCCTCACTGCCGTGCGCCGCCACAACAATCTCCAGTAACCCCGCCGTGGCTGTTGCTGCATCACCACTAGCCACCCAGTGGCATTTCATTGTATGCAGTCCAGAGGTACCTGAATCCTTCCAATACCAGCAACAACGTCGGCAAATTACATGACAAGTTTCATGCATTCCCAGGCAACCAATTATGTAGCATGCGGCGCGTAAAACCGATATGTGGCGACGCATGCTTATGACCATCTCATCGCTTGTCGTCTGTCGCTTTCGCCCGTCGCTAGTAACGCCGTGCTTGGCAAATAACAGAAATCCTAGGAGATCTTAAGCAAAATCTGTCGTTTCCATTATCGTATATCAAATATAGGTATTGTTCCCGGCTGTTATCTCCGTTAGCCACCACTCCGACATTCATTGCAGTCTCGCTTACCAGGGTTGGTCGCATTACATGACAACGCAACAGCAGCACCCATCAGCACAGCAACCCTCCTCGCACCAGCGCGCCGACTTGCACCTCTGCTTGTCCTCACATCGTGAGCAAATCTCCCTGCTTTCAACCTTATCTTCTTTGCGCTCTGCACAATCCGTGAAGCTACACATGGCGGTGCCCCGCGACAACCGGTGCTTGCACTTGTATTCAATAATCATGTGAGTACACATTGCAGCAGTCCGCGTCGAGTATGCGGCTTCTTGAATTAGACAAAGAAAACCGAGGATGTGAGTCGGACAGGAAGACGGCTTCGAGGAGTAGGAGGCAGAGGATGCCGTCTGAGGTTGGAGGTGAAGATTGTCGGGTGGCGACGAGAGCACCTTGGGGTTTATAGAGCTATGAAATGTAGGGATGCGGACGAGGTAGAGTAACTTGAAACATATACAAGCAGCAATATTCCAGATGCCTTTTATAATGTCCCATCAACAGTGTCCATCGCCACCCGGCCGTCGACCACGACCATTCTTGCTCTCACGCGCCGGGCAGGAGCCACTCATTGGCTGTTGTCCAGAGCAGCGTAAAACAGACGTCTGTGAGGGACTTTAAAAAGCTGTTAACTGCACATTTCATCTTATCCACCTGTCCCTGTCAAGAGAGTTACTCAGCTGCCATAATCCGGTACGAATATATACCGCCCCCAATCCCAGCACACAAGTCCGATGAATTCGTGACAAGCACCATCACACTGTTGCTGTTCAGATTAAAATCCAGGCAACCCACCTGAATTGGCATACTCTAAGTGACCGAGACAATATGATAGCGACATTTTTTCGGCTTCAAGCCGCTGGGCGTGGCGAGTCCGCATGTTGCACTGATTGGCTCAGAGGTGGCGCGAGAGATTTGTGCTGCCCAAATTGGCAAGTCATGCAACAAATGCGGTATGTCGCAACTAATCAACTTGGAAAGCAAGCTTGTTGACATATTTGAAGAGTATTTTCTTTTTTCAAACAATTTGTCCAGGTTTACTGCGAGAAAACGACAGCAGCGGCCAAAGTTCTAACCTCTAGATCTGTGAGGAAAATAACTAGATATATGATGCCTGCCATTTCTGGTTCTTAGTTTAGCCAGCCACAGTAAGCTGCCACTCGTCTGCAAAGCACAGACTTGCTTGCTGCCTGCATCAAGACTGGCGCACGGTATGGACAGCCTCGGACTAGTTACTGTGAAGTAATGAGTGGCCATGTATGCTGAAAATGAATCATGCGTCACATAATTGCCGGAAAAGACACTCGTCACACGGACTTGATTCCATCAACAAAGGCAAATGGGCAATAAAGAATGATACGAGTGGTACCATCAACAAAGACAACTTACCGTTTCTACGACTTGGCTTGCAAAGAGTACCTAGTTAGCCACCGCAGCCCGCCCAGACTAAGCTTCCGCGGCACATTGTTAATCCGAGAGCGGTCACATTGCCATTTTTTTGTATCGAAAAACCTTATCACATCACCCCACGACAATAGCCCCAGTCGCGGCCCTTCTTGCCCTGCACAACCTCATCTTTTTCAATCACAACAACGATCCGAATACCTTTCATCCACATCGCGAGGCGCCTGTCCGAATCGCCGGCGTTGTATCTGACGAAATCAACCGTTTTACTTACCCTGACCGACTCATCGCATCCCTGCGCACGATTAGTACATCTCCTACTTGGCCAGCCTTTCTTGGTTGAAGTCGCGTTTGACAATCCACCCTTCTCTGCCTTTGATTGGACGTATATGACTAGAATTTCTCGCGTGCTTCAACGTCTCATCACTCGTTTTTCGCCGTCCGCTGTATATCCCAAGGTGCCCAGTGCTCGTGGCCAATCATTGACCTCTGCTGCTGTGTGATCTTTTGTATGACATTTGCCTCGGTCGTACAACTACTTACTAGCTTGCTGCTCATTTGTCGCCCAAATTACCTCAATCGTGCCTCACCCCTCTCCTCCTCTCCGCATCGCTTGTTACGCCTCTTGTTCGCATCGCAATAATGGCTGAGTCTCAGCCTGACATTCAGAGCATCCTCGCGGCTCTTGGTGAGACCACTTCGTTGCGCCAAAGTGCCCTTCCTCATGCTGACCGTGATTTTTCTCTCCTCCCTTTAGCCTCTCAACGACCAGCCGGTGCCACACCTACACAGACCCCTCCGGGCGCTCCAGGTCAATATGTCCCTCCGCCAGGCGCACCCCAAGCCGACTACCGAAGCCCCCCTCCTGGTGGTGCTGGCTATGGCGCTCCTCCCCAGCAGGGCCTGCCTGCGCCTGCGGCCTCTGGAAGCGTCGACCTGAGTGCCATCCGCCCGGTAAACTCGGGTACCATGAGCTTCGACGACGTGCTTTCAAAAGCACGTGCATTTGCGGCTGCGAAAGGCGTCGCCTCTTACGACCAACCCCTCGTCTATGGTGCTGAATCGAGAGACTCTGACCCGTCATACGGACGCCCGCGATCGAGGTCACCTCAACGCGACCATCATAATGACCGCCGTGGAGGTCACGGTCGCGATCACGGCCGAGACCGGTCTTGGTCCCCGCCCTCGCGCGGTAGACACTCTCCTCGTGGCGGCAAGGGTCGCGATCGATCGCCTCTCCGTTCTGGAGGAGGCGGCGACGAGAATTCCGAGACCATTCAGATCGAGTCAAGCCTTGTCGGGCTTATCATTGGCCGCAACGGCGAGAACTTGCGCAGAATTGAAGGCGAATCGAACTGCCGCGTACAATTCCTTTCCCCTGCCGACGGTGGTCCTTTCCGCCAGTGCAGAATCACTGGTCCCGCTCCGCGCCGCGCCGAGGTCAAGGATGCCATCAACCGCATCATTGAAGACAGCGGCATGGGCGCGCTGAACCGTGCCGAGGAAAAGTCTAGCCAGGGTGCGGCTGGTGGCCTGCGCGACGGCGAGGATCACATGCAAATCATGGTTCCAGATCGAACTGTCGGTCTCATCATTGGCCGCGGCGGCGAGACGATTCGCGATTTGCAGGAGCGCTCAGGCTGCCACATCAACATTGTGCACGAGTCCAAGAGCGTTAACGGCCTCCGACCTGTCAATCTCATTGGCACGCCAACGGCCACAGCTCGCGCCAAGGAATCCATTCTTGAAATCGTCGACAGCGACAGCCGCGCTGACGCTCCTCAAGGGGGAGCACTCGGTGGCGGTGGCAGCAAGCCTCCTCCCATGTCGCGCGGTGGTGGCCAGTCTAGGGATAACCACTTCCAGCACAACAACCCCTACGATGGGCCGGGCAAAGTGACTGACGCTATCTACGTCCCGTCTGATGCGGTCGGCATGATTATCGGCAAGGGCGGCGAGACGATTCGCGAGATTCAGGCCCAAGCCGAGTGCAAGATCAACGTGGCGCCGTCGTCTGGTCCGGGCGAGGTGCAGCGTGAAATTTCGCTGATTGGCGCGCCAGAAAGCATCGAACGCGCCAAGCAGCTGATTGACGAAAAGGTCGAAGCAATGGTATGTTGAGATTCCTGGCCTGCACGCTTACTGCTGTTGCATCAAGTCACTAATCGGTCGATAGAAACAAAAGAATGCCGGAGGTGGCGGCAGAGGCGGTCGTGATCGCCACGACGGCGGAGGCCGAGGAGGTCACCACGACCGCGGACACGGCGACCGTGGAAACAATTACTCGCAGCCCTCGTCTTCTACTAACGCACCGCCGCAAGGCGCCTCAGGTGATGCCTCGGATCCATATGCACAGTGTAAGTTGAAATCTATCTTTAGCATGATCTGATCGTTGCCAGACCTCATCAGTGAATACTAACAGGGACTGCAGACGGCGGCTATCAAAACTACGTGGCCCTTTGGTACCAATCCTTGGTGTACCAGCAACAGCAGCAAGGCGGAGGGGAAGGCACCCCCTCCGCTGGAGCGCCGCCGAAATGAGCGTTTTGGTGAAAGCGGTTTGCTTGTCTTTTTTTGTCGTGTGCCCATATGACTTGACGCGTGCGCTTGGTGATGATATCCCGCCCGGGGACCTGAACCCTTCTACTGCTTTGACTCTCGTTGAACTTTGATACCACTACATTTGCGGTGTGCATTCCAGGACTGCGGACGTATTCTTTTCTTTCTCCCGATATACCCTTTTGGGATGCTGTCCAGGATCATTATTTGCGTCTCTCATCGCCTGATCAACACGGCCGCAGCGCATGGCAGAGTTGACTTTTTTGTTCCGGTGTGCTCGCCTGTTTTCCCGGGACGTTGCATGTACAGCACGGCGCGGGTGCCGTGCCCGTTGCTTTTCGCTCTCTTCGGTGACCTCTTCTGACACGCTGGTGGTGGTGCCTTGAGCTTGTCTCCTTCCCTCCGGATTGGACCTTTTGACGTATCATACTCTTTGGCCATGACCTTTGGTTAGGAAAAGTGATAGATGATGTACCGTGCACTAGTGGAATTGGTCCGATTTTTGGGTGGCCGTGACCTTGACAGGTGTCAAAAGCTGGCAACCGCCTTTTTTTTCAGAGCATGTTTGCAAAATGCACCCTGGGGAAGCATCATCGCTCTCTTTTTTTGCTTTTAGACCGTCACGGTACAATATTATACCGTCTACTTTTCTTAATGATGATTGGATCGCAGGGGATGGGAAAAAGGAAGACGAAAATAAGAAGAAAAAGCTGGGAGGGTGGATTTTCTAACTGCACATGTACAGAGTAGGCAAGGCAAGCAATTGAAATGTATTAAAGGGGTGTTTACGAGGAGGCAGCCAAAAGAGAGAAAAAAAAAGTAGGAGACAAGGAAGAAGAAGTACAAGAAGAGGAAGAAGAAGAACAAGTAAGAAGCAAGTTATATGATGACGTTTCTGCATGCCTTCAACTCTCCATAAGTATCCGTGTCTTTGCTGGCGTCTCTGCTAAATTATAAATATGACCTTTGTGTTAGAAATTCAGTTTACAAATACATATTTCGCCAAGTGCCGTGACCTGCAAATGATGCGACTGACGTGTAAGATTTCTGCGTCTAGTCAACGGCGATTGCCAAGGTCAAGGAGATCTTAGCGCGAATTATTGATGTTTGTTCTTGGCTCTGCGAGTCATTAGGTATTCTTAATTCTTTCTAATAGCAGAAGAATTTCTTACTCCCGCTTTGTTATCATCATGTACTCACATATTGCCTCAACTGAAGAATCTCATATACTCAAAGCGCGGGGTTTGTTTCGCTCGCATTTTCCATAAAGAGTATATAGAAAACGATATCTGTAGACGGGACAAAAAGGAAAAGCCACAAACACGAGGCCCGCAAGCCTTGTTCTCTCTCGCACTACCGGCATACAAAGCTTGCATGTGCATCAACAATGCACCCCCGGAGTCGTGTGGAGGGTGTCCCCCTCCCCTCCATCGCGCGACGACTGATGAGTAATATAAAGCAGAAAAGCAAAATAAATAAATAAATAAATAAAATAAGATAAGATAAGATAAAAAAGACAAGAAATGGAGAGACGAGGAGACAAAGCCGTTGGTGGTGTGTGTGTGGTGGTGGCAGTGGCTGCCGATCAGCGGGGTAGGTGTGGACGGAAAGGACAACGATAGGAGAAGACCGTTTTTTCAATATACATTTCTCAAATCTTCATGCAAAGAAAATAAAAAAAGCCACAAAGAAAGCGCCCCCGTTGTCTTGAAAAATTAAATAGGGTGTTTCAAGTTTCCTAGAGCCGCTATTGGCTCTTTTCCGAGAACGCTCATTGCCCTTTTACATTTCAATCAAGCAGTAAAGTTGAAAAAAAAAGGAACAACCTTTTCCTCCCCCCGTCTCTTGTGGTCAATGACCTTGGAAAAATCAGAGTACATGACGGGCTTTGGGGACAAGTGAACGAGGCCTTTCAGAAAAACGTAGCATAAACGCAGGGAGACATTCCAGAATGTTGCAAAAGTAGAGCAGTTACAAACGGCAACATGCAAACGAAGCCCTTAATTATTGGCTCCAAAGTTGCGCCAACCGTTGGCTCAAAGAGGAAACATGATGCCACGAGGAAACTCTAATCCTGCTCACCAGGCATGCCCCTCGTCACAGATATCCTCTCACATAGATGGGCGATGAGGCCATTTTCCCTAAAATCTGCCTAATTCTTTTTTCCTGCATGCTGGCAATCGTTCGAGTCGCTTCCACGTTTCCGATGGGTTGACAATTCCTGCCCTTCTTTCTGCATGGCAAAACTAAAAAAAAAAAAAAAGAAAGACAAATCGCAGGACAAACAAAGGTCATTGTCCTCCGGGCACCGTTCCATCGCTCATCACAGGTTGAGGGATAGAAAAGGAAAAAAGAAAAAAGAGAAAAAGAAAAATTAAAAGCTAGGCACCGTTTCATTCCGGACTCTCGAATTTGCGTGTGTTAGATAGGCTTCGACGACTGCGGCTGACGCGACTGCTGCGCACTTGTCGGACGCTGTTTGAATCCGGTAGTCGCACTCAAATCGGCGTCGTTATTCTCGGAGAACTACTCCGTAGTTGATAGTGCGTTGCGTTTGCACTTGCATGGCTTTGGCCCGTGACAAGATTCTGATGCGTTCAGTCCAGGATTCGCACAAAGTCCCGCAAGCCATAGCTATCCCGGAAAGCTTGTCCTTGACATTGTGCTTATCGAGGAGTGAACTCTATTCGAATAGAGTGCATGACCGTCTATATCCCTACTTCCGTGTCGTCGTCGTCTATACTATGTCGGGGGTATTGAGCGAGAGACATGCCGATTTATAGTTGGCCCTCGTTACTAAGTACCTTGCAATAAGTCCTTGCTACTTGCAACCTTGCTCAAGACTATTCGTGAGGAGTGTGGATACACAGGACGTTGAACATCCATCTCCAGCCACCGGTACTTGGTGTCTCACCTGCCCAAGAGACTCTCAGTTGACACCCACACCTTTCATCAGGGCCCATGTAAATCCTGGCCTAGACAGGCAAAGTCATTTACAACACAGTCAGCCTCGCCTTCTCGCAGCTTATTCCCACGCGCGAGATCGTACGCTCCCAAGATGACGAATTCACTGGCGACTCTCCTACCTTGCGAATCGGACCTGCCATCGATCGTACATGTGCACACCACCCTCTATTGCTAATATGGCTGTGTTGGCGAGGGACCATTGGCATTGGTATGTCTTGGACCTAGCGCCAATAGTCCTGAGGTCCAAGGGTCGCGACTTCCAGCTACCAAGTAGCTGAGCCAAAACCCACATATCACATTATGCAGTCCGCGAGCTAGTTACAAAGGCCGCTGTTAACAATTGCATCTGTCTTCTCGCGCGAGCCTCCTTTTGTAGCATGGTGAATTAGCGTTCAGCGTAACAATCATTACAAAGCACGGCGTTGCCGCCACCACGCCATGAAAAGATGACAGGTCGCCTTACACAGCTTGAGCAGTGTAGCGTAGCCGTATACGTGGCTGGTAACACCACGCGTAAGAAGTCGAGAGACTTGTTGGACAGGATCAGAATGACAAGAAAATATTTTCGACGTGCACAAGGCAGCTGCACACTCGATTCAGACACGAGACGGGGTGTCGAGAGTAGGCCGATGAAATTGTCCATCTGCGAGTGGCAGCAGTGCTACCAGACACTCGTAATACCAGACAGACGTCTCGTTTACATCTCATGCGCCAGAGGGTAGCATCAATATCATCACCATGCCACAGCAGATAAACATTGCAGCGGCATGCGAGGGAAAGATGCCGTTCGGACGCCACTTTATTGGGCTTGATTTTGGTTGCAACGCTTGATGAATGCACAATAGGTAATGGCCGCCGAGAGGTAGGCACCGGAGCGGCGCTGATTGGGAGGCGAGAACAGACGCAACAAGTCGCGAAATCCACCAAGGTGCAGTGCAGACAGACTCTGCATTAATAATAAAGCATGTAACGTTTCTGGCTCTGGCCGCCGTGGGCTATGAGAATAATTGAAAATACCGGCAGCCAGTCCGCGGTGCTCCATGGTGGACGCGCAGCCTGCACTGCAAGTAGTGGTGGGTAGCGCGTCAAGGCTGGTCGTGGCTTGCTGGTTGATAATGAGCATGACAGCGTTACGAATACATGGGTGTGCCATAATCAGAGAGGTTCGCCGACTGCCAACTTGAGATGCGGGATGCCGCCCGATGGACAGGAGCGCCTAAGAACAAAGGTCGCTCAGATCATCAGCCGGCAGGACATCCATCGATACAAGAATAGAACCGATTCGATCGATGATTGAAATTGCGGCACGAGGTATATAAACAACAAGAGAGTCGCAGCCAAAGAGGGGCACAAGCCTCCCATCGTCCTCTGGACTGCCGCAGCTGAGACATGGAGGCCATGTGGGCACAAGGTAGAGACAGATGAAGATTGGGAGAAGGCCCAAAGACAAAGGATGGCTTTCACTCCATCACGAAGGCATTGTCCTTTTTTTTTCTTTTTTTTTTCTTGCCTGTGGGTTCTTCTTCTTCTTCTTTTTATTTCTCTTTTGACTGGTGTCGCCATCTTGCATGGCGTGGCCACATGCAGCATGTCCGTAGATACATGCATGATGCAGCCTGGATGGAAAGTCGCGAGGTGGCGTGCAACCCTCTCGTCTCTTTTCTCTACGAACGAACGATCAACTGTATGTCTCATCAAACAAATGGACACGCAGGTTGCGGTACAAGGCACTCGCAGCTCTAGAGTTGCAGAATGGGCTGACGTTTATTGGGCAATCGTGAGAGTAGTAGTTGACTTTTGGACTGAGCGAATGGTGACGAATAGGCAGCTGGCTGACTTGGTCGTTTTCGCGAATTCTGGCTGTGAGGGATAGGGCAGCCAAACAAACTACCTAGTGGTACTGGTAGAGAAGAGTCGCGGCAGGAATTGCGCCCTGACAAGTGAGCTGCTAAATACCTAAATACATAGCCAGTGTTGCAGTCACAGAATTTGCTGATAGGCGGTCCCATAGTTTTAAAACGGCCAGAGGTTGCCATGAGTGGGTGGGTGATGCAAGTGGTTATCGAGTGTGGAACGCCTGGTCAGGGCGTATATAGTGGGATAATTTGAATTGATTTGGACATGGTTGTTGATTGCTGCCAGTTTTGCTTCGTGCGGAGAGGGAACTGTATCGGCAATGCACATTGTATGCTAGTTCATGTGATGAGCCTAGCGAGGTACAAGAATATCAGCAGCGAAGCAGTAACAGCAGCAGAAGTATCAGCAGTCCATTTTTCTGTTGAATTGACTTGTCAAGGGCGTAAAAATGAGAAACAACACGGCGTCTGCGGTGCGGCTTGACAGTGTACGAGGGGGGCCTGCATCGTCGTGTATTCGTAGGCGGGAATGCGGGTGGCCGAGATGATGGCAAACGCCCAACGGATATGGATACAAATAACGCGGAGCACGGGCACAGGGTGACCCAAGTGTTTTGGGCGAGGATGGATGATGAGAGCAATCTCGGGGTTCGATGAGAACTTGAAATTGCTTGAATCATCAACGGCAATAGATTGTGGGTGAGGACAGAGGGCAGGACGGATATCAAAACCAGATGCAAAGACAGGTACGGATACCTAAGGTAGATACCGCCTACAGTGACTCCACATGCAACATGACCAGGGCATTTACAGTGAATTAGGTACCCGCAAATTACAGCAGTTGAGGGTTGCCCCCAAGCCACCGGACCGCTGAAAATCTGCCGGGGCGAACCCTTTTCAGTGGCTCCGCCCGTTGACGGCCGCCCAGAGGTCGTGAGCCTTGAGATTCTACACATCAGAGAACCCCGAACCCACCAAGCCCACTGGAATCGGCCCAAAAGCATTAAAAAGTCTACTGAAAAAAATTAAAGAATGTTCATTTGCAGGCTGGCCATCCTATGCTTTTAGTGCGTGACTGCTGCTTGAAGCCTGGAACTACTCACTGCCCACCTTCGAAAATTCGAACAAAGAACCCCCCCCCTGAAAGCCCTTCACTCACCCCCTTCCCTAGGTAGGCTTCACCCCCAAACGGCCCCAAACGGCCCCAAACCTTCTTTCCTCCTTCCCATTGTGCATCATTCTCTTTGTGCTACCTTCTGCCATCACGCCCTCTCTCATCCAGTCATCCATCCTTCTTTTGCTCGTCCTACCTTGCTTCCCATTTTCCATTTTTCATCACCACCACCCGCCCGGTTGGTTTCTTCTTTCGCTTTCATCGTCTTGGCCTCACCATTCACGCCAATCCCTGCCCCCCTTTCGAATCGCCGCGTAACCCCTCGAGCCGTCCTCGTCCTCGTGTGACCCTGGTCGGCTTCATAAATCCCCACGCAGCTCTCTTTCCGCAGACGCAATTCTCAGCACCAGACATCAGCGCCGCCCACTACAGTCCGACTTCCTCATCGTCTCTAGCACTTCTCATCCATTCTGATCCCTCGCTACCGCTACTCTCTCGCCTTGCCCGACACCTCAATACGCATCATCTGGGTCAATCTTGTCTTGGGGAGCCTTTACACACTCTGGTCTTTCAATTCCTCTGCTTCGCATCCCGCATTCCATTCTGTCGACCACACGCCAAATCTGCATATCCGAACATCGTCGGCCACCGTTCGCCACTGACATCCCTGCCCTCTTGTCACTTGATCGAAACCATCCCTCTCCTATCTCTCCATCCTGCCGTTGGGAACCCGCTCGGATATCGCACAACCCGCCCGCCCACGGAGTCCTCGGCTGCGTCGTACTATTTCACCCGAAACTGGCTGCCTTGTCGCACTCGATCACTTCGAACGTCGCTCATGCATCTTGCACCTTTCATGTCGCACTCGTTATAATCCCCCCAGAGCCTTGACATTCCGACAGAATTTCCTCCATCAATCACATCTCGCCAACATGTGTCGAATGATCGTGTTTGCCGGCACCTGCACCAGATGTAACGAGGCTCACACCTGGGAGGACCTTTCACAGGCTCTATTGTGCTTGGAAGCCAAAAACAACGGCGGAATCGGCGACTGTGCCAACGGAGTCAATATTGAACAACATAAATTTGACCAGGAATGCGACCGCTGTTCCCAAGAAGACGAGGGTCTTGGCGGCGTCGGCCTTTATGAATCGCCCCCAAAAATTGAGGCCAAGCGCGGCGCTACCCAAGATGCGACTACGTCAAGTTCTTCCAAAAGACAACGAACATGAGCGCAAATCTGCACTTAGATAAACCACCATTTCGTCTTTTCTGGAAAGCGCATATATACAACAAACCCATACGGATTGGAGCCCACAGCCCATTGAGCCGTTTTTATGAGAGCGGAACACAAGCCGCCAACAACCTTCTTTTCCACGATTTACATGACTTTTTATACCTCGGAAAAAATAAGCATTGGAGTATTGATGCATGCCTTTAGTTATCGACCGACTCCCATCTTCTTGGATCTACCTGTGGGCATGTCAGAAATGGCTGGCGGAGTTTTGTTTTTTTTTGTTCTTTTTTAGGTTTCTGTGTTCTCATTTAGGCATCGAATTAGGCAAAGCATATCGGACATCTTTTCTACTCTTCTTCAATTCAGGCATGCTATTTCTCTTTCCTCAACGGGTCAATCTCGATGACGTTGCGAGTATTTGGACGAGTTAGATTAGACCGCCACTCGTTTTGGAGACTGTTGAGCATTTCTTTAGCAAACATCAGCTACGTCGAGAGATGCAGTGCGACATTGGCACTCCATCAAGGCCAAACATGTATATTGACAATGACACATGTCATGTTTCGTGCATCATAATTTTTTTAACGATGCCGCCGTCTATGATAGTCTTTGCAAATGCATCCAGAACTCAGTGGTTCTATCCCCGTGACCCATGTACGCGTGTGCTCTCGTCTACACTATTATACACAATCTGTCTCGTATCTACTTTTTTCCGTTCTTCTTGGACTTTTTCGACTTGCTGCTGCTGCTGCTGCTGCTGCTGCTTTTGCTTTGCTTAGGCTGTTCAACCTTGGGGCCAGCTTTCGGCTGCTCAACATTCCGTTTGTCCTCGGCTGTGGGGACCTTGGGCTCTACTGGCTTCGCAACAACCACCAATGCATCGTTATCGTCCGCCTTGGTCAGCTCCGGATGCGGCGCCTTGGACTTGGGTAGCTTGACCGCACTCTTGTCTACCTTGCCGCCGAAGCGTGCCGCTGGCTCCTGCACACCGCTGCTGCTGCTGCGGCCACGCGTATTGGAGCTGCTTGCCTTGGCGGCCTCAGGGCTCGACGACGACGACGCCGCCGCAGCAATTGCGGCCTGGAGTGCTGCGCTGGTATCCGGCGTGTTGGGACGCTCGACAAGCTTTCCCTTGCCCTCACTGTCCTGCTTAGGCTTCGCTGCGGCACTCATCAAGGGCGCCGCGACGTCTATCTTGGCCTCTTTGGTAGCCTTCTCAGCGTCCTTCAGTGAATGAATCGCAGCCACTTCAAGATTCTCGGCGGCTGTGTTGACCTCCTTGCTGAGATTCTTCTTGTTGGCTTTGACCTCTATCTCTTGAGCGGTGCCGGTTGCATTGGCTTTTAGTTGCTTCACCTTAGCTTGGCCCTGTTCAATCGCAGCGTGCGCGTCAGCCTTGAGATCCCGAGCGTTGAGCTGCGCTTTTTCAGTGATAGCCCCAGACTGCTTCTTGATTTCTTCTGACTTGGCTGTGGCATTCTCTAGCGTACTTTGTGCGCTCTTGGAAACTTCCTGGGCCGTCTTTTCAACAGCTGCGATGGTGTCCTTTCCATCGCTCTTGATATCCTCTACCAAGATGCCAGCCTCCTCGGATATAGACTTTTCATTATCTACGAGACTGATTCGCTTGGCAACCGTCTCTGAGCTGATTTCGGCCTCCAGCTTCTCTTGGCTCCCGTCAGAGGCTTGGACGGCAATACTAGTAGCCGGTTCCTCTCCGTACCAAGATTCCTTGACAACACGCCAGTAACGCTCGGGGTGGGACATGGGAATGGCAACATGCGTGGCGTCCTCGAAGCGCTCCAGACGCACATTGAACCCGGCTTCCGCGGCTGAGCCTGCCTCGTGTTCAACATCGGTGGGCGGAATCATTTGATCTGAGGTACCGTACAGATACGTGCGGCGGACTTCGAATTCTTGGAATCGCGGATTCCGTATCGTTCGCGAATTGACGTTCTGCCGAGGTTGCAATACCGGCATGATGCGGTAAAAGAGCCAAATGGAGAATAGTACAGCGTGCACGGCGGGTGAGCACCAGCGCGGAAGTATCTTCATAATAGCTCTGGCCGTGTTGCGCCATCGAAATGTTCCAGGGCAGGAGTCGAAAATGAAGACGTGTTGTGGCAGAGTGAATTTCCCTCCAAGCGAGCGCTTGAGAGCGTTGTAGAGGAACAGCGTGCTGCTGATGCCGCCATTGGAAAAGGCATGGATGAGCACTCGCGGCGCTGTGGAGTTTCCGGTGAAGACGCTGCTATCATCGTCCTTGACCTTCTGCCTGGTCTCAGACTCGACAACTGCCTTCAAGATGGGCACCGCTGGGCGGATCTGCGTCCATGCCAAGAATGGCATTACAACATGCGTAAATGGACATTGAGCGACAAGAATACGGGATGTCGGGAAAATGACGCGATAGCCTTGAACATATTTGGCAATGTGGTTTTCTCTCGCACCCATCCATGTCGACAGCAAGATGAGCTCCGGATCAGCTCGCGAATTGCTGCTCCCAGATGCTATTGTGCTCGTTGTCGGCTCATAGTAAGTAACTGACGGGCTCAATCGTTGCATAAACCCCAGAGGATCCGCAGGGGTAGCCCTGTCATCAATATCGATGCGAGACATGATTCGTTTCTCTGAATGTCCGGCGACTGCCAAAAGCCTTTGTAATCGTCTCCGCGTAAACGTAGCCGATGAGCAAGTAGCCGAGAAATGATTTGTGGCGGCGATGCAGGATACCTCGAGATGACGGAGTATGACTTCATGCAGGATCAGCCAAGATGGTTCGAAATTCAAGACACAAGAGACCTGTACAGATTGGATCGAGCTGACGACGTGGCAAGCAAAATGCCATGTTCAGGAACGCCTTTGTAGCCGAGGCACAACGATCATTTGGTGGTGGGGCGAGCGGCATTCAATCTACTCCACCAGTTGTTTTTGCGGGTTACCGAGATAAAGTGCCCGGGGTATGCCATTGCTAATATCCCCATCAACGTGCCGTTTCTTTTGTCAATTATGGTTATCGGTATTTTGGCATCTGGCATAACGGCTAGCAAGGGAGATATTTCGACGCTGAAGTAAAATCCCGGCACAAGACTCAAAGCGCAGTAGAATTGCCCTACGTCGTAGCCCCGCCTGCCTGTTTAGTTCGTGTACATGTTGCATCAGATAATAGATCCCTGCAGCTACATCAGTTCGGTAATGCAGTTGTTCATCTCAATATACCGACTGATTCGAGTACATCGACTTTGGTCGCGACAGTACCATGAAGGACGGCCAGTTGCTGTCCCATCTCCTGCACCTTGATTAGTACCTCTGTTGTTGCGTCACACTGGTTTCGGCAACGGAAACGCCAAGCTGAACCAATTCAAAACAACACAACAACTTATATGCTTACCCATCCAGAGTCCTTGTAAGAGCTGCACACTTGTCAACTCAGGTTTGGCAAACGGACGGTAAAGTGGATTAAAGGCAAATGAAGTATGCCATTGGTGCCACGCTCAGCAAGCAATTCCATGTCCAACATCGCACACGCAATCCGCCCAAATTGATTACTTGTGTTAGCATCTTGAAATACTGGGTAGCTACCGATGAGTGCCCCGGCTATGGAATGGACGAGCTCTGACACTTGCCCCTTCAGCCGATGCGCGGGTTGATGGTGCACCGTCTCGCTTGCGTCATATCAATCTTAAACTCGATGAGGGTGACACAAAATTTGAGATAAAGCTCAATCACTGTCCAAAGCGCGGCGGTGTACTTGACTTGTTTTTTGTAATGACACATTTCGAAAGCCGAGTCGGTGCAATGATTGCTCCCTTCGCCAAAGCGATTGGGCCTCGAGGAAGTCGAAAGAGTCGCTAAGCGGGAACGCATCTCCTCGCCATATTTGTCTGCTGCAGAGAATCTGGCGACCTTCAGTTTCTGCTGTGCAAGGTCAGCTCGGCGGATGTACCCCGAAGCCTGGCTAACATCAAACATACGACACTAATCTGGCATGAAGAAGACGAAGGAGCGACAAGCGCGGATAGTGTACCTGCCAAGGTTTGCCTCCTTTGTCATCTGGAAACAATACCCGCGTCGGACTGACTGACTATCGCTTGCCAGCTGGCAAACGTCGCGGCCGGCTGCCCGGCCAAATGCAGGCCGCGAGGCGAGTTGAGCCAAGCCAAGGTAGACAAACAGCTCTTGCTTTCTACATAAATAACTGTTCTCCCTTTCCATCATCACACTACTCGAAAAAAACACAGATTCACTTCAAATCATTTGCAATCATTACAATAACTTTGGTAGCGCTGGTAGCATATTTGCCTCGCTAAATTCGTATATTTGTTCTCACCGTCGATCCACGAGTCCCGGATACCTGTACCTTTAGTCACCATGAAAGCAAGTATCCTCGTTTCGGCATTGGCCGTAGCCGCAAGCGGTATCAAGGAGCAGCGTCATGCCAGTGACTGGGATCTATCTCAGCCCATGAACGGCATCACCTTTGAACGGGTCAAGGCCGTTACCATGGCCAAGCCCGATCGTCCCACCCCCCGTTTTTCTCGTCTCAAGCACGTCGCAGGCAAGAAGGGAAATCATGGCACAATTTCTGCTCTTGGACGTGCTCTCCGCTCTACTCCCGGCAGTGTCAAGCAAACGTTCCAGAACATCTCATCTGTCGGTGCATACTCTACTCAGTACGCTATCCAATGTGGCTGGGATGGAAAGCCTGTGTGGCTGCTGTTCGACACCGGCAGCTCAGATACCTGGGCAGCCAAGTCGGACTTTGACTGCATCGATAGTGTTGGAAATTCCCACGACCAAGCTGCCTGTGGCTTTGGTACATCCTTGGTTGACGATTTTGGCCAGGGTACCATCGACGAGCTGCACTTTCTCCTCAGATACGGCTCCGGAGAGAAGATCTCTGGCCCCATGGGCTACTCTGACCTCAGCTGTGGTGGAGTGACCGTCACGAAGCAGCAGGTTGGCCTTGCAAACAGTACTTACTGGCGTGGCAACAATGCCACTGTCGGAATCTTGGGTCTTGCGTACCCTTCCATCACCAGCGCCTACTACGGTGAAATCGGGGATGAGGCCACTTGGAACGCCATTACTTATACCCCTTTCCTTACCAATGCAATCATTCAGGGTGGCCTCGATCCCGTGTTCAGTGTGGCCCTTTCCAAGAATTCCTCTGATGGTGTGCTTGCTTGGGGTGGCCTTCCTCCCATCGACTGGGTGCGGGGTGACTCTGCCTCGACGGATCTTATTGTGGTAAGGACTTTTCACTTTTGGTTCGGTCTGCTTTTCCGATATATCTAACGCTTACTAGGCAAATCTTATCGACCAAGCGGAAACTGCATGGAAGTATTCGTTTTACACCATCATCCCAGACGGCGTGCGCTGGGGTCAGACTACAGACGCGACCAGATATCCTTATATTGTTGACACTGGTACAACACTGATGTACCTCCCCCCTCGTAAGTTGACTTTGTACTCAACAGGTGAATCAAGCGCTAATATGAAGAAGCTCTGGCCGAAGCCATCGCCATGTCCTTTCAGCCACGCGCCGTTTACCTGTACCAATGGGGCATGTACTTTGCACCATGCAATTCGATCCCGCCTAGCTTTGCGATAACTGTTTCCGGCGTTGACCTTTGGATCAACCCTGCGGATATGATTTACCATGATCTAGTTGACCCACTGACTGGGTACTGCGCCATTGCCGTGGCAAGCGGCGGCCAGGGACCATACATTCTAGGAGATGCCTTCTTGCAGAATGTCGTGGCCGTCTTTGACGTTGGGGCAGCTCAGATGCGCTTCTACTCGCGGTAATGAGCTGAGGGGACGGTAGGCACACAGTGGTGATGGTTTGCGATGCTGGTATTGGAGATATAATATATTGGCCGCTGTGTTGCGACAAAGAGGTTTTTGTTAGTGGTTATGTTTTTGGTAGATGATTGAATTATAAGAATTAGCATTGTCGCTGAAGGTCGATTTTGTTTGATCGTCGACGCATTTGATACAACTGCCCGCTTTTAATGCACAATGTAGCCGCCCACTAGCAACGGCACCTAACTCAGGTAGTTGCGCTTATCGCTGGTAGCTTGCTGGCGGTGGACGTTGCGAAGTTGGCATGACCCGCTTACGCAGAGGTCTACAAGCTACATCTACACTAGAAAAGGTGCAAATCGAAAGAGCAGAGCCGTGTCGTGTATTCCTTGCATGTTTAACGAGGAAGACAGGCGAGCATACCAGTACAGTGTCTGCAAGTGACGACAACTCGATCTCTTCTCTACTGCGCCGAGAAGCAGCAGACATGACGAGGGGAGTGTCGGCTGGGCCTCCTGCGCCTACGGGCCGGGCAAGGGCGAATACCTACAGCATGAGCAAGGTTAGTCCAATCCTCAGGGTCTCTGTGGTGTTTTCATGTGTGCTTGTGTATTTCTGCAAGCCCGGTTCTTTTTGTCAAGTGGCGGGGAGTTCGGAGCGGTGAGCGTGTGTTGTGTCGATACCCAAGTGGGAAATGGCGATTTTTTTTTTCTCCTTGGTTCGCGAATGGCGGGAGTGGCAAGCGATCATGGCCTAGGAGGCAAGGAGTCTACCCTGCGGTTGTATGATCTGAGTATATGGTGCAGAATGCAAGGCCACGGATCGATCCACGAATATGGCGTGAAAACAGATGACACGAAAGCTGTGCCGTCGAGAGCCGCCAGAAGCCTCCAAGGAGAGCAGCCGTGACGGCGCAGTGGCGGTATGTGGACAGCACCTACCTCGGACAGACCCGGGACGGGCTGGGACATTGGTGTCAGTGGTGGAGCAACAACCGAAACCTCATTGCCTCGTCGGGGTTGTGGGCTGCGGTGCCTTGCAGCATCGGTCATGGGACCATGTTGCAATTTTCTTTATGAACGACGCCCGGTTCCGATACGAGAAAATTCGGGCTGTGCCTAGGCGCAGTACATTTGAGCAGAGGACTGTTGCTGGAGAATTTTCTGAGCTCTCTATCGGCCATTGACTTCTGGCTTGGAGCTGCATGAGGAAGAAAGAAATGCTGGAGGTGGGCAGAACTGCCGGATCTTGCAGGTGGTCGGTCGATTGCGAGATGAGAATCCGTGGAGAAAACGGCCAGCCCAAGGACAACGGTCCACTGAAGGCCGGGGTTGACGACGAAGAAATGTGTTCCTGGAATAGCACAACAAAAGCGGACAAAAGAGTAGAGATGAATTGGCTGCTCGATGACAATGGGACGAAGCAACGGAAAGATTTTATGATGAAGAACGTCTGTTTGTATCGAACTGACGTTTGCCATGAAGTCTTTCTGATGCGGGGCAATGGCTGCCAGTTGCGAGCTTTGCGTGGCTACCTACTTCTCTGCTAGCACTGGCCAAGGCGGCGGGTACCTACAGATGCTGCAGGATGGCTTTGCTGCCAAGGTACCCTTTGTGGCGGGGCACGAGTCTAGACTGCTGGTTCACTTGCCATTCTCATACTCATACCCGACCCTGGCCGTTTATTTTCGACGGCTTAGCTCGCTGCCAAAAGCAAAAATGGGTTGCCTCCTTCATCATTTCAGAGATTCGAGGGAGACGAGAAGATAAAAGGGCAAAAAGACAGCCGTGTTCTGGAATCGTGTGACACCGACAGGCCAGATATGTTCAATGCCTACCTAAGTACAGCACACTCTGGGGACTCTGCACCACTCCGCAGGGCTCTTTGGCCCACTGACGGTCCCCCGGAAGCCCCAGAAAAAACCTAAACCGAGGAACCGCTCCCGCCTCACGCGATCGATTCCTCCGTCAAAGCCATCTGTCCGCTCTGGCTTCTACTTCTTTTAATTTTCCTCTTTCTTTTTTTTTTTGACCTTCTGCTACTTAACCAAACTCGTCTCAAACACATCGTCTACTCATCTCTTCCCCAGCATTGCTATCTCTTTACCTCTTATCGCACTCTTTGCCATTCATCTCGTTTGCCCGTCATCTCTGCCAATACACTGCCGACCAGAAACCTTCATGTCTTTGCGCTCGCCCAAACGCCGCTTCACACACACCACTGCTTGCCAATAGATAGAAACGCCTGCCCGCCATGCCGGCAAAAGCTAACGGTGTCGGCGTTCAGGTCGAAGATACCAAGATATGTGTCGTCATGGTGGGCTTGCCCGCCAGAGGCAAAAGCTATATTGCACAGATTGGTGAGTGATGGTAGCCTGATATGGCCCCAGGGCATCTCATTCATATTCCAAGCTTGCTCGGCCGTGGCTTGGACGTTCTCGGCATTGTTCTTTTTCATTCAAACCGTTATTCTCATAACGCCGCTAACGCACCACCACCAGCCCAACGCTACCTCCAGTGGCTCTCCATCACAGCCCAGACCTTCAACGTCGGCAATTACCGGCGCAACGATGCGCCACATCCGACCGCCGACTTTTTCGACTTTAACAATGCAGAGGGCGAGCGAAAGCGCCGTGCCGCCGCCGAGGCCGCCGTCGCCGACATGCTGCGCTGGTTCCGCTCCGGCGGCGTCGTTGGCATTCTCGACGCAACCAATTCCACAAAGGACCGCCGCAAATGGGTCCACGACATCTGCACGGATAACGGCATCGAAGTCCTTTTTGTTGAAAGCCTATGCGACCAGGAGGAGGTCATTATGGCCAACATTCTTGATGTCAAGACCTCCAGCCCCGACTACAAGGATCAGGACCCGGATGAGGCGGCCAACGACTTTCGCCGGCGCATCAGCCAGTACGAAAAAGTGTACAAAACGATTGATGGCGACGCCGATGAGGGCGACTACACATATCTCAAAATAATGAACATTGGCAAGCAGGTCATCATCAACCGCATCCAAGATTACTTGCAGAGTCGCATTGTATACTACCTCATGAACCTGCACATCCGTCCACGCTCCGTATGGCTATCCAGAGTGAGTGTGCCTGCCTACTTAGAACGCAACAATTCACTGACATTTTGAAGCACGGGGAATCACTGTACAACCTTGACGGCCGAATCGGCGGTGATACAATGCTCTCGCCTCGCGGCCAGCTGTATGCAAAGAAGCTCCCCGAGCTAGTTCGCGAGTCAGTAGGGGTAAGCAGCATATACTCTCATACCGTGTAACGTAAACTTGTCCGACAACACAGCTAAAAAGACGTGACAGGATGACCGCCCCCTGACGGTCTGGACATCGACACTGAAGCGTACTATTGCTACCGCGCGCTGGCTACCCGTGCACTACAATCAGCTACAGTGGAAGGCCCTCGATGAGCTCGACTCGGGCGTCTGCGACGGGCTCACCTACCAGGAGATCAAGGACCGCTATCCGGAGGATTTTGTGGCGCGCGACGATGACAAGTACAATTACCGCTACCCGGCGGGTGAGTCGTACCGCGACGTTGTAATCCGCCTCGAGCCCATCATCATGGAGCTCGAGCGCAGCGAAGACATTCTCATTGTCACGCACCAGGCAGTCCTGCGCTGCATCTACGCCTACTTTATGAAGAAGGATCAGGCAAAGAGCCCCTGGATGAACGTGCCCCTGCACACCCTCATCAAACTTACGCCTCGCGCGTACGGCACCGAGGAGATTCGTTATGAGGCCAACATTCCTGCCGTCAGCACCTGGCGCGGCAAGGGCAGCACGGCCAAGCACGAGGCCCCTACGGGCGATACAATGTAACATCCAGGGATTCGGGAGCTTACCGATTATGACTTGAATAATGTGCATCGGAACGGGGCACGGCAAAAATGGGCTCAACACGGCAGGAATAGGGTTTGGTTTTTTATACATGCATTCGGTGTTGGGTTATTTTACGAATACAATGGCTTCAAGACAATGACGCATTACATCCTGAATAAAGAAGAAAGAAAAGGGCAAGATTCTTACCAGCAACCCAGCACGGCGCTCTACACCGTTCTTTCCGCTGCGTGATTCCGTGCTGTGATACCATGCCCTTTGCGTGATTCAGCGGCTTCTGAATTATTATAACTTGACAATATTTACCCTTTGTCGTCTCATTCTTGCTCACTTTTCTTTCTCTATATGACATTAACGGCTTCCCTCACCCACCGCACATCAGTTTCCTTTTCTTAATCTGTTGCCGCACGCTTGGAGCTTTTCCCGCTCTTCCTCTTCCTCCGGTTTCCGTACAACCTTTTCGTTTTCTGCCAACAGCATGTTCTATTACTTTCAGCCTCCGATCTTTGCCGTCGCCGCGCAACCTGCACTCTTGATCTCGCCGCAACCGCGCTGCGCCTACACGATGCAGTCCATGTCGCTCCTGGCGCCCCCGCCCGCTACCACGTTAATCCAGGCGCCGCAGCCGGTGATGCTGGCGGCGGCGCCCGTGTACAATGTGTTGGCGCCCGCGGCGATATGGCGATCCTAGCAGGATAGTCCTCCGCGCGGCGGCGGCGTGGGGAGGGTGTTGGGCGAAGTCGATGACGAGCAGCCGCAACAGCAGCCCTTACCGCTGCTCCCAGAAGCGCTCCCACTTCAACGGCTTCCCATTTCCATGCGCGTCGTGCTGCTCGTAGAAGGCGGTAGCTGCATCGTGCAGGACGTGCGGTACGCGGCCGCACCGGAGACCATGGCGCGGGTGCTCGCCGACGTGGGGTACGTGCTCTCGCAGCACGGGTTTGACGGCGAGGTCGGGAGAATGAGCCGTGGGGTTCTGAGGGTGACGAGCGGGCGCGAGCCGCCGGGCGTGCAGGTCGTGAGTGGAGGGGGGCGGCGCGTGTTGCTGCTGAGTCCGGTGGTGTGGGAGCGCAGAGCGGCGGCGGTGGAGGAGGGGAATGAAGAGCTGGGGGAGGCGCTGGGGGATGCGGCGAATAGGGGGGACTGGATGGTGTTTGTGCTGTCTGAGGAGGAGGGTGCTGGTGGGAGAGGTGCTGATGTAGAGGGCGGCAATGCTACACAAGACGGCAATACTGGACAAGGCGGGAATGACGGGCAAGACAGCAATGCTGGACAAGAGGCCAATGATGGTCAAGACAGCAACGCTGGACAAGACGCCAATGATGGACAAGGCGATCATGTGTCCTCTTCTCCTAGACTCGATAATCCGCCTCCCGGTTCCGGAGCCAACAGCCCACCTGCTAGCCACGGCAGTTCGAGAGGTAAATGTGCCTATCAGGAAACTCTTACCGGCTGATTGATTCTCTAACACGATGTCAGGTTCAAGCACGCCACCACCTCCACCGCCGTCGCCGCCAGCAACTTCGATAATCGTCTCTTGAGACGCGCGATTGATGAACCAAGGACGAAAGGCGCGCGCGGTCCCGGCCAGGTGACGGTCAAGGAGACCGGTGCTGCGCCGGACATCACCGCGAAAGGGACCGCACGCTCTGTGCCGCAGGAAATAAAAAGGTCATGAGGAAGGTGTTGGTGCATATCACATCTGTCGCTGCCCTCTCTCTAGCGGAAAAAGTCGTTGTGTTTGTTTCCTGGAAGGGGGTTTCATATCGACGATTGGACGAGCGAGGGAGATCTTTAATGGCAACATGTCCAATGAGTTGGAATGGAAACCAGGCGCAAGAGATTTTGCTTTGCTTTTCCGTTCATCAAGTGGTTTCTTTATTTTTTTTGTATCTGCTTGCACCACTTTGAAGTAATCAATGTAGGATGACAAAATTTTGCTGGGTTTCATGAATAGGATATAAATGATATATCTATTCCAACTTCAACAGGAAGTAGTCCCCAGTTCACTAACAAGGACGTAAAATAGGTGAAAAGCATTGTCCGAAAAGACTAATCAACAGCCAAGAATGTTTTTTGTTACATTGTACAAATAAGATGTAAAACACCAATCGAACCAGAATGCGCAAAAAAGTGGCAACGCAGTACTAAAGACAAATCAAGTCGTGAACAGACAAACAACGCCAGTTACCCAGAAAATTCAGACAAGTAAAAGTGCAGCCAGATAGTGTAATAATATAAACCACAGTGGCTGAAAGAACCAAAACGCTTCTATTCCGACATTGTCTTACTACTTTCCCCTCTCCATTCCTGCTCGATGCTTCCTCTTCTTCTTCTTCTTCTTCTTTTTTTTTGCCTTGCGTTCCGTATTCCTGCGGCCTTAGTAACCCGCTTCCCATTATTCGGCAAGAACACGCATCAACCCATCATCCATCTTCTATACCATGACGACGTATCGGGTCTAAGCCGTCATCAATCTTGAGAGTCTTGCAGGTTCCCCAACTCGACTCGCAGGCAGGGGTATCTCGAGCATACCGGCTTCAACAGTGTTGGCGGGAGAGACTCTTTTCAACCAACTTCCAATGCTTTTTGGACCCACGAATGAAAAACGTAAAAATAATAAACAACTGGAAAGCACAAGACTTGGCCCAAAAGTGTTAAGGGCCGGCCAAGAGCATCTTCTTCGTGTCCATTGTAAAACAAGTCAACCAGAACCCCAGGCTAGAGCAATTCCGCGAAGCAAGAAATAAAACCAAAACGAGGCCGCCGCCATGCTGTAAGTGTGCGCCGGGGGAACAGAAAAAAGGTACAAACGAAACGACGTCAAAACATAATGCTAGTGAAAAACAATAAGACACGCTGCAGGTGCCAAATCATTCTTCCTCAGGACGGGTTTGTTTTGACGCGTTTTGGCATGCGTGGAGTGGCTGGCTTATTTCTGTTGCCAACGCCGTTGATCTGCGACCCCGGCGTTCCCCCACCAGAGCCGTCATCTTCGATCTTAACAGCTGACGGCCGTCGGCGCTTATTCGAGGCCGGCGAGGTGTTGGCACTCGGTCCACTGGAGCTGGTTCCTTGCTGACTTTGCTGGAGCTGCATGCCCGGCGCCTGGATCTGACCGGGAGCTGGGCTGCCAATGTGGGGTGAGCCGGGAAGGTTCATGTTGGCCGCGGCCGGGCTAGCTCCCATGGGAAACTGGCTGAAGCTGGGGGTTCTCGGGGCACCCTGGGGTCCTTGGCCATTCATATGTGGCATCTGTCCCGGACCTGCGTTGATAAAGGTCGACACGTACTGGTCGAGAGCAGCGTAAGGACCGAGGCCGGGGTTGTTGTGGGTGAAATTGAACAGCGGATTCATCTGACCCATGACTTCTACTATCTCCAGGAACTGATAGACCGCTTCTGTGACACCCTGTCTATTGACGGCGGAATCTGGCAGATCGTTGAGAACATCCGGGGGCTGAGACTGCGGCGACTTAAGCTGCTTGCCCTTGCCCTTTTTAGACATTTCCGGCGACTGCTTAGCATCGGTCGAGTTGACCCTGTGCCACTCCTTCATCCAGACATGGGCCGGCTTGGCAGCATCAATAACCTGCTTGCGAGCGACAAACTCCTCGTGGCTAGTAGCCACGAACTCAAACAGCTCCATCCGTTGCTCGCTATCGAACAAGACTCGCAGACTGCCGCTCGATACCAGATGCGATCCAGTCTCAAACCAATAGATAAAGCTGGCTTTGGGGTTCTCGATCAGGTACGCGTCGGTAGATACAGGCCTGTCGATAGTTCCTTGTCCCAGTGTAAGCTGCATGGATTTGACGCCGCTGCCAAAGTGGGTATGGAAGTATCGGGCAATAGCCGGGAAGGTGATGTCGTATTGACGGGGACCAGTGTCTTCACCTTCGGCGCTAGCGTGAAGAGTGTGGCGGAAAGTAGCAGATCTTGAAAAGAAACGTGCAACCAGATCGTTCCAGTAAGTCAAGTCGTCTCTGCTTCGAGACCCCGGATAGCCGCCTAAGTGCTCGCTCAGCTGGGACAGCCTCATCAGGCATTGAGCCTTGATGTGCTCTCGACGTTGCTGCTGCATCATAGAATTGTTCATGGCTAGCTGCTGGGCGGCAGCGTTCATCTGATGCGTCAGCATGGGGTGTTGCTGAGGTTGCGGCTGTTGCTGAGGCTGGTGACCCGGTTGCTGTTGTTGAACTTGCTGCTGCGGTTGACCCTGGGTTTGCGGAGGTTGAGCTTGTGGCGTTTGCGCGACGCTGGGTCCCGGTGCAGGCGTCTGCTGCGGCGTGTGCTGACCAGTCGGGGCAGGAGTACCGGCCTGCGAGCCCTGGGCAGGCGTTTGCTGCCGCTGCTGAGCTTGACCAGCCGCCTGCTGCTGGGCCTGCTGTTGTGCCTGCTGCTGGGCCTGCTGCTGGGCCTGCTGCTGTGCTTGATGCTGAGCCTGCTGCTGTGCCTGGGCCTGTGCCTGGGCCTGAGCCTGAGCCTGAGCTTGTGCTTGTTGCTGACCAGGTTGGCCCTGGCCTTGGGGCTGTTGACCCGGTTGGCCTGGTTGCTGACCTTGCTGGTTCTGTTGCCCTGGCTGGCCCTGTTGTTGGCCTTGTTGACCACCTTGCTGCTGGGCCTGTTGGGCCTGTTGAGCCTGTTGCTGGGCCTGCTGCTGGGCCTGCTGCTGCTGTTGCAGATGTTGCAGCGCTTGCGCGTTCATCTGCATATGCTGGGCATTAGGCCCGCCCTGTTGCATCTGGTTTTGCGCGGCGTGCTGCTGGTGAAGCGCTATTTGTTGTGCCATAAGAGCGGCGTGCTGGGCTTGAGGATGTTGCATCTATGGGTGGGTTAGCCTGCGGTGGATGAGGGCTGCAGGTAATGAAAACTTACAGGGTTGATTCGACCGCCCTGTCGCAGCTGCTGCATTTGTTGCTGGGTCAGCTGTATATTCATGGGCATGCCATTGGCGGCCATGCCATTGCCACCCATGTTGTTGGGTGCCATGCCGCCATTCTGAGCCATAGCCTGCTGAGCCATCAAAGCCTGCCGTTGCTGCTGTACATAAACTTGCTGTTGACGCATTTGAGCTACAGCACCTGGGTTGGCAACTAGATGGAAGGTGGGACCAATAGTTAACAAACAGGTCAAATCAGGCAGGAAGCTGACAGTGTAGCTTACATTGGTTTTGCAGTTGTTGCTGCTGCAACGCCTGCTGCTGAGCAGGGCTCATATGCTGAAAAGCGGCTTGAAGATTATGATTTCCACCATGTTGCATGGCCGCCATCATGGCTGGGTTCATACCAGCGGGGTTTCCAGCGGCCATAGGATTGCCTGCAAACTGATGAGGCATGCCACCGCCAGGCGTACCTGGCTGTCCACCGTTGGCACTCATGCCCGGAGCCATGGGATGACCAGAAACGCCTGGATGTCCCATACCGGCGGGATGACCCTGAAAGTTCGGGCCCATACTCGTGGCCATCATAGCTCAACGAGCAGGTCGGCTATCCACAGGCAACGGATATCGACGAATGTGCTAGATGCTATGGCATGCACATGCGTCAACGGAGAGACGTCGAAGGCGAACGTGCGGCGCAACCGATAAATGAGATGTATGTGTGGCAGTGAATGATTGTCGTGCAAGATGAATGGCGATGAGAACGTGTCGGCGCGTGTGCTTCGGCGTAGGTCGCGGGCTCCGAGGGTTTGGGTCGTCCTTGGGGATGCGACCGGACGGGGGGTGGGGGCAAAGACGAAGAGATCGTGGTCGACTAGGAACAAGAATGTTTGTCGTGGAGGCAAAGAGTGAAGTCGCGACGAGAGATGCCTGGATGCGTGACAAATGGCGTGACGGTGATACCAAAACCTGGCGCCACTGGACAGGGCCTGAGGCCAAAGGAGCACAGAGTGCGCGCGTGCGGATAGCGAGGAAGCGATAGTTCAACGAGGACGAGTGAGAGAAGAGGAGGAAGAATGAGAGGCACGTAGAGACGATGCCGTTGGGGATGCGCGGCGACTGTTTGAAGCCAAGGCCGGCAATGGGGTGAGAGATGTTGGCTGGCGATGGGCGCGGATAGGCAAAGCAGATTATGAGGGGGTCAGGAAGAGCCAGTATCGGGGAAAAGGCTGAACAGGCTTGGGCTTGGGGGGCCGCTCTCCGTGGGCAGCTAGATCACCCAGGCAAAGGTAGCCTTTTCAGCAGCCAAGCAAAGTACCCGCGCTGGGCCACAGGCGCTAGGAATACTGTATCAGTGCTAGGCCCCCGAAAAGTCCAGGGGTGGTGTTTAAGAGGTAGGTAGGCAGGAAGGAAACAAAATGAATCAAGGTGGCAAAAGAAGAAGAGAAAACGGTCGAATATCACTGGTGGAGATATTCTTTGCTGTGTATTGGTAGAAGCAAAGATTTTTGCCTGGTTCAACAGAGGGAGAAAAAAATTGAGTCGTACTGCTGGCTGGCTGGGCTTTCTGTGACGAGCGAGGTTCGGGCTGCTGCAGGCAGACGTCAATACAGTGATACCAGCTTAAGGTGAAAAACAGGCCACTGTAGCAAAACGCGCTGTTTTTCGGGGGCAGAGACGCTGGGACGAGCGCTAATGAATCGAGGTCACAGTAATAAAGAAGCGACAGCGACAGCAGACTAACACCAAGGCATTTTGATGGGCGAGATGACAGTGACCCTGAACTGACTAGGGTGGGCGCCCGCTCATCTCTTCCTCTTCCTCTCTCTCTCTCTCTCTTCACTCTGTCTTTGGGACCTGCCGCTCAAACGGGGTGCTGCAGGCGAGGCTATGCATATATCGAGTTTCCAGGCTCTGACGCTGTGACACGCGGTTTGTGTGGGCACGACACGACGATTTTTTTCTCGTCACTGGGCGTTGTAGGCGCCGGGTGGCTGGGAAAATCCCCCATGTCGTGGTCGCCCCGATAACAGCGCTAGTGCCGAGCTAGTCACCGCTGTACCGGGGGTTTTTGCCTATCAGTGTGCGCTTCCACCACCTTGTTGTCAACATGTCAGCAGGCCTCCAAACCATGGGTGACTCGTGTAGGAGAAAGATGATAATCGAAAACTCCATGTCGTGGTAACGGTTTGGCCTAGCTGCTTTTTTCCCACGTTTTTATAGCTATCGTTTTCGCGGCATTACACCCCATATCATGCCCTTTTCAACCCACACAAGCTAGTTAGTCCCATATCAAGCCCTTTTCTACCCACACAAGCTGACAAGCTAGTTAGTTACTGTCGTCCGCCTTGCCCGGGGGGGCTACGGGCGCTAACACTCTAAACAAACGGGGAGCCCACCGAAAACAGCCGTTCACGTGACAAGCACAGTGTCGGCGGAAACCCTGAAACTGTACTTTGGCACTGTTATTCATTAACCTCGAAACTTTTTTTTTTCTTCACCAAAATCTTCACTTACGGTACCTCACCCCTCGACTACCCCCAAACAACTCCTAACCCGGCCAAAGTCGATCTTTGACGGGCATGGATTGTTGATGAACGGAAGACTGCAGCTTTTTGCCACAGAAATATATCAATCGCAGTGCTACTGGACGCGAAACCTGCATGTTCATGGCCTGAAGAATGTTCTGTTTCTTGGTGAAAAGCTGCAGCTGGGGGTCGGTCGAGATGTTTTCTTTCTGTCTCTTGCATTGGGGGATCTGTTGAGGTGTCTGCTTCTCTCTTCTCGCTGATGTCCTCTTCATGGTAAGCTTTTCCTCATGCTCACTTGCACCCTCGTCCTGCTTCGCTCCCAATCGCATACCGCCATTGAATGATGACAATCATACACCTCTTCTTTTCATATCTGAATCGACCATGAAGAAACATTCGGGTCCCCCTCGCAAGGGACCTGTTACTTGCCAGTATTTCCTGTCTGACTTGTCACTCGGTTTGCACTTTGAAACAACGCTGCAAGACTGCAATTTTTCTGATCGAGACTTGTGCTAACAACAAGTCTTCTAGATTCCTTCGATGCCTTCATGCGATCACGATGAATACTAATAGCAGTCGACTGCGGTTATGACTTGCTCGCTAACGTAAGTTAAAGACAATTTTCTTCCGTCTGCCATTGTCTGTTTTCTTTTTCCCCCACGGTGTTTTCATGATGAAATTTCCCATTGATTCGCAGTTTCCACTCGAGTCCCATAGAGCCAATTTGGGATAAATGAGGGTATAATCTTCCTTGGATGTCTGATCTTGCACCTTATCTGTCTTTTTATTCTGCTTCACTTCATGATGTACAAAGTTCCTCCGCTAACAAGCGCAAAGTCTGCAGGACCCCGCCCATACATATTCCAGGATACCCATATCAATATATATGCATATTCAAATGTTGCACTCCCCTTCAATAAAAATTTCGTGTAATCGTGATCAGATTCTTAAATAGTAAATGTAGACGCGCCACGGTACTCTGCAGATAACTACTCGTATTTGCCAGCCCACTTTACTGCACATGCTGCGCGTGGTCTCGCAGCAAGACGTACACAAGCTTGTGGATTGGCTTATCGAGCACCATGATCTGATGAACATACTCGGTCCTGTATGATGCTGTCTGTACTTATCGGTTTTTGTTTTATACTGAACGCGCTATGTAAACGTCCTGAGGCTGCGAGCAGGCATGTTGGTCACGTTCGGGTCAGTTGCGAATTACTATTTGTGCTAATAAGCTACCATCACACATTTAAATACCTTGTACCGCGGCTCTGATAACGCGTCAACATACAGGACAAATCAAATGCGCCCCAGCTGAATTTAGTCACGATCAATATTTAGCATACTAATATTACTTTGTATTCAGGTACAGTCACATTTACCAAGTAATACCGCTGCAGCCGGCTATTCAAATCACATCGCCTTCATAATTGTCTCCTAACCTATACCTAAAAACGCCAAAATCCTCCCGACCAAGCCCATACAACGCCCATACCTCACCTCACGTACATGCATACACAGTGCCCCTACACCACACGCAGCTCCTCGCGGATCTCATCTCTGCGCACTCGCCCGCCCACCATGCCGCGTCTATTCCTGCCGGTGCGGCCGCGGCCGAGCCAGTTGAGCTTGAGCATGCGGCACAGCTCCGCCATGCGTCTGCTGCCCTCGAGCTCAGCGTCGCCAGCAACGCCCCCCGCCAGGCTCGCGAGCACGCTGACGCACTGCAGCATGCGGCCGACCATGTCGGTGACCTGCTTCGAGTCCTCGACATTTTGCTCGCGCACGCTGCTGAGCACCTGCGCGTTCGACGGCGTAAACGGCCGCAGGGCCGCGCCACCCCCGCTGCCGCTGCTCCCGTACGACACGTTGCTGACGGCGCGGCTGCGCCCGCCGCCCGACGATGACCCGCGGTCGTCGCCTCCGAGCAGCGTCGTGCTGTTGGAGTTGTAGGAGCCCACGGACAGCTCGTGCGACATGGCCGTGCCCGGGCGCATCAGCGGCGGAAAGTACTCTGGCGGCGAGGTTGACATGGCGGCAGCTGAGTCTGCGGGGGAGGACAGAGCCATACCAGCGAGAGACGAGGGCAAGAACTCGAGAGACAGGCGCGAAAAGATAGTCTTGAGCGTCTCGTAGCGCGGAAGAATGACACTGTCGCGGTAGGCAGCGAGCACAAGTCTTCGTGTATCAAAGACGACGGTTGCCGGCGTCGGTTTCGTAATATTGTCTTTGGTTGCGGATACCGATCCCCAAAAGTCGCGAGCTTGCTCGTAGGTTAGAATGGTACCGCGGCCAGCCACTTCTAGCTCGAGCGGCACAAAGACGGCTTGTAGATATGGTAGAATAGATGTAAAAGTAAAGAGCCACATTTCGACTAGTGTTGGGATGAATCTGTCCTCCGGCGCTTGACGAAGCGTATGATCTAAGAAAGAGAAACCCTTGGCAAGAAGTTCCCGCAGGTCGTCGAGCATGCTCAAAGGAGATCTCTTGAGGATGCATAATTGAATATGCATCTGCACAATGCGGTTGATATCTTCCACTGGTAGGCGCAAGTCTTCGCCCTGAAACACGACCACCAGTAGCGATTTCAGAAATGGCCAAGCCTCGTCCAAAGTAGAAGGAATATGTAGCCCAAGTCGTGCAGCCTCAGACGTGTCGCACAGAGTGCTCTGCTGCGATAGTGACGGGAACGGGATCGTGCCAGATATGTCGCCAGTAAGATTGAGGGACGACTCATTGTCTTGGCGACTATCGGAGCGATCACCGTACTTCTTTTCCTTTCTTGATTTGGAAAAGCCAGACGTTGACAGGCCGACGCTAGACGGTAGGTGAAAGCTGTATAAGCTGCTGGGCGCACTGGGATCAGTGGGCCGCGAATTACTAGCAGCAGACGATAAAGGCAAATGATACTCGTCCTTGAGCTTTTGCTTCTGCCGGGAAAGAAAGTGATGCCGCTTTTCTTTACTCTTTTCTTCCACGTTAGCCGAATCGGCGGGCCGTATCGTGGCTGAGGACGAGTTTGTCAAGCTGTACAGCGAATGCGCTGAAGAGTCGACCAGGCTGGTTGTGCTAAAATTGCCGCGCTGAAGCGCCGACAGCGCGGAGCCAATCTTGCTTGGGCTCGGAAGCGCCTTGTCCTTGCCCTCGGACTTGGCCGCGCTCATCTTGACGGGCCGCGAAAACAGCTTCGCCTTGGCTTTTTCTGACTTGGAGAGCGGCTTCTCTGCATACGACGCGGGAATAGGCGGAGGCAGAGGCAGCATGGGTTGCGGCGAGTTGGCGTCGCGCGGGGAGCTGTGGCCGGACCTGGGAAATACGACATTGGCGGCAGTAGTGGCCGCGGAGGACGCCGTGCTAATGTACAGTCCGCCTGGGGGCCCAAAGCCGCCATCCCGCGGCGCGCTGGCCTCGGTCAAGCTCAGAGTGGGCGGGCTGGTGGGCATCCGGCTACCACTGCCTCTCCGAGGGCCGTCGTTACTTTCGATGGGAAACGGCACTGTTTGTGAGCGTTGGCGGTTGTGCATGGTATTTTGATGCGACATGACGGCTGCCTGGGCGGCAATCTGGCTCGCCGACAAGGCGCCTTGCTGGGGCGGCTGAGGCGGCGGCATGCCGACCTGTGATAGGTTCGAGCTGTTCGTTGAGGGCAGCGAAGGTTCAAACATGCCTTGCGTGGCGATGTTCTTGCGGGATTCCGTCTTATGCAGCGTGGGCGAGCCGTGAGTGACAACGCGCGGAGAGCCCGGGTTGGGGCGCGAGAAGGAGAAGCTGTGCAGGCTGGAGTTGCTATTGTTGGCGTGGGAGGTGAAGTGGGAGTAGATGGGCGTGCCCGGCGAGGCGACGCGCTGGCGCGACTTGTTGACGTTGATGGAGGAAGCACCGGTCGAGGAAATTGCGGCGGCAGTAGCGGCCGCGCTGCTGGCGCTGTCATCGGATGCCGACGTAGGCGACTCGAGCCGCAAAGGCGGCGGCGGGCGGCGGGAGAGCGAGACGGGGCGCTGCTGCTTGCCATGCAGAGCGGCGGTAGCGGCGGCGGCAGACGAGGAGGACAAGGAGGGAGTTGAGGGCGACGCGGTGGCGTGAGAGGCCGAGGTGAGCGGTGAAAAGCTGCCCGGCGCTCGCCCGCGTCGGCCGGACGTGGGCGCCCCGGGTCCCTGTGCAGGCTGCATCGTCGCAACGGGGAGTTTGGGTACGGTACTAATCGCGGCAGGAGTGGAGGACCTCGAGTTACATATTGTATCAGGCAGCGGCGGCCATGCGACGATTGGCAAGCGTTAGTGTGAGAACGGTTGGTTGGGCTGCTCGCCCTTCAACAACATTGGGTGGTGAGAGGCAAAGGTTTCTCAGTTGGCGGGGTTGCAAAGGACGATTCCCGGCGTACTTGGAGGACTGGAATTAAGCGACGGCGACGATGGGGATTTGAGTAGAGAGATGCGAGTGAGGAGTAGTAATTGCTCGTTGATGGGGTTATCGATGTGCTGGAGGGTGTAGGTATGGAGAGGAAGAAGTTGAGATGGGCAAACAAACTAACGTCAGTACCTACAAGGGCTCAGGCTCAACCTTGAAACCCACTGCAGTTAGGTATTTAGGTAGGTAGTCTGTGCGCCAGCTGGCAGGGACCCCAGCTCAGATCCCGGAGAATGGAGGGCAGAGTTGAAGCCACCAAGCTACAGGGTTCTGTCCGATGGTGATGTGGAGAAGAATGCCGAGGGCATCTTCTAGTGGAGAGGATATTGCTGATAATTTGTGACTGTTATGATGATGCATAATTGGTCTTGTTAAAAAATCCCATCTACTGGAGCTGTCGCCGGCTTGATTCCGCGGGGAGCTTGGGCCCGCTAGAGGCAGCCAGTATTAACATGGGCCCTTTGCCATGAACCCCGCGCTAGTTGCAGCCCAACAGGGGTACCCGGAGCTCTGGAAAAAAAAACTCCGACTAGGCCATTTTCAACTCTCACTTTTTTCTCAAAATCTCTTCCAAAGACAAAAAAGGCCGACATCGTGGTTCAATCATCCTCCTCCGAGGACAAAAAAAAAAAGAGAAAAGCTCAAGGAATAAAACATTCGATTTACAGTCAACATGTCCCAACCAGCCCCCACAACCGCCAACACCCTCACGGCCAGCTACACCTCCCCCACCAACGAGGCCTTTGCCATCACCACCACCTTGCCCTCCTCCTCTTCCTCCGACAAAACATCCCATCTCAGCGCGCTGCGGGACGCCGTCGCCGACGCCCAAGATACAATCAACAAGGAGCTCACGGCGCGGATGGAAGAGGACAAGGCGCGTGACGCGAGTGCGGCGGCTGTCGACGACGCCAAGGAGGAGGAAAACTATGGCGAAGAAGTGCAAGAGGGGGATGATTGATGCAACTACATGCAAAGGAAATGTGGCAAATAGGGAAACTCTCTTGTCTATCCGGGAGTAGCCGTGGCTATGTTATAGAGCATAGAAGAAGAAAAACGACGAAACACATGGTACACTAACGGCGTGGGGGGTATTTGCGCGGGCATTACATTGCATCATGGCCCTTTTTCCCCATTTCTTCCAACAACGAAAAGGCACAAGAGCGGATATTTACTAGTGCCGGGCCCAGCTCGGCGTCTTCGGCCGCTGCTCCCCTCCCACACTGCTCAGGCATCCCCAATGCACGACCGTGTTATCCGGCATTACCGCCACTACGCTGCCGCCGACGCGCATGCCGCCACCCAGCCGTCGATGGCATACGACACACAGCCGCTCGTCCGTAATGGATACGTGTCTGTTGCGTCCCTTGGCGCCATTCTCCCCCACGTGCAGCGCCGCCGCCACGGCGATGCCCTCGGCCTTGCGCAGCGCCGCCACCACCTGCGCCTCGTTGACCATGCTGTTGGCCGAGCGGATGCGCCCGCGAAAGTACGACTCGAGCGCGCTCACGGGCAGGTCGTCGGGGATGAGACTGAGCGACGATGCCGCAGGGAGCCGCGCGCCGTGTTTGGATAGGAGATCGAGCGCAGGCTCGAGCTGCGGCTTGTGCGGTGACGATGGCTGGAGGTATAGAGAAAGGAGCGTGTGGTAGATGTTTGGCGTGTCGTTGTCATCGTCGTCGCCGTCGTCGCCGTCTTGAGATGTGTCGTTGGCGGACCGAGGAAGAGCTTGTCGCTGGATACGATTACAGTATCTAGACGTAGTTAGCGAAAGTGAAATACATGCGCCTCTATAGTTTTCAGCCTACTCTTCTGCCTTGGCATAGTTTTGCATCTTGAAAACAAGAATCTCCAAGGCCTGCTTGTGTTGTCCCATGTTGCTCAGCACCACAGCCTGTGCCTCGTAAAAGGACGCGTCTAGTCTTGTCAGCATCTGACCCTAGCCAAATTCTGATTTTGCACTTCTTACCATTCCTGGGAATCGTGGAAAACGCCTTGCCGAGACTGTACACAGGATTCGGTGCTTGCAGAAATTTGAGAAAGCGCTCCATCAGCGGCTCCCACTCGTCGTCACTATGCTTCAACTCCACCAACGCCGAGATGTACAGCTCCACGAGTCTATTGTGCAGATCCGCCGTAGCATCGTCCAGCTCCATGATGACGTGCTCGAGGTACTGTCGCTCCAACGCCGTGTCTACCGTCCGTAGAAACGCCGACACGCGCTCCCGGGGTAGCGTCTCCGCATTCTCCGTGTCGCCCGTGAAAACCTCCATGGCAAACGCCGGGTTCACACGCAGCGTCCATCCCACATTCTCCAGAATCAGGTCAATCTCCGACGACGGCATGTTTTGCAGGTACTGGATGGTGCGATTAGGACCGTGCAGCGCCGGCGCGCGCTCGTCCGGCTTGGCCGCGGCGCCAAACTTGACGAGAAGCGCCAAGGCTTCCCTGTGCAGCTTCTTGCCGTAGAAAAAGTCAATGAGCTCGTTGTAGCGGTCTTGCTCCACGAGCTTCTCGTTGACCACGTCGGGGTCGCAAAAGTTGGGGATGCGAAAGAGCGAGCTGGCGAGTGAGGGCTGCGAGAGCATGTAGGCGCGAAACAGCGTCGTGTCAACAAGACGAAACGTGCGTTGGAGCTTTTCCTGCAGTTGCGCTTCGCTTTCATTCGGGCCCATTCGGAGAAAACGATCTGTAGGATCTTCGCCCGGCGTCGAGTCTATGGGCTTGAGGAGTCCGGTGGCGGGGTCAATGACACGCTGCAAACGTGCACGCGTGCCGGCCAGATATCCGTTGAGCTCAAGGACAGCCTTCATCAAGTCTATACCTTCAAGAGGCTTGTCCACCGCGGCTGCCGAGTCTGAGGAGTCCTTCTCGTCCGGGACGTCTGAAGCTTCCCTTTTCACTGACAATATCGACGCTGCATCTGCAGCCGTTCTACGTTGTGATCCTCTAAATAAACCCGCGAATCGACCGACGGTCGAAGTGTTCTCACCAGCATCCTCAGACTTGCGCTGTGTTTCGACACTGGCTCGGGGTACCGTATCATCGGCATCGTTCGCCTTTTTAGGCTCTTCTTTGCCAGCCCATTTGGAGAGCTCGCCCGAGATGATGGGCGGATATAGGGCCAACACTCGTTCCGGTGGAGCGTGGACAGTATCTTCATTGAATAAGTCCATTGCCTTGCGATACTTTTTCTCAGCAAAGAGCACCTCAGCCTTTTGCATCTTGACCTCTCTCAATGTGTCCGTCTTGCTCTTGAGCAGCGCGTCCTCCAGCAGATTGAGGAGGCTAATCGCCTCGTCATAGTTGCCAGCATCAACCAGCTCCTTGACTTGCGCGTCGTAATCTGTGGCACCCATTTTCCAGACACATCGTTCACTAGAGATGTGAAATCCCTTGCCGGCATGCGCTAGGCTCACATTCGGAGGCGGAAAGTATAGCTGAGCTGCACCAGGGAGCGATATAGTCTGCACAAGTGAAAGAGTCTCCGGATTTCGCACTTCTAGTGACCCCTTTGCTGGTGGCTGCAGAGCCACAATGTACGGATATGAGTAGCCTATAGACTCTGGCGCCGTCGCCCAAGGGATTTGTCGTTTGTCCAGCGGCTTGCCCGCGTCGTCTATGAATAGCGTATTGATATCCTTTGCCAGGAGAACTTGGCCATCAGCTAGCTTGGACGCCAACGGCTTCGGCATGTAACCGCCCAGGCCCATGTAGCCCATACCCGCACTGCTGACCGCGCCGAAGCGGCTGCTTTGTCCCGCCGCGCCGACCGTGCCTGGACCGGCGACATCTTCTACCTCGTGTGTGAGGGCATCAACCATGACGTAGCCGCCATTCATTCCGCACACAACCTTGGTAGCACTTGCCCACGTCACACTGCGGATCGACTCGGCGAGCACCACCTCGGCATTATCGCCGCCGAGTTCGCACTCGTGCCAGCTCCAGAGCAATAGACGCCTCTTGACAGAAACAGCGAGCCGCGAGATGATCTCGGGTATGCCTGTATCTGGGTCCTTGACGATGTTCGAGGTGACGGCGAAGCCCGAAGCGTTCTTGGTCTTGTCAAGAGTCTCAATCAGCTCGTAGGTCTGTAGGTCGTGCAGCGACACGTGGTAGTTTGACAGCGATACGATGGTGTTGGCCTCTTTAATGATAGCAAGCTGCTCGATGGCGCGCGTGGAAAACTTTTCGACTTCGCGCAGGAGGTCTGTCGGTCGTGAAGAGCCGCGCGAGGATGGGCGCTGCTGATGATCACTGTTGTTTCGGGGGAGGCTGCTCGAAACGGAGTTGCTGGCTGCATATCCATTTTCAATGACCGGGGTCGGATCGTTGAGTCTGTATATTCGAAGGGAGCCGGTGTTGAGGCCGACAAGAATGCGATCGCCTGTGAAGCAAAAGGTTACTCTAAGCCGGAGTGTGATGACGTCCCCGCCAGCTGTTGAGCTTGCGGAAGGCCTGATCTTCGATCCTGCATCGCTTTTGAGCCGTTGAAAGTTACGTACCATGTGCAAGGATCGTCTCTATCTTGGATTTGTCGCGCGGCCGCAGCTCAATGATCGGCCGCGCGGTAAAGGCAGAGAGCATGACGGGCGGGAGGGTAAGCTCCGAAGCTGGTCAGCCTGGGCTACCTCGGATCGACGAGCATCAGTATGCGGAGTGCAATGTGCAGTTAGCCAGCGTATGCTCCGAGATGGATAAAAGAGCCGTGACGGTCGAGTTTTTGGAAATTAAAGGAATCGCAGTTGTGTTCTGTATCGTCAAGAATCGGTTGCAACTTGTCAAGGACGGATGTCTCAGCGCAACCATCGACGTCAGGTGCCACTAAATACCTAATTAGTTGCGTCGTCCCAAACGTCAACGCCGACCGGGCTGGGCTAGGTAATGCTAAGCTTTCACTCCACAGCACCCAACTTTCAATTTACAGGAGCAACAATTAGTTTTCTCTGGCGGTTAATATACGAACTGACGGGCAGATGAAATGTACGTGTGATTTCTTCTAATAATTGTCTAGTCAATATGCTCCCTGCTGTTCTTCAAAAGTATTTGCAGCTCCGTATCAATAAGGACCTAGGTGATCCGGAATCAGTTGTAGAAGGTAGGCCGGTAGGCCATGCTTAATCAGTATATATAAATAGACACCATGCGCCGATAATGTGCGCCAGAGTCTATACCAAGCTCGTTCTAGATCGGCTTCTGTCTGGTAATATATAGTAAGTCTGAAGCCGGAAATAGAACCCTTGCTGCCCGCATGTGTTGTTCTATTAGGCCTGTATGATCCCCGTTAGTCTTTTCAACATCCTTTGCATTCGCATTTCCCTTACTGTTCTTGTATCACTAGTATACCTGTATCTAATTTTTGTTCAGGTCAGTCTGCGTCGAGCCAGCGGACAGCAATACATCTTCGAAAGACAGCCTTGGCCTCAGCTCCTAGCTTTGTGAAATATAGATGATACCTTGAAGGACCTTACGTATGTAAAGGACTGAAAACAATCCAGGATTGATTTTGGAAGGCCTCAAAACTTCGCGATGGCCTGTCTTATTGCGCGTCAACCAGTCCGTCGAAGCAGTTGGCCTCTTGCCCCAACGCCCGCTCGGGTCACGCCCTGCTTCCTCGCCTCGAGTCCCCATGAGATCTAACGCCGTTCTATAGTCATCAAACATTTGGGAGTCGTCAATCTGTAGCCGTTGCCGCCATTATCCCCGCCTCGGCTATGCGCCAGTCGTCCTCAAACGTCAACGTCGTGCGGACCTTGTCCCATCCTACCCAGAGAGCCTCAAAGTCCTCCCCTTCCTGCTGCATGCCCTCATCTCGCGCCAACGCTGATTCTGCGACCGCAACAAACCAAAAGATAATTTTGAGCACACCATCGGTGACGCGCTGTGCGACAGCCAGTGGCTCCGTCACGCAAGATGCCGGGCCTGCGCCAGCAGCAGCAGCAGCAGCAGCAGCAGCAGCAGCAGCAGAGGTAGTTGCTCGTGTGGTGATGGGGACAGGAAGTAGCTGCGCGCGCACTCCAGTCTCTTCCCAGGTTTCACGAAGCGCGGCCTCCTCAAGAGACTCGTGAATGTCTTTGCGGCCCTTGGGGAGATAGTACTCGCCGGTCCCTCGGGAGCGGATCAAAAGAACCCGAGATTCGGGGATGTCGACGGTAACAGTACCGCAACTAATAACGAAGTCGTCTGAGAAATGAAGGCTCCTACAGGTAGACATTATGCCAAGACCCTTGTGGCAGAGGCAGAGGGACGAAGAGGACAAATGTGATGGAGAGAGACTTGATATTTGGCCCCACACTCGAGTTATTACAAACTTGCGAGCACCCTTCGCAATCCCTTCCATGACCTTTTGCTAATTTTTAGCTTCCTAACTATACTTCTCATCCTCTTGCGAGTCAGCAGTCAACGCGGAATGGGATAGCAACATCAAGATTACAAGAACTGTGCTGACATTTATGAGACCTATATATGGGTATATGCTAATCAAGTTCATCTCGTAGGCTTCCAAACAAACGGCCGTCGCATCCATTCGAGCGTAAATAAAACACCATTAGTCGTTACATTGTAGTCCATGACTGCGTCACGTATAATTTCTTCTTTTCTAGTCGCCCAGCGACCAAGGTAAATCTCTCTCTCGTACCGAGGTACACGTCAGATATCGTATTCCATCACTTGGTGGCTTTCCGCCTGCGGTGCCAGCAGCGAGGTCCAGCTCCAGACTGCTCCCCATAAGAGGGGCAACGATCTCTCTCGCCATGGCCTTGAGTTCGTCTAATCGCTTCTCAAAGCGTCGCAAATGGTCGCGGCTGTAAAGTTCGGGAGTTTGCTTAAGAAAATTCTTGCACTCACTATGGGGCAGATACGCCGTTGACCTGCCGGCCAGCGTGCGATATGCACGGCCAATAGCACCAAGCGCAGGAAGAGGCGCAAACGCACTCTTATTCGCTAAAGCTGACGAGGATTTTTGGCTATCAGCTGTCCGCTTTGACGGTGGCGGCGGCGAGGTGTTGTCTGTGAGCCATTGTCGAAAGAAGCTGACAGTCAGCCAGTCCAAATAATTTGATGACGGCGAGACACGCTCGCCGTGAGAATTTAACAGCGTTAGGCGAAACAACCGGCGTTCCACGCGGCTGACAGTGAATTCTAGATCATCGACCTTGTCTTCGATGAGATCCAGAACAGAGTCGGGCATGGACGCCCGCAGACTGCGCTCGCCAACAGGCCATTGGCCGACTACGTGGACAAGGGCCTCTTGAAAGATGACCTTCGAACGGGCCAAATAGCCTAAGCGAAGGTAGGACACTGGGTACTTGGCAATTTGCTTCCACAGTCGCGCTTGAAACTGCAGTAAATGATGATCAACTCGAGGACCGACGACGGCCAGCGCATCATATTGATCAGCTATGCTGAGAAGGCGCTTGCACTGAATATAAGCATCGGCGACATTGACACCGTCAAGAAGAGGCGGGTAATTGTAGAAAATCCGGAATAGATTGTCGTAATCGCGGACAAGGTCCTCCTCCTCCGGAATAGCAACGATGACTGTGTTATTGCCTCGACTGCGCGATCGCGTGTGCGATGTCAAGCTAAGATTGGCGAGAGACTGGGAGAAGGACGATCGATGACTTTTCGCCGAGTGAGGCAGGGCTCGTGGTTGAGCATTGCTGTGGCGCGAGCTGCTTAAAGGTCCAGACTCAGGGCCGGAGCTGGACCCTAGTCGAGGGGTCGCAAAAATTGACTGATGCGCAGGCTGCATGCTATCAGCAATCCCGGGATCCTTCTGAACAAGCATCGGAGTATCGTCATCGCCACAACCTGGATCCAATTCATAACGCCAGCGCCTATTGCCTGGGACAGAAACAGTAGCTATTTGAGTAGCACCAGTGGTTGAATCGGCCTGGCTCAAAACGGAGCCATTTGGGTTCACACAGGCAACTTCGTTACCTGCTGCGAGCTGTCGAACTTTGGATTTCGTGGATGGATCCGGACCACGGGCGCGGGACCATTCTTCCGAGGTACTGGCTTCAAAGAAGCCACTGCAGCGTGTAAGAATTTCTCGATGAAGCAGATATCTGTTTTCGAGCGGTCCAGCTCTCACAATGATCTCGACGTCGCCGGTTTGCGTAAAGACGGGAAATTCGTTGCGAGGAATGTAGGAGTCGCCGCCGGCATGAGAACGGTTATATCGCTTCGAGCGCGAGCTTGCATGTCCGTTCTGCTGTGGAAGGATAGCAGAGGCAGCAGATGACTTGCTGTGGCCGCGACGATGCTGCAGGCTATACTGCGCCGTCGGATCTGGTTGCGACACCATTGGCGCCGGTTGATAGAGCCGATGACGCAATAAGAAGAGCACCGTGAGAATGAGTTGGTGAGTACGGCAAGTATGCGAAAATTGATGCGACGGTAATTTCTCGTCAGGTCGCCAGTGGCGACGTGAGCAACGTCGCGTTATTCGGGTATCGCGGCGACATGCAGATGCACTGCGAGTTAGTGGGCGGCCTTTGTGACAGGCTGCACAAGATTCGATCTCGTCGGCAGTAAGTTGCTCAGCAACGTATTGGCAGAGAGCAACGATAAGTCGATCAACGACGTTGTGAATGAAATGATTATGCAATGGATGCCGTTCGAGATAAAGAAAATAGAGTAGAGGGACAAGTTCTCGAGCAAAAAAACGAGAAATGCGTCTCGTCCAGGAAAGCGAAAATAGAGTACCGATGGCTTCTCCGTGTGCCACTGGCCTGAGTTATAACAAGCCCCTCCCACCTACAAGCTTTACAGGCTCCGTCACGGGCCCAGGCGAAACAAAGCAAGGCAGAGGCCCTGTAATAAATGTCAGGCGGCATGCCCCAGGTGGATGGATGAGTAGAACAGAGTGGGCTGGAGGCGTTTTTGGTGCTTCATCGACATCCAAGAAGGAAAAGGTTCAACCGCCCCCGCTACGAGAGGCAGCCAAAAAAACGCCCAGCAGCTGCAGGCTGATTGGTGGTGGACGAATCGGCGTCGAGGAGAGCGCTGAGAGCGCCGAGAGTACTACCGCTAGCGTTAACGGTGGGACAGATCGCTGACCAGTCGTGGTCGAGAAGTCGTTGATAGGCCTGATGGCAGGAGTACTATTCAAAATAGTAAAAATCGAAAAGGTATATGATGAGGGGGAGGAAGAGGAGAATACAAAGTGGTGATGAAATCTTTCACCAGGCATGGTGTTGCGGTTTGACGGTTGCCAGCTGGCGGGTGTAGGTAGCTGGCAGCTGACAGACTGCAAATACTACAAGCAGCAGACCCAGTGCTGTTTACTAACAACGCGACATCTTGCTTCATTTTCTTCACCTCCTCAAGTCCCCCTTCTACTATCATTTCCGATGTACTGCAAAGCAGGCCAAGATAATCTCATGGCCTGATACGAAGTTATTGAGAATCGTGACACCTCATGGCCCCACAGAAGCTTCCGTCCAACTAATGCAGGTCGCCACAGCCAGCACCAAAGACTGCCCTTGCATCGACACCATTCGGTCCACTGAGAATCTGACCAACACGCGATGGGATGGGTGCAACTACTCCCGCTTTCAACAGTGTGGTTCGACCCATTACAATCTCCGAGTTTCGTGAAGCGATACTAGCAACATGCAAGCCGCGCTTCCCCCATGTGCGGCTTGCGCGGCCCAGGCCCATAGGTAAGCATGTACCACGACTACCTCCCAGATTTCAGTACTGACGAGCTTCGAGGCCTTGCCATCAGCGGAGGCGTGGATTCTATGGCATTGGCTTACCTATTCTCACATTACATCAAAACATACAAGACGCAGCATATCGCCGATAACCCAGTCCAAGACATCTTCGCAGCCACGGTCGATCATCGCTTGCGACCCGAGAGTGCAGCAGAAGCAGCCGAAGTAGCAAGCAATCTCAGGCGCCTTGGATTGAGAGCTTTCGTTTTCCCGATTAATTGGTCATACGTGTTGGGACACGATGTAGACCCCAGCAAGCAAGCGAACGTCGAGAGCATTGCCAGGACCCTTAGATACCGTGTTCTAGGCTCTTTCTTTTCAACACATGAGGTCACGAGCCTCTTCTTCGCACACCATCGTGACGACCAGTACGAAACAATACTCATGCGCCTGCTTTCTGGCCATGGCTATCGGGGCCTGCAGGGCATAAACAAGGCGAATTCTATACCCGAGTGCTACGACATGCATCGCGCATACAAGAGCGGCTTGGTAGATGATCAAATGCGTCCACATCCATTTCTCAAATTCAGTCCCGCTGGTAGAGAAATGAGGGCGTTGCGAAGCAGGCTCAGGCTGGAGAGCACACTTCCCGGGTTTGAGCAATTCCGATCACACCTCGGCATCAACGATCTATCTGCTCGATTCCCTGGTCAGCTGCAACGCGAATACGATGCTGGCATTCCATATCTGTCTCCTCTGAGCGTCGAGGACGGAGGGATCACGGTGTACAGGCCGTTATTGGAGTTTGATAAAGCGAGGCTTATTGCCACCTGTGAAGCCAACAATGTGCCTTGGTTTGAAGACCGCACTAATACTGATGCTACATTGACCACGCGCAATACGCTGCGGAATATTTGCAAGGTCAACGAGCTCCCGCGAGCCTTGCAAAAGCCTTCTATCCTGGCTCTGGCCGCGCGTTCGAGACGCAGGGTCCAGTGTGAGGAAAATGAAGCGTCGCGCATTATACATCGCCAAGTGGCCATAGTTGATTTTGATCCGAATGTCGGCTCGCTACTAGTGGATTTGCCCTTGCTGTATATTGGCAGGGAAATGCGCGGACGTCTCAACCAGCCGGCAAGAGATGAGGCTCGGCGAGTAAGGCATCGACTTCTTGCTGCTATAATCACGCGCAAAATGATTAGCCTCGTGACCCCCGACAATCACCTCCCATCGATTTCGAATCTTGGAAACACTGTACGGCGGCTCTTCCCTTACTTGTACAGTAATGGAACTGGTGTTCTCGATGGGGCAGACCGCAAGGCCTTTTCCATGGCCGGTGTGCAATTTGAGCCCATACCAAGCTACAAATCTACGCGTTGGTTCCTATCCCGGGCGCCGTTCTCTTCTAATTTCCTGCGTGCGGTTACTACGACCCCAGAGAGAACGATTCAGCGCCCAAACTGGGGTTCAAACTCTCACCCGCTCCCGTGGGAAGCACCCCGGGACCCGGCCTGGAAAACTTGGAAGACAAGCTTGCTATGGGATGGACGCTTCTGGATCCGGCTCAATTCCTGCGATCGTAAAAAAGGGCTCCATGTACTACCTCTAATGGCAAGGCATACCAAAGCTTTCAAAGCTGCTTTGGATCCCAGAGAGCGCGCTCGATTCGAAAAGCTTCTCAAATACCATGCACCGGGAAAAGTGCGTTACACCTTACCTGGCATTTACGCTGTTGAAAAGCTGCACAAAAGCCAGGAGGGAAGTGAGGAGTCAGAACGTAAAATGATGCTGCTGGCCCTGCCGACTCTTGGTGTTCAAATTGCAGGCTTGGAGCAGTGGGTGCGGTACGATGTCCATTACAGGAACATCGATATGCAGCTGCTTGGCAAACGAAAATGCAGCAAAACGCCCAACATGAATGGGTTTACGGCACGGATTAGTGTATCCAGGAAGAAGAGGCAGCAACGGATGCGAAAAGTCGTTGGATAAATTACAACATTACACAGATACCCATTTGATGATTGTTCTACAATTTTGTCCCTTTATATACCTTTGATATCATGGCCATGGCCAGTCCTGGAAGACTGTCGCGCACAAGGCGTTTGACATGGGCTTGTTGGGCTGCGAGAAGGGAATGTCAAGATGCAGTGCAACACGGCATTGCAATCCCGTTCTACGTCTCACTGCAGCCTATTCCCACGTGTCAAGCGGAAGAGAAGGCCAAACTCGCACAATATGCAGAAAGCCGACAACTACTCGTCGATAGCGTGGCTTTGTCGACCGAAACCTTTTCATATGTGTCGATAGTGGCCTGCCCGCGTCATTACTGGTGATGTGCTCTTTCTCTACCTCTACGTCCGGCCGTGACGTATTGCGCGTCACTACGCGCACTTCGAGGAGTCCTTATTCCCACAGTGTAGTCTCGGATGGGGTCGCGCAGGTCGTTGCTCGTTGGGACTCTTGCTGCGCCTTGTTGTGCCTCGCCGCCGTCGCCCGGTGCGGGTTTCCAGATGCCATTGTTTTTCAAGTGCTCCTCGAAACCGGCGTCTCGCGGAGGGGTCGCCGCCGCCGCCACCGTCGAGTTGCGTACGTCTCCATTGAGGTAGTGCCGCGCAATGTGCCGCATGCGCTTCTTGTACACCTCGGTGAGGACGGCGCGATCGGCACGGTGCTGCTCGTCGACGGAAAAGGTCTCGCTGCAGAACCAGCACCCTGACGAGGGGGGGAGCCGGTGGTACAGGTGGGTGCGGGTACGCACCATGTGGTCGGTCCAATTGTCGATGCCAGCGCCGGACCTGTGCAGTGGAAATGTGTCCATGCAGGCCTTGTACCGCCGGAACTCGCACGGCAGGTGGGCTACGATCTCGGTGGCGTCGGTGGAGGGGACGGAGGAGGAGGCGGCAAATCGCACCGACGCTGGACCTGTCCAGGATGCCATGGCCGACGCCGACGACGCGTGAATGCCTGTGGGCGTGGGCATTACGCCGATTTGGTTCCAGTGGTCCGGGTCGACGATGTCCGCCCCGGCCCCGGTTTCCGCAATCACGACGGGGGGTACCAAGGTCGCGTGGTCGTCGTCAATCTCCATGGCCGGGTCAGCCAAGGCATTGTCCATGGCACGCTGGGCGGCCGAGAAGGCCGTGGTCCGCGAGGCTCTGGTCCTGCCGTCATGCACGCTGCTGAAGATGGACCCATGGCCGCCGCCGCGCCCGCCGCGACCGCTGGATATGCTCTCTTGATGGACGTAGCTGTCGGTGACACTTTCGTCGTCTAGCGAGGGTTGGAAACGCGGGCGCCGCGCATCCTCCTGACCGTCTCCGGTGAAGTCGGAGAAGGCGATGCTCCGGGCATAATATCTTGCCGTAGAGTCTTCCATAACATCCAACCACGTAGCGTTGGGGTCTTGACCGACACTGCCAAAATCGGGTTGCATGATACTGGATGCGTAGCCGCCTCCACGCTCGCCGTGGCCGCTGAAGACGCTCTCTTGGTAGGAGGAGCCGCTATCAGTGATGGCGTCGGCGCTCTCGTCCTCGGTACCGTTTCCGCTCAAGACGGACGAAGCGTTGGCCTCGGCATCAGATGGCCCCGAGGCATCTCCGCGTCCCATGACGGCATGCCACGCGGCATCTTCGTTGATCTGAATTGGCCAGCGACGAGGTGGCATGGTGTTGGAGCCGCAACCACCCATATATGCGAAGGAGGTGTCGGCAGACTGCGCCATGATGATTCTTTGTGTGGCGAATTGAGAAAAGGACGTTTATTTGAAAGTGGATTTTGGCCCTTTGGGTATCTCGTTCCTTGGGTGTTGGCGTTGTCTGCCACAGCTGCCAGCAGCGATATTCGGGAATATGTGTTGGACCCCGCTCGAAGCAAAAGAGGGGAAGGGAGGGAGGCAGGAAATGCGCGGTAATGTCGCGATAGAGTCTACCACAGCTCAGCGTGAAGTCTTTCTGCGTCTGAAAGAGTGTTGAGGCACCAGGCCCTTTTTGCCGTTGGCGCTTGTGAGTGAGTGAGTGAGGAGGAAAAAGAGTTGTTATCCTGAAGTTTAGGTCTGAAGAAGGGGGTCCTGCCGCAGTGGCCTATATATATGATAGATAGCCCGGCTTGATTTACCACCACCAGAACGTCTTTGGAGACGACCAGTTCCCGCAATTGAGGAGTGGGGTTTTATGGCGTCGCGCATGCTTTGATGCAAGCTGCTATTCGTTGTTATATTTGTGGTGTGGTGCTTTGTGTGATGCTGGCTGGCTGGGAGCAAAGGAGGTGACCGCTAGTATGCATCGCGGTGGAGACGAAGCTGGAATGTCGTGATGAATAAATGGCACAGCAAACTTTAGTACAGACTACAGACTCTCTGCTGCGTATTGGATCTGGCTTTACATGGAAGAGAAATGGTCAGCCGGTCTAGGATCAGCCGTGTGAGTCTGTTTGTTTCTTTGGACTTGCAACTACGACTGTATATTTGCTTGGCACCTTGTACTCCAAGAGATGGCCTCACATCACTACTAGCGGCCCCCAATGAGCACAGGAAAGCCAACCAGTAGAGTCGATAGACGACTAGCCATCTCTTGGGAATGCATTTACATCTAATACTACTGAACACTGAAACCTGCAGGCTACTACCATCCGATGCAGTAAACGAGACGTGTGACAAGAGCGTTTTTTTTTTGTTTTTTTGCTGTCCGTATGCAGACCGGACCATTATCACCAGGCAAATGCGCCCATTGCATATGGAATATATTAACAGCGACACGCGTTGAATGCTTCGTTCAAAAGGTCCCAAAGACGTGCACTTCATTAGCATGCATCAGATGTAGCATGACAGCAAACACCTGTGCGACGCACCAAGAACCCATGTTACAAAAGTCTCACCCGCTGCAAGGCTGTACGGCTGGGTAAAAAGACCTGATTGATGTTGGCATAACTAGTAAGTCCCCCCCCGCTACGTAACTAACAAAAGTTGATCTTCAAACGTTGGTTTGATGAGGATTAGCCGCCACAAGTGGAAGCAAAAATGTATGCCGTCGTTGCCAACGCAGTCGAAATGTCTCGGATAGCCATGTCCAGAGCAAGTGGGTGACGGAGAGAAAATGGTCATTACAGATCTTTCTGATACAATTTTTTGCTATGAAAGTATTTGTTACTCTTGTTATCGCACTTGGCTCTTCAAAGTCTAGTTGGATGTGTTGCGTCCTCATTCACACACACATTTACACACACATGTATAAGTCGCATCCAGATTAAAAGTGCTATGAGCTGGCGTTTCTTGCTGCTATCGGTACAGTGCTACCAGAAATAATTTCAAACATGTCTGACAGCAAAATTAAAGAGGCATGTTTCACTTGCGTGATCCCTCTCGCTACCTTCTTTCAACGTAGATGCTGCCTGCCCCCCCCCTCCTGCTTTCAGCCATTCGCGTACATGTTGGCAGGCAAGCAAGCCCATGACCACGACGGCTCTCAGCCATATCCATTGCCCTCCCACCCACATCACCTCAACCAGTGGACATCCGGAAAGGTGGCCCCGGGTAGCTTTAGCTTGCCCCAGCCGCTTGGATGGTGTGGAAGTCGCACGGTAGGGAACCTTTGTGTGGAGGAGCTTCCAGACGTCTTGGCCCTATTGCACGCGCATCATCACGCCCACCCCCCAGGCTCATCCGCGGCGGGCGGGCATCAAGCAGCTGCAGCTGATGGTTCGTTTTTTTATTTTTTTTTTTTTCATTCGTGCTGCCCTTTTGTAGGCTGGGGGTCGAAGCTCGATCAAGAGAGCGACGGGGGTGATGCCGCCCGGCATCTCAACCGTGCCATGTTCCGCAGCGTGTGCGAAGACTGGGGGGTGGATAGGCCTGGAGGGCGGACAAAGAAAACGTGCGTCGCTCTTCGGGGCGGAGACTACTTGCCGTCAACTAGATGCCAGTTTTTTTGTGATGTGCGGTTTTCGCCTGGTCGGAAGCAGCAACCTTGTTGTCCTTGGCCGCAGCTTTGTTTCGGGAGAGACAGAGAGAGAGAGAGATAATGAGAGAGAGAGAGAGAGAAGGAGAAAGAAGGAATGGTGATTAGTTGTCGCTGGCAGTGTCTTTGCCTCGCTGTTACTGCTGATGCAAGCGAAAGCTGATATATTCGCGTGACACAAACTCTGAATGGATGGCGATGGGCTGATTCAGCGGGCTGAGCTCATGGGGATTCAGGCTTGCAAAACAACAGACACAAGAATACAGAGACTATCAAGTTTAACCTGCACATTGTGAACAACATGATTGCGATGATGAGGACGCTATGAAACTGCTCTTTATTCCAGCGATCCGTAAGCTGCGTCCGGTCAGTCTTGTTCCAGCCCTGATTAGCGGTGTTGTCCGTCAACACAGGCGCGAAGTGCTCAAGTTTCGAGTACCCAGGTTTCACAATATAAAAAAGATCATGTTGCTAGACAAGAAGCGCATATTTCAGCTTCAGCTTTTGCGCGACATGACGTAGCATCGAACCTGTAAGCGGCACCATCGGCCGCCCAGCTTGGCCAGCAGCGGGGAAAGCAAAGGCGTGCCTCCGTGTGCAGCCTGCATGAACAAACGACAATTGGGCATTTTTCTAGCCCAACACACCGGTAATGAGGCTTTTCCTTCAGCTCATGCCAGTGTTGAAATCCCAAAGTTGCAGATCTGACAATCCCCCCCCCCATCCCCTTTGGTAGGGTGACTGAGGTACTGTCGCTTTGCCACGAAATTTTATATGGCAGCGACGAGGTCAAATGTTTCTAGAATTACTGAAGAAACTACTCTATGCTGTAGGAGGTGCTTTGAGTTATAACTAGAGAGTGAGAGTGAGAGTGAGAGTGAAAGGTCAGTTTAGATGTTTGTCAGGAAGCTCCCAAGGAACACTTCAAGAGCAGCGACGGCGGGAAGGATGGTTGCTAGGGCCCGGTGCAAGCTGTTGAGCGGCGACAATGCTTGATTCACAAGTTGAAACCATGACCGAGTCCCAGCCCAAGATGGAACCTCTCACAGACAGTTACTCATTGGATAATCAACACAGAATATATAATACGCCTGTCTATTTGAAAACTGTGCTTCCCAGGCGCTCAATCTCGCGCCCTTCCTGCGTGCCGCGACCCGCTAGCTCCAGCAAGCGCTGCCACGACTCGGCATCCTTGAGCCGCACCGCCTCCTCGGCGGCCTTGACGCGCATGCCGCACGCCTCGTACATTTCCATCGCCTCGCCCGGTTCCAGACCCGTGCACTTGGGCACAAACTGCGCCGCTAGTCGTGGGTTCCCTGCCTGGAGGGTGAGTTTGTAAAAGGGCTGCCTTGACGTAAGCGATTTGTTCAGCTGGATAACCACGACAGAGCACATACCTTCCAACCAATGGGGCTCTTCTTTGCCTTGGCGATATCCTCAATCTCATTCCACTCGCGCTTCGCAATGAGGGCCTGCAGCCGAATCCACCACGCCACCTTGTCGGGAACCCGAAATTCGCTCTGAATCTTCTTGGCTCGCCCGTTGTAGCCTAGTTGGATGAGCTTGGCCATGGTCTCGTTGACGCTCAAACCGTAAAACCTTTCTGCCAGATCCCGGTCAAGAGCCTCCTGCATGCGTAATAGCGCCGTAGCTTCTTTGATAGCGTGGGCTTCCACAGCAGCCTCTTTGGCGTCGGACAGCAGCTTCCCGGCAAGAGCCAGCTTGTCTACCGTTGTTCGCACATCTGATTGCTGAAGCGACTCCCGAACAAACACATTGGCGCCGTCGACACGGCGATCATCCTGATAGTACAAGTCTTTCAGCATGGCATTGTCGCCCTTTTGCACTGCCGATGACTCGACGAGTGCCGTTGCCACAGGCCGCGAGTTGATGATGCGAAAAAATTGCGAAGGCGCTGTTTTGCTCTTCAAGTGCTGCAAGACAAATAAAATCAAGTCTGTATCTCCACTCTCAACAGCCTTGTCCAGCGCGAGCTCATCTTCTTCCATGTCGAGCAAGAGCGGTACCTGCTTGCCTCCTCGGGGTTCGTGATTCAGAAGTTCGGTCGCCAATCTGCTGCGGCCTTCATGGTGCGCAGCACGAGCTATCTCTTCAAAAGAGATGCCCGACTTGCCTGAAAGGCGCTCCACGACTAGCCTGCAAACACTATCGTCGTCTTCCGTGCCAATGCGTACCTTTGAGGACGCCCAGTGCGTATATATCCCATCAGAGGGCAACTTCAAGTACGAGGCAATCTTGAGAGCCAGCTGGTACTCATGCCGTGTCAAAAGGCGGTTGATGAGACGCTCGGGTGTCAGCTGTTGGTATTGCTCGAAAGAAATGGGAATGCCGATTTTGTAGAAGCGGACGGCGTTCAGCACGCGTAAGGTTGTGCACATGTCCACAAAATCATCGCTGTTATATATATCAAGCACTGACTTGCCAAAGGAAGCTGCCTTAAGGAGGCGCTTCTGCCAGTTGGTGTCGAGCTCACGCCCGGCGGCATTGACGCACGTGTCCACTGCTTCTGTTAAATTGGGCCTGATGAGCTGGATGTAGTCATCTGCCTTTGGTGATTCCAGCTCCAGTTGACCCACGGCGTCCAGCAATATCGACGCCGGTGACGATTCTGTCGCTGCACCAAAAGCCTGAATCGTGGCATCTGGTACTCTTTCGAGGAATTCACAAAAGTCATTCGTTATCAAACGAGCACCATCAGGTTCTAAACTAGTGTTAATAGAAAGACCAGGCAGCAACGGGCGCCGAAAACTCACCAGAGATGACATGGACTCGTGTACTATCGTAGATATATGAAGCAGACTGATCATTAGGCCCTATGATATGGACCTCGTCTTCCCAAGCAATAATAGCATCGGAGCCACACCACTCAACATACTGCGGCGGCGTCTTGGAATCAGACTCGTGGACAAATTCGAGATCCTGTAGGTCGCTCGACGTGACGTGCGCCTTGCCGTCGCTGGCATAGAGCGTCACGAAGCGGCCGTCGGGTGACACGCTTATGTGGCTCAGCGAGCCAAAGTCAGGGAGACGATCCTCGCAGTCTGCGGCATCGAGGATGTACACGGTAGCCTCGATGCTCAGCAGAACCTCAACAGAGCGCGAGAGCGTATAGGCTGGCGGCACAATGGCCCAGGCGCCGATTTCGCCGCTTGGCGGCGTGGCGAGGAGCTTGGGCCGCGGCTCCGAGTACGAAGCCACTGTGACGAGCGTATTGTTGCCGAGTAAAGCCACCATGCCACTGTTGTAGAAGCTAGCCAAATTGTCAGCAACAAGGACCAGCTCTGCAGTTGACCGGAGTAGCAACGAACCGGCAGGATTCAACACCATAGTTGTCGGCGCCGTGGCCTAGCGAAAAGAAGCTAAAGTCGCCCTGCAGGTCGTAGCAGCGGACATGGCCATCAGCGGCCACGACGAGCAGCGTCTCGGCGTCGGACCAGCCCAGGCCCTTGATGGAGCCCTGATCCCATGATATGCTGCGGAGCTTCTGCCCGGCGAGGCTGTATATGTCTATGGATGGCTTGGACGACTTGCCAGGCTGGTGGGCCTGTAGCTTTGTCTCGTCCGGCCACAGGGCTAGTGGCTGTTGCGTTAGCAGTGCGACAGAGAGAGAGAGAGGAAAAACGAGCCTGCGGTGCACCAAACTTACCGAGAGCGCCTGCGTAGGGAGCGCCGGTGACAATGTATGTGTCCAGGTCCAAGCTCTCGTCGAAAATGGACGTGTACTGCTGCGTCTTGCGAAACCAGCGCTCACCAACACGCTCCCACTCGGCCTTTGCGTGAAGCGTGTCCATTATCCGGCAGCTATCTCATCATGAAGCAACAAAAAACGTTCTTCATGGAGCTAGCAAGGGCAATCAAATGTCTGTTTTCTTGTGGGCGCTGTCTTCTGTTGATTCGCGGAAGCTCCCAATATGGCGGACGTTTGCGATGGAAGCTCCGAGCTTCAGGGAGCTTGCGACGGGCGTCATTGTGTCACGGCTATTTTACGGCTAACCAGGGCGCTGACTGCCTGCTAAATAACTGGGCGCTATAATTACAGGCGATCTTACCAGAGGCGACTGAATAAGTGGGGGCGGGGACGAGTCGGCTTTGCAAAGGGGATTATAAACAGGCCTATCCGTACGATGCTGCACAAAGGCAAATAGGCTCTTGTGGCTCTAAGCTTCGTTTTCGACCCACACTTTCGGGATACCCCAACTTTTGCCTCCTTTTCGCGGCGAAGCTTGACAATCTCATTTTGCCATCTCAACTCGACCATTATTTTCCTCGCTATCAGCAACTGCAGATAGCGCAGAACCGGCATTTCTAGCAGCAACAATCTCAGACGCCTCGCGCAGCAGGACCTCACCGACACAGTCGCAGATCTAGCGAGTACACGACCTACTTTGAGCCAAAGCTGCCAGGGGTGGACGAAAAGGCAGCTCCCCCTTTCGACCGCGTGTCGTTTTCGAAACGAAAGCAGCAGTAAAGTCTCGCCAACAGATCACGATTGAGAAAAAGCCCCAAACCCTTCGCAATGCCGTCAGCACGCCGACTACGCCTCGTGACGCTTGCCGCCATCGTCACGGTCATATTTGTCCTTTATTACGTGTCTGGGTTCGGCGACTCCGGGCAATCGGCCGACTTTTACCACAAGACCATGGACGCAATGCATGGGCGGCCGTCGCCGGGCGGACAGCCCGTCATTGACTCAGAGACGGGTCTCAAGACGGGCCACATACCGGCGGACCGCGACGGCGACGGCGACGTGGACGAAGACGACCGTCGCCAGGGTAAAGACCTGCAGGAGAACCTGAACAAGCTGGCCCAGGAGGCCAAGGACAGCGCCAACAAAAAGGCTGGCCCCAAACCCGACGCCCCCAGCAAGATTGTCGGCGTCGGCAACTCGGCCGAGGGCAACCGCAAGCCCGTCGACGCCAAGGGAGAAACGAAGCCCGAGACGGCGGCAAAGGGCAAGGAGAAGGAGAGGGTGCCTGAGACGCCCGCGGAGCAAGCTCTTCATAGCATTCTGAAAAAGGCGCCCGGTGAGTCCTTCTGCCGACACTACAAAATCATGTGGTTCCTATGCTAACCCCCCCACCTCGCAGTCGTCATCTTCTCCAAGACGTACTGCCCGTACTCGATGCGCGCCAAGGGTATCCTACTCGAAAAGTACCTCATCAACCCCAAGCCCGAGGTCGTCGAGCTCAACGACCACCCGCTGGGGTCGGACCTACAGGACGTGCTGCTGACCCTGACGGGCCGCCGCACAGTGCCCAACGTACTGATCAACGGCGCGAGCATCGGCGGCGCCGACGACATTGTCGAGCTTGACAATTCCGGCCGCCTCGTCGGCAAGATTCAGGAGCTCGGCCAGCGCAAGGTCGAGGTGTCGGAGCGCTTCTCGGCGGAGCAGGTCAAGGGCGCGGCGCCCGCGCACTAAACCACTTGTTTGAATCAAGTTATGCCTTTTATTTTTGTCGATTTCTGGTGTAGATTGGGGATGCGGTACGGATTAAGGTGGGTTCCAACAAAAATTCAAGAACCATGTTTACTATGGCATGGAAAGGTGTTGGGGCGTTTGTTTGATATGCTTATTGCAACAATTACAATTTGGCACAGCTACCTACAGAACAGGACTACTGCGCGTTTTGCCGCGCGTCTTTTTTATGAATTTACTGTCTGCAGCGCTCCCGTCACTTATAGCTTTATGCTTCTATACTACAAGTTCAAGCAGATGATAATGGAAAGTGACTATTTTTCATCACGGACACCAGCCAAAGGTGACTTGTCGTCTCCGATATGGGACACATGCCGGAATTGACTTGTAAGGGGGCCAGTGTTGCCGGTGTAGGCGGCGTGTGACGCGCAAGCCCCGGCAAGAAAGCCTTCTCTTCTTTATCAAAATGTGAATTCTCACCTCGATTTGATCCATTTTCCGTCGTCTCTGAATGATATTTCACCACTTCATCCTATTACAGAGCCGCCATTCTCTCCATCGACAATCCTTATGCTTCAGAACGTCTATGCAACTTACGAAATCTTGCCTAGGATTAATCTTATCGTTGTGAATGCTCGCGTTTGCAAATCTTGCAGGGTCAGATGAAAAAACGTGACTTCATTTATTTTCTCGGGCGTGTTGTTGCCTCGATAGAAGATTAGTCGTCTAAAGTGTCCGGCCTAAGCCGTCGTATACTAAAAGAAACAACCTGGACATGTCTATGATATGCATATATCTTTCCCAGAGTTGACCCGTTTCGCTCATTTTCGTATATACGTAACTGTTTCGCTCTCTTTTTTGTTTCATGCTTACGTTCGTTGGCTGACAGTGTTTCAAGGCTTCTTAGCGCCAGACACAGCAGCCTCAAGGGCCTGGAGGACATCACGCTTGAGGTCCTCGGCGTCCTCAACGCCGCAGCTGATGCGGACGAGATCGTCAAAGACACCGACGGCCTCACGCTGCTCCTTGGGGATGCCGGAGTGAGTCATGCTGCTGGGGAGCTCGACGAGCGACTCGACGCCACCAAGGGACTCAGCCAGGGTGAAGATATTGGTGAGGGAGCAGAAGCGCTCAGCGGCGTCGTGACCGCCCTTAATGCGGAAAGAGAGCATGCCGCCGCCCATGCCGTCGCGGTGCTGCTTCTTGGCAATGGCGCGGTGCGGGTGCGAGTCAAGGCCGGGATAGTTGACGGCGACGACGTGCGGCGAGGCCTCGAGAGCGGTGGCGACGGCGGTAGCGTTGCGGGTGGCCTCACGGGCGCGCAAGTGCAGCGTCTTGAGGCCGCGGTGGGCGAGCCACGCGTCAAAGGCTGAAGGGACGGCGCCGATGGCATTTTGGAGGAAGCTCAGGCGCTTGTAAAGGTCATCCGAGTTGAAAGCGGCGACGCCCATGACGACGTCGCTGTGGCCGTTGATGTACTTGGTGACCGAGTGCACGACAATGTCGGCGCCAAGGTCGAGAGGGTTCTGAACGTATGGAGATAGGAAGGTGTTGTCGACGACTACGAGGATGCCATGGCGGTGGGCGACGTCGACGACCTGACGGATGTCGACGAGGCGCAGGGTCGGGTTGCTGGGGCTTTCAATCCAGATGAGGCGGGTATTTTCAGTAATGTGCTCGGCAATGTCGACCTCGATCTCGGGGGTAAAGGTGACCTTGACGCCGTGGGCCTTGGCGACTTGGGTGAAGTAGCGGTGGGTGCCGCCGTAGACGTCGGAGACGGAAATGACGTGCGAGCCGGCGGCGAGGCTCTGGAGGATGTTGGCGGTGGCCGCGGAGCCGGAGGAGTAGGCGAGAGCGTAGCGGGCATGCTCAAGAGCGGCGACAGCCGTCTCAAAATTGGTGCGGTTGGGGTTGGCGGAGCGCGAGTACTCAAAAACGCCGACTGGTTTGCCAACTGCCGTCTGGGCAAAGGTGGTAGACAACGAGATAGGCTCGATGACGGCGCCGGTGGAGGGGTCGTGAGGGGAGCCGGCGTGAACGGCCAGGGTGCCGAAGCGGTGCTCAGGCGTCGGAGGCCGGGGGGGCGTCTGGACAGACAGCTGCTCTGTGGTGGTGGCGGGAGACATGTTGTTTAGATTGGAAATCGAGGGTGTATGGTGGAAAATCGGCTTTGTAAAAGAGGAAGCTCCAAGTGCCAGTGGTCAAGATCGGAGTAGCAGAGATGCAGATGCGCAAAGTTCTACTCCGAGGAAAGCGGGCAGCCTATTAATAATGAATCTGCGCTAGATTTTTCTTCTGTCCCTCTTTTGATCCGTAAACGAAACAGGGGCAGGGGTCCGGTTTGAGACGGGCAGAAGGTGAAGAAAAATTGTGGATGCTCATGCGGATACTGGTCGTGAGAGGGCTGGAGAGAGTTGAGTTGGCGACGCCGGGGTCGGAACTGTCGGCCGGCTGTCGGTGGGAGATGAGATGGCGTTGAGCTGATGGTCAGCTGAAGGGCTTGTTTCGCACGCAGACCAGAGGAGTGCAGAAGTGTCTCAGATGGCAATTTGTACAAGCCGAAAAGATTCCGTGTCTCTTGAGTTGTTATATCAATGGCCCTAGGTAGTCCACAGTGGAGAGAGGACGGAGGGAAAAGAAAAAATTCTGAAGAGAAAAAAAATGAGCCGTAGCGGTCGCGAGATACCCACTGTCACTGACGTCTGCGCCAAGGTCCACTTGAGTCAGTTCGGGGGATCTCAACTATGGTGTCATTCGGGTAGATGCTTACAACAGAATAGTGTCCAGAGGAAATCCGATATTAGAGATGAAGTGGAGGCCTCCGAGATAGACAAGGCACTGCGTTGACGGAATGTGTCGTGGGACCAAGTGCGACAGAGGCGGTTGCGATGATGGAGGAAGTATCCGTATGGTGATGCAAACTGCGAGATGCAAGCGATGCAAGCATTGGCGATTGGTCAGACTTATATAGCGGCAAAATAGAGTAGATGCCGGAAATGATGGCATGTCCGAGGAAATTGGAAGCTAGAGCGATGATGACTTTTGACGATGGAATCTGTAATCAGGTCATGGCAAAGCTGAGCGTTTGTCATCATTGCAACCAAAAGGGCCCTTTGCGAATTGGCGCTGAGCGTTTGCGGGCGGGCCAAGTGCCAGCTGCGACAGGGCTGGGTGACGGCCGGTAGAATCCAGATCTGTCTGTAGGTAGTTTGTACCTTTGTTATGGCCGGCCGCTTGCGCACAGGGTCTTGTAGTAGGTACGGCACTGTACTTTCTTAGACTGGCACGCCGCCGAGGTCACGCTCGATGGCGCCATCGCTGGCTGCATTTCATCTTGGCTGGGAAGGATTTGTCCGGGTTCCAAATTGCCCACAATAAAATTCCATCTGGCAGCCTGGCTTATGCAAGCTGCTACACCAAGGAGACGTGAAGTTTTTATCTCTTGGTTTAAGCATGCCGCATCATTGGTGAGTGCCTGGCTGTCGTGAGCTTGCCCGCTGACATGGCGAGCACACCATCAGCAAGCCATGATACTCGTTGCACAACAGCCTCTCGTATGCGCGTAGCCCCTTTGGCATCCCTGATGTCCAGTTTGTCGCTTCTAGCCGTCGCACGGAACTGCGCAGACACAAAAGTTGGCTAGTTGTTGGAGCTGTGCTCGGATGGGTAAACCAACGCGAAGCCACGTCGTCCAGCCTCCAGTAGACATGCTGCTCACTGCGTGAAATACACGAATATGGATCTCGTAGAGGTCAAAACCATTGGTGTTGCATCGGCTCAGACACCATGGGGAATGCCAAAAGCGAGTCCATGGCTGGGACAGTTGGACTTTGGGCTGTCCAGCATTGAAGAGTGCTGACGGTTCATGAACGAGATAGTAGAGAGTTGAAAATTTGTATGCGTTTTTCTCAATTGCAGCCACATTGCAAGAGGGAATTTATTTATGCGCAAATGGACGGAGTAACGGGGCACGCTATTGCGGACCATCGGCCAAATGGAGATGGCTGTAATGACGCTGGTGGCGATGCTCCGACATGGCACGCGGTGGCCCGCTTGACCGCTGTGCTGTCTGTATGATGGCTTGTATATGTTTGCTTCTGGTCAATTGGCCCAGCATTAGTTGCCGAATTGTCCAATGAGCGAAATGCTGGCAAGGTCAAGTGTTAAGAAGTATGATCTGAGCACACATCATCTCAGTCTCGTGCATGCGATAAGTGGCAGAATGACGAATCGAGAGACGAGACAAAGAAATCATGTAGCATCCCATATCGGAGCTTATCCTTGGTCATGGCACGTGGTGCAAGAATCTTGCATCAGTCTGTAATAGGCGTATTCATGCCGCCTGGAATATGGTAAGCACACTAAATCATGGCAGGCGGCACGGTGCAGTTATACGAACGACTCGGGCACGGCCGCACTCGTGTCAAAAGTCACTTCACTTCGGAGCCGGCGCCGGCCTGGCCTCCGTCGTACTCGTATTGCAGCCGGCACCCGTGAAGTAGGGGGCTGTGAACTGGGGCCGCTCTGGGGGTAAATCTTCCGCTCCGAGCCCTGTTCGCCTGAACTTTGCCTGTATCTATTAGTTTACGTCATCAGCCAGCCGCCCTGGGCTGTAGCCTGTAGGAATCTATGCTGGCTGTGCTGGTTACGGAGTAAATTTGTTGGTTGCTGACATGGCGTGCCTTGAGCTGTGTGTCTGCTCGGGCCATCCGCACCGACAATTATTTCGGGGCAATGAATGGACAAGCCACATTGTGTAGATTTCGGGTGACGTCAATCAAGGAGACTATCATTTATTGGTCGCTTCGTGACACTGAAAAGCTTGTTGATGCTACTGATGCTACTCCTCAGTATTACAGTAATACCACACCATGTGGCTTTGGCCGGACTGGGGCTCCTGGTTACAGGCCTGTGTGGGTCGTGCGTTGTGCCTGCAACCCGCTGCGGCTGGGGTGCACTGGGGTGCACTGGGGTGTAACCGTCCAACAAGTGAGCAGCGACCATGTGTACGGATTAGCAAGTAACTGACTACACACGCCGTTGATTAATTAGTCAACTTAGACAGGCTTTTATATATATATAGTCATCGATGTCATCATCTATTTCTGTTTAGTTCCCATGATGGCCGCCTTTTGTGCGTTGTACACGCTTCGTGGCTAGCATAGTTTGCAATAGATAGCTATCATGAGAGCTGCCATAACATAGCTGTCATGAGAGCTGCCATAGCTCCAGCTGAGCAGCCCTCTCAGAGCAGAACCAATATCTTAGCGCCCATGCTTAACTACCTAGTCAAGACTCGCAGAAGACGGGTTATCCGGGGACTGCAGAGTACTAATACAAATCTTTGACGAATAAGACTTTCTATATCTGCTACCTAATTGGTGGTCTGCTGTGCCCGGCCCTGCCCCTGGTGCCAAGGTACCTATCTTATGGCCGTGCTGTTGTTTCGCTGTATCGTGCTGCTAGCTGCGGCCTGTAAAGCCATTGAAAGGGGGTTTCACGCCCAATTCCTCAGAAGCGAAAGCTAAAAAAAAAAAAAAAAAGCAAAGCAAAGTGGCCCACCAACACTGATAACCACCAGAACAAGCTGACCCTGTCACGGGCCGGTCGAAAGCACCACCGCCTTCTCAAAGCCTGGACCATCTGCTCTTTCTTTCCGCAACTAGTGTCCGTCTCATTTCACCTGGTTGGGTCCATCCCGAATCGCCATCTACCTCTTCCATCTCTCATCTCTGCATTGCTTCGTTCAACCGTCTGCCAGCAAGCCTACCGTCTCGCGGCAATGTCCCAGGAGCGCATTCAACTTGCCCTCTCAAACACTACCCCGACAGCCCAACGCCCACCCATCGACCACACCTCCATCGCACACGGCCCTGCCAGTTCGTGATGCCGCCTCGTCGGTCTCACAAAAAGTCGCGTGCGGGATGTCGCAGGTGTAAGAACCGCAAGATCAAGGTACGTTGGCTTGCATGCTGCTACTAGCCTGCTCTCTGCCTCTGTCCAGTGGCTCCGCGACACGCGCCAACCGCAACCCAAACCGCCCGTGAACCTCACCATCGCCGCCCCCTCCACAACCACTGCTGGTTTGCGCCCAATTCGCTGACGCCGTCCCGCCAAATTCATTTAGTGCGATGAAGTCCACCCACGATGCGGCAACTGCGTCAAGCACGGCGTTATGTGCGATTTTGGAAATCCTGAGGTCCTAGACGAGCTCGCTTCCGCCTCCACGCCCGCCGCGCCCGCTCCGCCAAGTCCTCCAGTGCCCTCGCCGGGCAGCCTCGACAGCAACAATATCAACAGCCATTACAACCGTCACAGTCATCACAGCCATCGCAATCATCAGAACCACCACAACCATCACAATGGCCACGCGTCCAACACCACTACCAACGGCAACGGCCACGCATCCACCGCCACCACCAACGGCAACGGGATCAACGGATCACATACATCTCCGCGCAGGCCTTCGCCCATTCCTCCACCGCCCGTCTCCTCACCATCTGTCGCAGGATCGCTACACAACTCTGCCCCTCAAAGCGTTCGCGGCGGACCAACGCTCTCGACCTCGTCACCTTCCACCCGTCCCGTCGATCGCATGCTTGAGCTTCGCCTCTGGCACCATTTCACCACGAGCACCTACAGAACTCTTCTTCACAACGTACCCGCTGCCGATGACATCTGGAAGTTTGAAGTCCCTAAACTCGCCTTCGGTGGTAAAACCTACCTTGCGGACGCAATCCTCTCGGTCTCAGCCCTGCACCTGCGCTCCCTTAATCCCGACGACAAGAACCTCGCCCAGGCCTCCCATGCCTACTCTGCCTCTGCCCTCGCTGATTACTGCGCTTCGCTCGCCAGTGGCATCCAGGGCGAAAACGCAGAAGCCCTATTTCTGACGGCCTGTCTCATTGCTTTTCAAGCCACAGCCTCTCGCATCTTCATCAAAGACGATGGTGATATGACTCCCAGCAGTGGCAAAAATTCCTCTCGATATCCTCTACCAACAGCCTGGTTCCATGCCTTTCAAGGTGTAAAGACCGTTGTCGCAACATCGTGGCAGTGGATCTTCAACAGTCCTACCGTTCTCGCCGTCATCAACTCCCAGCCTAGTTTTCAACTGGACATGAATCCTCTAGGTTCCACTTCATTCTTCGGTCATCTTCTTGACGGTGTTGAGGAGGAAATCTCTTCAGAAGATCCCCAGATGAATTTGCTCTCCCAGCAGGGGTACGTTCACGCTGTATCTGTTCTCAACTGGGCACACCAGAACCCTTATCCACCAGCAACCCTCGCATTCCCGGCCGCCGTTTCCAAACGATTCGTCCAGCTCGTCGAGGCTAAGCGCCCACGCGCCTTGGCCATTGTAGCGTGTTTCTTTGCGTTGTTGAAGCGCATGGATAATGTCTGGTGGCTTGGAGACGTCTCGCGACGCGAGGTCATGGGCCTCGTCAGCCTGTTTGAGCCCGGCTCGGGCTGGTGGCGCCATCTCGAGTGGCCTATCCGCATCGCGCTTTGGGACGGCGACGCCAATGGCATTCCCGCCTCCGTGTGGGGAGCCGAGTGCGAGGAGGCGCCCACGGGCGAATACGGTCTGGTCGATACGATGAAGAATCATGTCGAGCTGCTGGCGCGTATGAGCCACGCCATACCGGATTCACCGACAGCAGACTTGACGGACATAACAGGGGAGCTGGGCTTCACTGCTGTGCCTTTGGATTGAGCGCTGATGTTTGAAGCGGGGCGTTGTCGGCTCGCCCCTATGGGAATGTTTTGTCATCTCAAGTGTCGGTTTCACGGAACGAAAAGCAACATCTCGGGCGAGAAAAAAGCATGGAAAAAGGCGTTGGCCGTGGCGATTTCGCCACTAGGATTTTGTACTGAGTCACGATATTTGGTCATCTTTGATTTTTTGCGGGCGTATATTATCATCGTTGCTTTGGCTTTTGCAGGTCTGGGTGTGGCTATCAATGTTACGCTGGGCAGCGTTCCACAAGCTCGATTAGAGAGCACGATATTCGGATAGTCGGGCCCCACGGTGAAATTTTCTTGGAGTTGAGGATGCTTTGTTGAAGCTTAAGATATGTTGAATCTTGGATATGTAAAGGATGACTCTGGCTGGCTGGTTGTCATGTCAATCTAGAACGGTTACAAGACTCAATGCGTGGTCTCAACTATTTCATGAGAAGCATGATGTTTTTATCACTACGTTTAGCTTAATAGATAACACATATACCAAATAACGCCCAGACCATGAATGCACATTGTAAACAACACACCAATTGACTCTGATTTGTTTTCATCTCCCCAAGCACATTGCGCGCCGTCATTTAATGCTTGGAGCGCTTGACATCCTCTTCCTCAATGACACCCTCGACGCCCACCTCCTCATCATCCAACCTGCTGCGCTTCAGACCCTTCATCTTTCTTGTCTGCATGGTGCTCAAATCCTGCTTTCCAATGTGCACGCGGCCAATCTTGTCGCCCATGGCATCCGTCGAAATGTTCTTCTTGGTGCGCTCCTCGAGTCCGCGCGGCGTCTTCATGGCCTCCTTGCGCATGGCCTCGTCGGGCTCGCGCACGCGGCCGACGCGAAAGTCCATGCGCGGGCCAATCTCGTCGACTTCGACGCGTGGCAGCTTCTGCCCGCTGCGCCTGGTGCGGATGAGGTAGACGCGCATGTGGATGGCGGGCTTGACGTCGGTCGACGATGACGTCTCCTCCTGGACAGTAAAGTTGATAATGTACTGCAGGCCCTCGACGTCAATCTTGTCAGAGGGCTCGCCCTTGAAGAAGTCGGTGAGGAGGCTCTTGGCGAGCGTGTACTCGTTGTCGACGGGGCTCTCAAAGGCGGTGCCGGCAAAGAGCAGCATCGGCCGCAGGCCAATGGAGAACTTTTTATTCTTGAATTGCGCAATGGTGCGAAACGTGTCCGGGTCGAGGTGCAGCTCCAGCATGTCAAACAGCTTGTAGCCAAACGTGCGGATGAGCGTAATGGCGTGCGGGCGCTTCTTTTGGCTGCTGCCAAAGAGCAGCATGCTGGCGTCGTTCTTCTCCGAAAAGAACTCGAGCGACGTCGCGTCCTCAAACGGGTGGATCGGGTTCTTTTTGGTAAACTTCTTGGCGTGCGGCTGATGCATCGAGTATAGGTCGTTTAGGGCGTTTTGCACAATCTGCGAGCAGTTGCCGCCGCGGAGGACGAGGCACGTCTTGGGGTTCTCGATGGCCTTGGGCTCGCGGGCGGCCATGGCGCGCTTGGAGCGGGCATTGCGGGGTTTTCTGGGACATTTTAGCTGATGAACAATATTTTGCAAATGACTTGTGAGAAGGCAATGGGCCTTACACTTGACGAAGCATCTTGACGGCGCAATGGTTGTTGGTTATGTGCTTGGATTCGACATGGACAGACTCTCGCTTCATGGCGGTTTGCAAAACGAGGCAGAAAAAAAAAGTCGTATCGATAACAAGATTGGCGCTAGTCTGCGGTGGGCATCTCCAGTGGGCACGCACGCATCATCTCAACAGGCAAATAGGCAAATCGGCAAAGGCCGTTCCCCGCAGTCACGTGTGCTGCCCAACTCCGATGCTTCATAATCACAAACGCCGCCACCACCGCCTTTGTCACTGCCTAATGGACGGACCGGACACCGGCCTGCCTCGGTAGATTCCCCACGCCCAAGCCGAGCCACAAGCGTAGCATTAGCACCTTTTTCCCTGTGTCGCACTACCCCAGCATTTGATTCTCCCATCTTCCATTTTTCCCTGTCAGCTCCCTTTTCGCCTCTTTGTCGACTGAAGTAAACCGCGAGCAAAACTACATTGGCAAAAGACTACGTACATATCCTCGCCCACCGCTTTTGTCGCCCGCCCCGCCTTGCGAGATAATCCAGTCCCCGTCGCCATCATGTCGTTTATGGGTGGCGCAGAGTGCTCGACCGCGGGAAACCCGCTCAGCCAGTTCCAGAAGCATGTTCAAGATGATAAGACACTACAGCGCGATCGCCTCGTCGGTCGCGGCCCCGGCGGTCAACTAAATGGTTTTCGCAGCCAGAGCGCCAACGCTCCCCAAGATGAGGTACGGCACGCGCGCTCTTCCCGGTTATAAGCCTTGTGACGCTGCTAATCACTGGTTGATGCCGGTTCATAGATGATGAACGGCTTTCTCAATGCCGGGCCGAATATGCAGCAAGAGTTCCCCATGCAGGGCCCTTCCATGACCCCCGTCCAACACGCTCCCATGCGCGCCAGCTCGACGTCACCGACGTGGGCGCACGATTTCAACAGCCAGCCTGGCATGGAGTCAGCTTTCAAGCCGCCCAGCAACGCCCATTTCAGTGCCGAAGAGTTTGCCCGCTTCAACATGAACGGCCAGGCCTCCTCGGCGCGGTCCAGCCCCATGCAGGCCAACATGTCGGGCAGCCAGATGCAGCGGCCGATGATGAGCGGCGGCATGGGTATGGGTATGGGCATGGGCATGGGATACGGCATGGGCGGGTCCATGATGCCCATGTATCAGCAGCAGCAGATGCGCAACCAGCAACAGCAGCAACCGCAGGACGTCAAGGGTAAGGGCAAGCTCGTGGAGCTCGATGAGAGCAAGTGGGAGGAGCAATTTGCCCAGCTCGAGCTGGAGGACGCCGAAAAGGCCAAGGAGAATGAGGAGGCGGGCGCCGCCGAGCGCGAGCTGGATGAAATGGACCGGGCGATGCAGTCCGAAACTAATGAGTTCGGTGACTTTGAATCCCTTTGGCGAGGAATACAAGCTGAGACGGCTGCTGCTAGGTCCTTGGTTCAAGACGAATCACTATTCGATCAATTCGACAACGACTGGACGAACGATATGATGCCCGACCTGCAAGGCCTCGGAGACTGGGGCCGCTTCGGCGACCCCGTCGTCGAGAACTACATGTTTGAGCAGGAAAACTTTTTCAGCAACGAGAAGAATGCTTTCGAGGAGGGCGTCCGCGTCATGAAGGAAGGCGGCAACCTGTCGCTGGCCGCGCTGGCCTTTGAGGCAGCCGTCCAGCAGAACCCCGAGCACGTCGAGGCCTGGGTGTACCTGGGCTCGGCGCAGGCGCAAAACGAAAAAGAGACGGCGGCGATCCGCGCGCTGGAGCAGGCGCTGAAGCACGACCCCAACAACCTCGACGCACTCATGGGCCTCGCCGTGTCCTACACCAACGAGGGCTACGACAGCACAGCGTACCGCACGCTCGAGCGCTGGCTGTCGGTCAAGTACCCGACGGTGCTCGACCCCAAGGACATTCACCCGCCGGCGGACATGGGCTTCACGGACCGGCAGATTCTGCACGAAAAGGTGACGGACCTCTTTATAAAAGCGGCGCAACTGAGCCCCGATGGCGAGCACATGGACCCGGACGTGCAGGTCGGCCTGGGCGTGCTATTTTACGGCGCCGAGGAGTATGACAAGGCTGTCGACTGCTTCCAGTCGGCGCTGCACTCATCGGAGCTCGGCACCACCAACCAGCAGGAGCAGCTGCACCTGCTGTGGAACCGCCTCGGCGCGACGAGAGCCAACAGCGGCCGCTCCGAGGAGGCCATTGCCGCGTATGAGCAGGCGCTGTCGCTGTCGCCGAATTTCGTGCGCGCGCGCTACAACCTGGGCGTGAGCTGCATCAACATTAGCTGCCACCAAGAGGCGGCGTGCCACTTTTTAGCGGCGCTCGAGATGCACAAGTCGATTGAAAAGTCGGGCCGCAGCAAGGCGTACGAGATTCTGGGCGAGGGCAGCGCGGCGCAGGTCGAAGAGACGCTGGACCGCATGTCGGCGCAGAATAGGAGCAGCACGCTGTACGACACGCTGCGGCGCGTGTTTACGCAGATGGGGCGGAGGGACCTGGCGGAGAAGACGGTGCCGGGCGTGGACCCGGACGTGTTTCGGGATGAGTTTGACTTTTGAACGAGTGCGGGGGTTTGTTATGTAGAAGAAGAATGAAGAGAGAGGAGCAACAAGCACGCAGGTGGCACAAAGACTCCCATGTACATGTAGAATATAAATGAAGATTAGGGCAGGGGATGACCGGGGATGCGCATGAATGGAATGGGACGGGACTGGGCGGACGGTATTTTATGGGACATATGACGACGGACACAATATATTGCATTTATGAAGAGTTTCCTCTGTTGATGAATATCAGTTGTTAACCCCTTGACTAAAAAGTCGTAAGACGTGAGGATTTGTTGCGCTACACACGGCTGCGTTCTGCCGCGGCTTTATACACCTATGATTGACAGGAAAATCGCGTAAATGCGCGAGGATCACGGGCGTATCATTCTCTAATGACTCGCGGCATATATAATCACAACCTCTTGGTGAGCTAGTAGTTCAGGATTATAATAAAGTGATAGACAGGTGTTTGAAGGGGGAGTTATTGCTGTAGCTAGAAAGTCTTGAATTTGTTGATCAATTTCAGTAATAGTCTACTGATCAAGAGCCATTGTTAATAGACTTACGCCTATAATACTACTTGGCGTGCCTTGTTGTATTATAGGTAGGTACTCGTAGTAACTGCCAGTGATTAGAGCTGTGGCTCACACTACAATGGCCAGCCTGAAGAATTTATTGGGAGCATGGTTGGCCCCCCCCCCCCATACGATGGCTGGAACCGCAAGCGCCCGATGGCAGTGCATAAAAACAACATCTACGAATGATATCAAGTGATCTTTCTTTCGGGTTGTACATCTGTCTCTTTTTCTGTAATTGAATGGTGAAAATTCGTGCAATGTCAATAGTCTAGGATCCGTTGTATTATATCCGTATATTAATTGCATAATTTAGTTACTTCAAAGCTACCCCGGTTCGGCTTGGCCCGACACTAACATCGGAAAAATAGGTTGATTTTGTGGGGAAAGCCTGTTTATTCGTTTAATTCACATCAAATGCAGTACCACGTCTATTCAATGTACTTTTACACCATTTAGGGACAGTCTACGGTACAGTCCAGCAGCAGCCGTCTCACCAATGTTGATCCAACCAGGCCAAGTTAGCCCGTCATGTCACCTTCCTTGTTCGTATCTGCATGTATGTACTGCGTAACTTAACTGCCTGAGGCAGCCTTGAGCTGAGTCTTGACCAAGGTGCTCCCCTCATTCGCCGCCAGCCTCAATCAGCCAAGAATCCTGCATTAGCACTATTTGAGTCGGCTTGGAAAGAGTTCACCGAGTCATTGCCCGCTTGCCCACCGGCATGCGGCCTCTTTTTCAGATGGCAATGCTAACACCCCACGTAAAAAGTAACTCGCCCGTTATAGTGCCCTCTACATTCAAGCTCTACTTCAACACTGAGTTTACCAGCTGTTACAGAGCCCCCGGGTCCTGTCTGCTAGGCCCAGACGGGCCCTGGCAAGCGCTCGTCCTCAACTTTGGCAGCGGAATCAACTTGCTCCCGCTATACCCCCGATTCGAGACCTACGGGACCACGGTTCTCACCACTGGCGAGGACAGGTATAACTCGTCTACATTGTCGACGTCGCGTAAGACGGGTCTGCAGTTCCTAGATGACTGGGCCCGCTACGCTGCCGATGTGCGCTCCTTTGTCAACCAGAGCTACCCGATCTCTGGAGCAATGACGCCGTACTTCGACGACATGCAGCTAGCACGGTCATTGTCGCCAGATCCGAGGTTCAACTCGACCTTGTTCGCCGCATACGATTGGAACTACAAGACGGTCAACGGCTCGTCGTATACCCCGCGGGTTGGACTATGGGGGCTACGGGGAGTAGAGGGGCCCGAGACCGGAGACGTCAATGCGAGCAACATCTTGCCCCCCGGCCCGCTAGAACAGCTGAAATCCCACGGCATCATTGGCACTGAGACGGTGAGTATGAATCTCGCCAGCGCGAGGCTTGAGCAAAGGGCCTCTTTTATACTCGGCGGCTACGACGAGAGCAGATTGCTTGGTCTGCCTGGCGCTTGGCCACTCTATGCAAATTCTCATGGGGAGATTTTGCTGCGAGACCTGAGGCTGGGTGTTGAGGAAGGCGGTTCGCCTTTCAAAAACGACACAGCCGTGACCAAAGACGCGCCACTGAGCATATGGCAGGGGCTGGGCGGCGACGAAGCCGGCATCCGCTCCGGCAAAGCTCAGGGCGCCGCCGAAGGGTCCGCCAGAGTCTACGTGGATGCCGGCGCGCCGTCGATATACCTTCCTCGGGGCAACTGCGAGGTGGCAGCAAAGCACCTACCTGTAACTTGGCGAGACGATATAGGATATTACACCTGGAATGTGGACGATCCCCAATATAAGCAAATCGTCTCCTCGCCCGCATACTTGGGTTTTGTGCTCGCCACGCCAGAAGCTAAAAACCTCACTATCAAAGTCGCATTCGCGCTGCTCAACTTGACACTAGAGTCCCCCATCGTTTCCACTCCTACACAGTACTTTCCATGTCACTCGACCGGGTCCGCGAGTGGGACCTGGTTGCTTGGCCGTGCATTTCTGCAGGCTGTCTTCTACGGCGTCGATTATGAGAAGAAGCAGCGATGGATTGGCCAAGGGCCGGGTCCTGGTCAGCAACAGATGATAGTGAAGACATGGCCGACGGGTACAGATACATTTCAGGCGAGTCCTGCCGACTCTTACGCATCGACCTGGCGCAAGCATTGGACAGTGCTTCCGGAAGAAAGTAATGAGACATCAACCCAGAAGCCTGGAAATCAAACTTCTGGTGGCAGCGGCCTTTCTGGTGGTATAATAGCCGGTATCGCGGTAGGCTCCGTTGCGTTGCTGGCAATCTTGGCTGGAGCGTTGTGGTGGTGGTTCATGCGAAAGCGGCGCATTGCGGTGCATACCAAGGAAGGAGGCAAGGGGATGAGCCTTGACCAGCGACACGAGCTGGGCATTGAGCAGCGAGAGCGGCACGAGCTAGGCCCTGAGCAGCGACATGAACTGGGTGCTGAGCAGCGACACGAACCGCCGGTGCAGAGAGTAGTGCACGAGATGCCTGGGTCGACGCCGGGTCCCATCCAAGTTGAGACTAGGAGACCGGCAGGCGGCGGAAACTCGTCAGAAAGAACATAACGGCATTTGACCTGAGTGAGGCTGATCTATCATTAGAAAGAGAATGAGAGATTTGCAAGGAACTCTCGCAAGTGCTATGCTATCAGTCGGATACAAGGTTGATATGATGGCCAAGTTGAGCAATAGAACGACCTAGATGCTTGTACTAGCCACACCCATACTAATAGCTATCGAGTATTCCCCACTGTTCTCCTCCTCTAAACTTGACATTGACTTTTCCAACGTCAACTCTGAATTACCACAGAATTTGATGCCAACTTCCACACCGTGGACGGGCCGGCTGATTATATTCCGGTGCGTATGCATCAAGGGTTAGGGAGGCTCCGGGAGGCTTTGGAAGCGTCAGTGAACGGAAGGCTAACTAGAACTCGAGTAAATAGGTCAAAGACGGAAAGAGAAGAACTCAATTATTGTGCCGTATCGTAAACCATTACAACTCATGTACCACGAAGTGGATCCAGGGTATCTGTGGTGACTTGGTTGTGCCTTTAGGAGAAGGTACATGAAGTTTTCTATGCTATTTCTATAGGATATATTAATGTTGTACATCCCTGTGAATATCTTGAATGAGCCGTGTTGCTATGGCGTCATGGCCTGATTTAGGCTCTGCCAACCCGGCAAAGCCGTCGTGCTTGGATGGTTCAAGTCGTGAAATTTGGGCTATAAGCTGCTTGACAATAGCATAAATCAATATCTATCCTTATGTCAAGTTACTATGTTCCGTGTGCTCAGCCGAACTTGTTCCTTGGTCTCTAGCTTTTCTAATATATAACCCTACAACCATTACATAGATTAAGTGCTCATCAGCTATTACTCAGGGTATCAAACCATAAAGCTACACTCTTCACTCTTCATTACCATCTTTTCCCTTTGAAGTCCATCGCGCCGCTAGTATGCTCGTCCTATCCTTGTTGCTCAGCACCGGAGCGAGACAGCCAGAAGGCACCAGCGAGAGCGCCAGCCCTCCACCCCCCCCCCCCCCCGGAGAGAAGATGATATTTTCAAATCAGTCGACAATGAGCCGGGACCTTTGCAGCTCTTACAAGGAATTGGGCGACGGGAAAGCGGACAAGACTATTTACAATGGTCAGATGTTGAAATGGGGCTCAAATCGTCGGCCACGTCAGAGGGCGGGCGGCACGCCCGAGGAGAACCAGCCTGCTGCGCCAAAGTCACTGCAGCAGCGGCGCCGAAATTGGCAGGCAAGTATTTTTTTACAGAGTGCCGACAAACAAAAGTCTAGCGAGCCCGAGTTGTTGGGTGGCAATCTAGAGAAGCCCTTGACAAGTGCTTGCCGCCCGAGAAGAACGAGTCTGCTGCGCCAAAGCCATTGCAGCAGTGTGTCGAGATTGGCAGGCAAGTGTTGAACGAGTGCCGACAAAAGTTCAATCGACCAAGAGTTCCAGAGAAGCATTTGCAAACTGCGAGCCTCTGCCGTAACGGTCGCTGACGTGGACAATTCCATGTATATAGCTCAAGATGTGCTTATTCACAAGCTTTGGAGCCAGGCACTCTCAACTAGCACCTCCCATCAAGGGCGCTATGTTATTACTATGCAATAGACGGCGACTCTATAGACTATAGGATCAATCTCTACTCTCTTCTGTTCTTTCCTTCCTACGTAGTATTGTAATCCTAAATCAATCGCCCACACAGAGTCGCGGTTCCATGTTTTGCTGCAACTACGACAAAACATGCACCCACAAATATCCTACACATGATCCAGCCGGGACGGACAAGGATTACACGATTTGTTTTGGTCTGGCCACGCTTTGTTTCTGTGAAGGCGCACTCGTTCCGGCGTGACAAATACCTGTCCAACCTGCAGCTTAAATGTCTTGCTTTTCGTCTTTCCCGGGAGGAAGTGGCGTGTTGTGTCATTGATCGCGTGGAGTTGAGAGCCCGCACGATGACGGCCAGACGTCGAATGAGACACGATTCCGCCAGGCTGGTCAAAGATGTGGGGGTCAGAGGAGGATTGGGGGGGAACGAGATGCAACTTTGCCTGCCGCGAGCGCGGGAAGAAAACAACCGTTAAATACAAACGGAAACGGTGGCGCGATTCGTCAATGTTTGTTACGAGTAACCAAGAAAAGCGTGGGTAAGGGTCGTCTTTGTGACACGACTTGGCATCGAGGGGCAGCCGGACTTGGTCCGTGGCCACATTCCAATAAATCTGCTCGTTGTGACAGGACTGGTACCTGAGTCGTTATTGATTAACCGCTCACTGAGGGAAGTGCTGTAGAGCGCACGGGGCGAGACCGATCGACTGGAATGTGATGTGCCATCCCTTGTCCGGAGTAGAGATGAACGGAACGTGCTCCGCATGAAAGACCCCAGACTGTTGGCTATCACTTGTATCTCTCTCTCTCTCTCTCTCTCGCTCGCCCGCCAAAGCGAGCCTGGTCTGCTGCGGCGTCTCGGGGGTCACCAGACGGCATGTCGCACTCTCGGCATCGCCCAGTTGAAAATCTGTTCTTATTGTAGTCAGTCAGCCAGCTATCCCAGTAAATCCGTAGTTTGGGGTCGTACCCCAGAGCAAAAAACACCAGCGGACATGAGGGTTGCGGACAAGTCCCGATGCAATTCGGCCGGGGGGGGGAGGGGGATTCACTGGCTACCCGCTCAGAGACATGGCTGCGGCGTGGCGTGGCGCGCCGCAACAGCGGTCTCTACTCAGAAAAGGAGAGTCGAATTTTTCTGGGTGGCCGAACAGGCGTACAAGACAATATGCAGAGACTGGTTGCGTGCATATGGCAAAGCCCCCCTGCAAGCTGGGCCGTGGTTTTGGCAGGGTGGGGGGTTGCATAGAGTCGATTGGATCACCGACTGGGGGCGAGTCAAGCGAAGAAGAAAGCCTCTCTATCCTTTCTGGGTGATAACTGGCGTGGTGCGGTCGGGAAAATTTCCGAACGTGTCTGCCCAGGCGGACAGGCATCTGCCCAGACAGGCATGGAAGGCTGTCGGCAAGTGATGGTCGCTGCAGTTGTGGATTGATGCATGGATGGGGTCAATCAGACCAGGCTGGGAAAAGCCAAGAAGAGGCGACGGAAAAGACGCAAAAGGACGCCGAGAGAGAAAAGAGGAATAAAATACGGATAGACCTCGGAGGAACCAGCATCCGCGCTGGGATTGTGATGGTGCCAGACATCAAAACGGGCGGCGCCTAGGGAAACGTGCAAGGCTGCGGAAGAGGCTGTATTGATGGAGGCTTGCGGCGGCAGGACACTCACTGTTTGCACCTTGACCTTGGCTGCCAGCTGTCACCAGGCAACTACAAACGAGGCAGATTTGCAAGTTCGCAAGAAACCTGCTGGCGGCTAACAATGAGCAAAGCTGGCCAATCCCGTCCACATCCTCATCCTACAGGGGGCGTCACTCGTCATATTCCTTTTTTGCCCTTTCTTTCGCCCGCCTGCTTCTCAGCCTCATGCAACTTCATCCTGTCCGCCATGGCTTGAAGAAGCAAGAACTGGACAGAATACGAGTAAAGGATGCAAAATGTTGAAGCTAGGCCCTGGTCCGACGACAGAATGTAACCTATCGCATAAGCCTCATCTCCTTGGGAGCCACGTTTGTGGCAGGGCAATGCAATAATGAATATATAATAAAGAGGCAATAATATTGGTGGTGATGGCGGCACCGGCGGAACGGGAAACGACCCCCAGGGCGAAAAAAAAAAAAAAGTAAAAAAAAGTTGATAATATCTTTTGCAGTTATTGACAAGGTATGCAAGCCACTGTACCTGAAAGCGGTTGAGGGCGCGAGGCAAAGAACGAAGAGGAAAAGTAAAAGATGAAAAGACA